GCTATGTGAATTACTTACTCGTTCACGTTATGTGAAGTCGTTAATTTACTTAAATCAATCAAATCAATTATTTGTCGAATATTTTCAGTACAAATACATTTGATTGGTACTAAATTTTACGATTAACGTTGCCAACTTTATATTAATTTGTTTGGAATTCGACTAACTCATTGAATATTCAAATTATTTTCTGAAATTTTTCGAGCTTAAAGAAGAAAAATTAAATTTTATAATCGGAAAGAAAGACAGATTCGCAGTAAATTCTATTTATTCTATTTTTTATTTATCTATTTTATAAAGCGAAATATCGTTTTTGAAATTTCTGTCATTTTGGAATTATAAAATTTCCTTTCCTTTAAAGCTTTCTTTTAATTGTTTTTATGATAATATTGGATTGAAATATTTAAAGTTCTTTGCGTTGAAGCTTATGAAAAATGGTTTTTGATTTTTCTTTTCAATCTTGCAAAAAAATTAAAAATTAAATAAAACTAACCACTCCTTAGGATTTAGACTAGCTCCACCGGTTTTTAAAGCGGTGAGAAAAATTTTCGCTTTTGGGTTCAATTATAGGTAGTTTGCCAGCACCACCCAGATTTTTCTATAATAAGTTTATTTCTATCATATGCGACGTCGGTACTCAGATAGTAATATGAGTTATAAACACTCTGATTTCTTCGCACAGTTACTATTATTAATCATTCTCATTTCCATTTTATCAATTTATTATCAACAAATATGCGACAAACAAGGATGATTATAAGCAAATTTTCAAACTGTTAGAAAATTTCGTCGATAAATTATTTAAATTTGATAGTGCGATATTACGCCGTTTGACCTAATGTTTTTCTTGGTATCAAATAATTTATACTTATTTAAATTTCTAATTTAGGAAATATTTATTTCATGAAATTCGGTCGGTGCACAATCGGTTGATTGGTTGGTAGTAAAATGCATCCATTCATTCATTCTGTAAAGCGTCTATCCTGAATTCGTTGATCTATGAAATATTCGATAATCAATCATATCGTCCATTTAAATAATATTTGATGTTTGCTATCTAAACTACCAAAAATAATATTTCTTTATTTATTTCGACAATAAAAATTTTTAATTTAATATTTCTAATTTATATTTGTTGCTATTTTCATATGCTTTTTTTCTTCAAAATTGTTTTAATATTTTAAATTTCTTTTACTTTTCACATATCAAACGCTTTGAACTGAAAATATTTTTCCAAATGCTTCACTGCATGCAATGTTCATGCAAACAATTTCTATTTCGCTGATTTATATCGCATATTTTTTCGATTTATAAAATTTGGGCTTTGAGAAAAAGAAATTGCATGATTTATGAATTTTCCTGTGCAACGGCTAAAACCAATGTCAAATATTTTTTAGCAAATAGATCTGATTTGATAATTTTCAAATATTTCTTGTTTCAAAAGAGTTAAATGAATTAAAATAAAAGTCCATAAAGTATTTTCTCAAAACCTCCAACTGGTCTCAATTCTTTTTTGATATTAACGAATATTGTTGACAGTTACAACATTAAAGCTTGCCAAGTGTTGGGAAAATAGATTGCCATGGGTGGAAAATTGGTTTACGCAAATAGATTGTCGTCAAAAGAAGACTTTTTCTTAAAAAAAATAATTATCATGATAAAAATTAGGAAAATTGCTTCAATTGATGGAAGCGCCAAATAAATTGACCGAATTCATTCATGTTTAATTAAGTAATTAGATATTAAATTAATTAATGCGGTTTAAATCAAATTCCAACTGTTATATTTCCATCAAATAATATGAAACTTAATGAAAATTCATTATGTGTCGTAAAATTTTTTTCACTAATTTGCTTGCTTCTTTTGCCTTTCAACAATATGTAATTTGTTGATTACTCCAAAGTTTTAGGTTTAATATTTCTTTTCAATTTTTTAATATTTAATTTTTTAATATTTTAAAATTTCCTCAGAGTTTTTGCATAAATTTTTTTCGTGATTTCCATTCATTTTTTTTCAAGGAATTCCATTTTTTATTTATCGTTTAAAGATTTTACTAAATACATTTCTTCAAAAAATGAATATGAAAAATGAAAGTGAATAAATTTTTTTCGTTTTCTTCAAACTTAAAAGTTGATAATTTGAATATAAGTTGATAATTTTTTTCGCGTTAATTTATTTCGGCATATTTCAAGTTTTTTTATCGTTCTATTAAGCAATAAAATTTTAACTTAAAGTAATTAGTTAGAGAAAATTTTTTACAGGAATAAAATTCCATCTTTTACCAGAAAATCGTGAACCTATCGTTAAAAAATCCCGCTGGTGCTGAACTATTTCCATTTCGCTGCAAAAATTTTTTACATCCTAACTATGTTAACATCCAGAGGAGCTTAACCAGAAATGGTGAACACTAATCATTTATTCACCCACTCTAATTATCAAATGATTATCCAAATAATCCATCAGTTTATCGATTTGTATTCGGTTTTAAAAAAATTTGATTCTGTTAAAATTTTAAGATTTATGAAATATTTTATAAAATTTAAAAACAAGAATTTTTCGATGCTTTAAATTTTTAAAAAAATCGGCAAAAATTTTTTTCGTTTTCTTCAAACTTAAAAGTTTTTTATGACCAAAATTGTCTTTAAAAAATCGACGATTGCTCAATGCAATTTCGATAAAATAATTAATTTTCTTTGAAATAAATTCAAAAAAAATTTTAACAAAATTTGAAGAAGTAAAGATAATTTCGTGAAAATTTGGAAAATTTTTTTGAAAAATTCTTATTCTTATAAAAATTCTTTTATAAATTGTTCAAGGAAGAAATTAAATAAAAGAAAAGCTTTTTCAGCAAACAATTTTCGTTGTTTTAACGGGCAAAGCAGAAATGAATTATTTGGTAAATAAGCAGTTGTTCATTCTTTTTTTTCTTTTCGTATATTTTAATGTTTATTTTGTTGTTAAAAAAAGATTCCTTTTTCTTTCAATGAAAATCGCAAAAATTGGTTGAATGCTTATTTATTTACTGAATATTTAATGTTATTTTTGGCCAAAGAAATTACATTTAATATAATATAAAAATTGAGCGCTACTTTACAATTTTAGGATATAATTTAAAAAGAATCCAAATGGTAAAGTGCCGAGGAAACCTCGTTTTATTCTCGGCGATAAGGTCAACGTGTATCGCTTAAATTATCATTTATGGCTCTGCATTTGCCCCATACTGGAGAATTAAATCTGCGATTAAAAAATCTGATTAATACTGCCTTATCCTCCTTCCACCTCCCTCGAGTGACTCTCTGGCAATATTATCACACAGTATTATCACACACACCACTAATAGCTGGGTGCTAACCATTTACTTACTCGATTATTCGTAACTCATTATGCTAGCTCTAAGCTAAAAATTGTTTTTTCAGGAATGCTTTTTGAACTGATTGCGATATATAATGTAATTTTGCTTATAATTGATCTTCTGTCAAACAAAGAAGTTCATTAAAATTTGAAGTTTATTTGGTTATATTTTTAGAAATAACCTTAGTTCTCTTTTTTTAAAAATCTCCCCAGGAAAGATTTTTCGAATCTCGCTGAGCATTATTTTATTGAAAGATTCGATGTAAACAAATGCTTGATATGTAATTGATGCACTTGCGACTGAGAAGTGAGTATTTATAAGATTTGACTGATGGAAATTATTTGTTACATTCGTTATTTATTATGTGAAGTTTTGTAAAAATTTTCATTTTTCATTTTCTTGTATTCTTTCCTATTTACTATTTATTTATGCTTTATTTGGATGTTATACTCGATGATGCTCGATGAATCAAAAAAAATGAATGTAGAAAAAGGAATGCGGCGAGGGGACGGGTATTTCCATTTTCACGCAGCCAGCCTTCTCGGAAGAATTTTTTTCTAATTTATAAACCATTATGCAATATTTATATTTCGATTTCCTCTAGCAGCTCTCAGCATTATTGGTTAGGCTGGCTATAAGGGTAAGACGCTTCCAAGCAGCGCGGTCTGATTCCATCGTCGACAGTAGTAGAAGCCATTCCTTTTTCCATCTTCTAAATCCATATATTGCTGGTCCATCTTTTTTGAACGTATCAGACCAGGTCTTGATTGGCCCATCTCGCTTTTGACGTCATCCATCACATGATTTAGCAAGTAACGAAATTTGCGACAACTCTTGTGGTGGACGATGGAGAATGTGCCCTAACCACCGAAGGCGACGCTCTGTGATATTATTAATACAGATGATGTTTGAACGAAGGTGGATGCGATCATGTGATATTTTATTCGCTCAACGGACCCGTAAAATATATCTTAGGCAAAAGTGGTCAAAGATAGATAGCTTCTTAATATCCTCCACTCTCACTGGCCATGTTTCAGAACCATGTAGCAAGATCGAACGAATCACGGCTATATAGATGCGCGGACTTTTGTTTTAATGGTTGTTTTAATTTCACGACCGCTCCATAAAAGTTTCGTCGCATTTCTAGCTGCCGTAATCCGGGCTATAATATCATCTTTTGCCTGGCCATTTGGTATTAGAGTAGACCCAAGGTATTTAAAATATATATTTCGACTTATCCTCAGTCATAGCTTGAATTTTTTTAAAAATTCAAATCGAATTGTTCAAATCGAATTTATAACTGTGAAACTAATATTATCCCTTAATATTTGATTCTCTCGAAAGGCGATTGATGAATAAATGGTTTGTAAGGAAAGTGCTTTTTTTTATTGATCCTTTCATTGGGACGGAAACATTAAATTTCTATTTTATTTGGTAAAGCAGAGAATTCGTTGCGAGGAATATTTTCGTTTGTTCTTACAATTTTAATTAAACATTTCAACTTAATTTTCGGAATAATTTCCCGATTTTCCACTTTATAAATTCAAATCAGTTTTTTTTCGATTTAATGCGATTATTGCGATTTCAGTTTTTCAAGTTTTAATTCTAACTTTAAAATTTAATTTAAGAAATTTTTTTTTGCAGTGCAATGATCTCACTGAAGATAATATATTTTTTGAGCTTTTTGATAATTTTTGTAATAAGTCAACGACGCCACAAAGATAAGGACGATGCATACGTCGATTTAATTCCTCTCAATCTTATTCCCGAGGGATGCAGTGCAAATTCGTATTATGGATATGGTATTGTTGATGGAAGTCTTGAAAAATGCGATAAATATGGCGAAGCGAGATCGGTTGATGGTGAAACTAGTGTCGAATATGAGGAAATAAAATGCAGAACAATGAGAGGTATGTTTCTAGCAAATATATATCGCTTCAGTGAATGACAAAATAGAAATTTAAATAGCAGAAGAAACAATAATAAAGGTCAAAAAGAAATAGGTGCAAGATATCTTCCCTCGAGGTTCTCGATTCCCCGATGTCATTCAACTTTTTTGACAACAATGACAAGGATCTCTTATCAGGAAAATATTTCAAAAAAAAGAAATGACAGCTTCAATCTCAAATATTACCTAAAAATTTTCGAATTTTTTCAAGAAATATCGAAATTTCATCTAATTTTTTAAAAAATTTGAAAATTTTCTGCCTCATTTTAAAGGATTTTTATTTTCTTCAAATTTTATTCATTAAAAATTTTTCATTATTTTCATTTTATTGTAGAAAATGAAGGAAAATTTTTCGAGATTTAAATTACCAAAATTGGAACAAAAAAAAGGATTTCAGAAGGAAATAATCGAAAATTCATTTTGGAAAAAGAGAGAATTTGATTAATTTAAATTTTTTGGTCTAAAATAGCGATTTTTAAAAATTTTGTGCCAATTTACTATTATTATTATTTATAAATTCTACTATTATTATTTATAAAATTTAAATATTTAGTGCATGGACGAATGGTTGGGGAAAAATGTGTTTGTAAGGCTGGATGGAAGGGTCCAATATGCTATGAATATAATGGTTGTCCAGCTGGTTATGCGCTCTACAATAGTGTGTTAGTTGTAATAATTCCATTTCTATTCCAATATTTGCAATTTATCGTATAAATTTATTCATTCTTGGAAGGAAAAAAATAAATGAGTAAAGTGAAACTAAGTAATAAACAGAGACGGTTTACTTCGAGTCGATCTTCTTCACTTCACTTTAGTTAATTTATTAAAAATAAATGGATATATTTTTCACGAAAAATCACTATATTTCTAGTATATTTTTGGTACAGTTTAGTAGTAAAAAATTCAATGAAATTTCATTGTTTTACCCACTTTTTCTTCTTAAATCTCTTAAATTTCTTGTTTATCAGAAAGAAAACGACAAGAAGTGTTTTAATAGTTTCGACCTTGTGAGCCCGCTGAAATGTTTTCTACGGGTATGCGGGCCATATTTTGAAGATTATGCTGCATTCATGGATTCTTTTTTTTGAGTCAATAAATGTTCTTTATTTGAAAATAACAAATTCTAGTTGTACACCAAATCCCTGCCAACATAATGGTACTCTCGCTATTGGTTCAAAACAAATTGAATGTATATGTCAAGCACCATGGGACGGAAGGCACTGCGAACGACTTACATGTTGGAGAATGGCTCCCAAAGGTTTTAATATTATTTTGAAGAATCACTTGATTAAGGACGAATTTGTTTTCCATTTTAGCGAAAATCTGGGAGCGGAAAATTTGTTTTAAATTTTCCCATAAGTATTCGTCCAAGAATTATCGATTACTAAAAATGGAGTAAAAAATTGAATTAGCTACTCAGTTCTATTCTTTAAAACCAAATCATAATTATATAAATTATATTAATAAGTGCAAATGAATTTTAAATAAATAAATGAGTGTAAATAATTTTTTTTGCATTTTAAGAATTTTTTTATTTTTTTCAAAATCCTTTGTTAAAATTTTCGTTATTTTTCATCATTTTTTGCTATAGAAAATTAAAGACTGATAAATACAATTTTTTAATGTAATTAGTTAGTGGTGGCAGTTTCTAGAATCCATCCACTTGTGGTTCGTAGGGTGAGGTCGGATAATCCCCTAAGAGTTGCTTAGGATCAACTCAACAGAATTTTTTGACAACAGGTTTAGTCTTGTCACGAGCTCACATCAAAACATGGTTTTTTCTTTTTTTCGAATTGCTTGACTGAGTTGTTGATATTAATGCTAACTGAAATTTTAATGCTAATTGAGACTCGCTCAAATTCTTCTAGAAAATTTGTGTATTTTTTTAATACTCCTAATGAGTCACTTGTTTTTTTCCAGAACATGAAAGAAGATGGAGAAATGCAGGCGATCGTTGTCGTTGTGCCGATGAATATGACGGCGATAATTGTGATATAATTCTGAACTGCAAAAATGACGGTGAATTAATTGATAAAAGGCATGTTTTACCATATTTTGTGATATATTTTTAGCTAATCATAATGTTATCAGCATTACTGTACCAGTATTTGACTATATATTCTTTGCATTACGATCCTATTTCTAACAATAACCAATATCTGACTGATTTTTTAAAAAACTCACATCATGCAAATGAGGAAATTCTATAAAAATTTTGAAATAATTCATGCAAAATTTGACTTATCAGTAAACAAAGGTTGGGAATTGAATTTAAAAGGAAATAATAATAGTGGATTATTTATCGTTGATATCGTGATAAAAATTCAACTATTATGAATATTATAAAAATTCATTTCACGAAATGTTAAAAATTATTTTAGGTGCGAATGTAAAGAACCATATTACGGTGAAATATGTGAAAAGAAATGTCCCGCTGGTCAAACGTTAGTATTCGATACTTGTTTATATTAAAATTTATAATTTTCTAAGTCACGCAATTTATAATTTTAATAATTTAATAATTAATATATGACTTCTTTTCTATATTTTTCTATATTATTTTATAGATGTGGTTCAAGTAAAATTACGATCTCATTTCTAACGATACTCATTGTTTTGCCATTTTTACAACGGTGATGTTTTGTAAATTTATAAAAATTTATAATAATTTATAAAAATTATGAAAATGAATTTTTTGAAAATTAAAAAAATGAATTTTTTGATGAAAATTGTTATTTTATTTCATGTTGGGTGATAAATTACATAAATAAATAGTTTTAGTTTTTCTTTTAATTTGCTTTTTTAACCACTTTTTATGGAAAATTTTAAAAGAACAAAACACCTTCCAGTTGAATCGCAAATCGAATATTTACAAAAAAAACGATCTTTTCTTCATTTTGGGTCATTTCGGTCGTAATTCAGCCTCATTTATTTGGTTTTTAAATTTCTTCTGGTTTTTTTTTCAATAGTCCATTAATTAATTATTAATTATTGCGAATTTTGAAATCATTTTTATTCGACTTGATTCACAAAGAAGAAAACGATATACTAAATATTAAAAATTCTCATTTTGTATATTATCGCTAGCTAAATAAGGTTGTTAAAAGCTTTTTTCATCTTTTTAAAAGCCAAGTATATTTTATTTAATTATAACAGTTGAAAGATCGAGCGAGTGACAGAATAATTGGCTTCTTCTTTTGCTAAATGCCAGTAACGATCTTTCAGTTGATTTATATATAAATTAAGCTGCCAGTTTTATATATTCCTGTGCTAATGCTATTATTATTATTTGAAAAATATTCCTTTTTAAGAAAAGAAAAGCTATTTTAATGGACATAGAAAATGATAATTATGATATAATGGTAATGGTACATATTTATAATATTTTTATAATATAATTCATGTTTCGTTAAAATTTTTTCCAAAACTTTATTTCAGAAGACAAATTTTCTATTTTTTTAAAACCTTTTTTGTCTTAAATCGCTTAAATAAAATCGTTACTTTATCATTTAATCATTATCAAACTAATTGGATTGCAATTAAAAAATATTGAAATTTTCTTGTCAAATGCATTGCTTATTTAACCACTGCTTTTTTTCTTTTGCTTTTTTCCTTGGCGTTCTTTATAGATTCCTTAATTTTTGCTATTTTTCTATTAATAATTTAGAAAAAAATTTAAAATTATGCTTTACACTTTTTTTGTAGTTAATTATTTTAGTATGTTATAATATTATATTTGTTCATTGTGCATGCAGCCTTTTTTTATTATTATTATTTTTTCTATCCGAATATTTCATTTAAACTTTTAAAATTTTCAGTGAAAAACAGCTTTAAAAAAGTTCTATTTTTTGCGGGGAAAAAATGGAAAAAAATTCGAATATTCGAATAAAGAATGGCAGAAAATTATTCTGTTATCCTAAAACCGCTAAATTGTTTAGGCTGATAAGAGGGGACGGGTGAAATTTTAATTAAAGTGAACCTTTAAAGCCAAATTTTTTTAATCAACTTTTTTGTCAGAAATCTTAATACTTTGACTGTTTTTGGTTTTAGGAAATTTAATCGAAAATTAAACAATAAACTGCAAAATTTTCCCTTTTTTTGTAGAAATTAATGGACCACATTCAAAAAATTTTGAATGAAAATCATGCTAAATTTGATTTTGCTTCATCCAATCAATCCGCTTCATTAGATGATTTTTTAATAAAAATAAACGAATTTTAAATATTATTACAAAATATTTTAAATGAAAACTATTCAAAATATGAATCATATGAAATTATTTTCTCATGCTATTGTTTTGTGATAAATTATTCACTATATTTTTTTGTAATTCCGCTAGCATTTTGCTTATTTAAACAAAAATTTAGTTGGCCGAATAAAAAATGCGCTACGAATTTGATTATTACAGTATTTACTTGCTGAATGTTCGGCGTTTCCATGCATCCATTCAAGAGGAGAAAATGCATTTTGAAGAATAAAATTTACAAATAGAACATTTTCGGTTCACTAAAAGAATATTTATAATTTTTCGCAGATGTCATTTGCTGTGTCGTCAATAATATTGGCAGTTGGCAGTTTTTTCACATATTTATTTGTAAAATATTTTCTTTTTCCTTTCTTATCAAATAAAAATAACAATGACAATTGGTTCTTCGTGACAAAAATCCTAATAGTAATTAAATAACCAAATGAGTGAGTCTTATATTAAAGAAAAATAAACATTTGAAAATCCTTTGTAAAAAAATTGAGAAAATTTAACTGATAAAAACTTGTGGAATTATAAATTTCCATGGATTTCCTTTTTCTGGAATCTCTTATATTTCGTCAAGAAAAAATTCTAGTATTTTCGCTTTTTTTAAAAAAATGAATAAAAAATGATAAATTTCCGGATTGTAAATCGAATTATTTTATTTCTATCGGTAGAGGTTAATTTTATGGGCAAAAATTAAAATCTATTTGAAATGGATTCCATCTGGCTAAAAATCTTATTTAACCAAATGAGGAAATTTAATCGATTCATTTGACCTCTATGAAATATCTATTTTTGACCTTAAATTCGCTTGCAATTTGGTGCATATAAGATGCAATGAATTGTTCATCCACTGTGAGCGTTCCACTTTATTCTCAAATGCCACATTTTTTATTTTCTTGTATATATATATATATCCATTTTATCAATTTTATCAATTTTACTGATAAATCTGTTCAACAACAATCAGTGAATCGACGAACTTCCATAAGTATTTTAAGTATATTTATTTTATATTTATTCACAATTTTATAACCAATTTTATCCAAATTTTATCGATAATTCTCGAGAAATATTATATTCGTTAAATTCAAATTATTTTAAGCACATGCAAATTGAATTATTTCACCAAAAAAAATGAACTGAGAAGTTGAGAATTGTAAAAGACAAATATTCGACATATGAATATATGAACAAAATTATTTGAGTTTAATACAGTTTGAAAGTTGAGAAGCAACTTCATGACGGAGGTAAATTTATTGTTAAAAGTGAAGTCCGGTGTGAGTCTCCTGCATTTCTATCCCTCGAATAATTCTTTGGCAGAAGCATTTCACCATAGTGAACCAGCGGAGTCAAACCAGAAATCAAACCATAAATGGTGCATTTTGTTCAAAGGAGAATATTATTCGAATCTTTTATTAGAGGAATTGAAAGAGATACAACACCGTACTTAAAATGTTTTTCGTCATTACCTGGAATTCTTTTACACCGAATAAATACAGGTATTTTAATACTATTGTTCCCTTTCAAAATCGCGTCGTTTCCAATGAGTCCAATATTCGCACCACACGACCAATTGCTAATCGGAGTTGTAACTCTTCAGTCGATACGCTTATTAATCCCATATCGATAATTTTAGAATCTCATTAAGCTAAATATAAAATGAAACTACCAAACCCTTCCGCACGTTTTCTGCTTTTCTTTTCGATTTAAAATTTAAAAAAGTTTTTTAGAGCGATTTGTCATTGCAATTTTATTTTATACAATTAATTTTATGAAAAGGCTGAATTTCCTAATTAAAATTAAATTGCTGGGTGATTTACGCCATCAAACGTACAAATATTATCTACAGGAATATCTGCAATATGCAATATGAAAATCCTGTGGGATTTCTCCATCCGGACAGATAAATAAGTGCTAATCAGTCGACCATATATCGTGGTAATAGACAAGAATCGGAAATCAGACTGGTATTTGATATAGCAATACCAAGGAATAGGTATAAAAAGAAAGAGAACAGGTACAAAAGTCAAAGACCAGGGGCTGAAAGAGGAACTAGAGAAGATATGTAAAATGGAGGCAAAAGTAATTGGAGCATTTCGAATCTGTGACTCCTAAACTAGAAAAGTGGCTTCAGTAGATTCCAGAAGCAACGTGAGAGATCCAGAAGAGCGCAAAATTAGGAACAGCTAGAATCCCTCGGACGCGAACCCTCAATTTCTCAGACCTCTGGCAGAGGATCTGAGGTTGAGAATGATCCTTATCACCCACAGGGAATGAGAAAGAGATTTTTTTATGTATATATTTTCAAATATGGAAGTCATTTTTAAAGGAAATTAAAACTATTATGTTAATATATTTATATTGTATTATATTTTTATATTTATATTTATAAAATTATTATTTTAATATAATTCTGAACAATCAATTGAAAATTCACCGCCTCTTAATCATTTCTTAATATTTTTGAAACGCCTCTTACAACTCATAATATTCTCTCGAACTTCTTTTCCTGCATTCCTTTCAAATATCACCACTGCTTTTCATTCCATTCCACAACAGCACTCTCTGCGTTATGGGTTTTCCTGGTTCTCCTTCATCCTCCTTCAACCTCACCTCTTAGCTTCCTTTTCCTTCCTTCTGCATAAAGACGGCTAAAGTGAGATGTTCCCTCCTCCTCCACATGATACTTTCCTAGCCTCTTTTTTAGCTTAATCCTTGCGCGGCTGCCGAAAACAACTGTCATGTTGCCCACTGCCATGCGATCGCATTTTAGCGATTACGGTTTGTGGCTGCCAAACTTTGCAGCCGAGTGTTAGCAATCTCTGGTCATTTTCGCTGGTCAGTTATTAAAAATAAATGTTCCCTTTGATATTTAACGCGTCTAACTTGGCAGTTTTGATTCAAATGGTTAATATATTTTTTTAAATTTACAACAAATTTGTAATAATTTTCTTATTTTCAAATAAAATAAATTTTCAAATAAAAACATTCCAAGAAGTTCGAGAAATTATAGTTTTAATCGCGTTTCGGAGGCCCTTTCATTTTCTCCCCCTTCATTTCCGATTTCGCGGTCGCTCGTCGCGGCACTCATCGACTTTAATATTCTCTCGTTTAGCCCTTTTTGCTTTCTGAATGTATTTGAAATTCGCGGCTCTCCATACAGTCGCATTAATTCAATTAATTGTATTCCAAAAAATCTCTTAATTTAAAAAAAAGTTATTTTAAAAGGAGCGTTTCATGGTTGCAAGTGAAAAAGATTCAGAATGATCGGATATGGAAGTGAGAAAAAGGCGGACGGGCGCGAGATGACCGCCAGTGAATACAGTCAGGCGGGCTTAATTAGCGGCGTGTGCGCTCGTTGTATCGTTCAGCCTTTGGATGTGCTTAAAATAAGATTTCAGGTTTTCGTTCATTCATTTCGCTAGGACGCTTCTAGCTTCTTAAATTTTCCGATCTTAAATTAACAGTAAAAATAAACAATAAAAATTATATAAAATTATTTTTTGGTTTATATGTCATTTTATTTTTAAATACTGTCAATTTTTTTATTACAGAATTATGGTTATTTCATTTAAGACTGATAAAAAGGTCTCATCTACAGGCACATATCGAGTACAGTCACTTAAAGGCTTTATTCATCACTTTGAAGTCTATCACAGTCCTTTGTTGCTCATCGATTCTGCCTCCTTATCCTTTATTTCTTCTCTGTAACGCCAGTCACTGTCATTTATTTTCTTCGTAATTTGTGGTCGCTGTATGAAAGAGTAAAAGAGACGTGGCTTTTGAGAGGTATAAGGAAACTGGGTGATGTAAAGAGGATGCAGCTGGGTCTAATAGTTGAAAGTGGAGTTACGAACGGATTATGGAGGAGATGCTTCATTGTTTCACCAGTTAAAATAATGGTTTTAGAGGGCAGGAAATATTTAACGATGTTTGAGAAGGTAGAATATCATTTGAAACTGCGATCTCATTTCTTCCTCGAGGAACGAGGGATTCAAGTACCTGTCCATGCATTTATTTATCTGCTTGCATGGCAAATTGTATAGTATATTCCATACAGATTTTTTTAAAAAATATTTCATTATTTTTTGACAGCATATTTATTATTTGAGTTGCAAGAAGAACCAATGCGAGGATCAATGCGGGGAAAATATTCAGGCCTTCTTCAAGCGAGTTATTTGATATGGAAAGAAGAAAATGTTGTTGCATTCTGGAAAGGTCATATTCCTGCTCAAGGATTGTCGGCAGTTTATGGAATTGTACAGTTTGCTGTATTTGAATCGCTCACTAATAGAGCTAAATATATTCCACGTTAATTTTTTTCCAAATATTTTAATTTGTATTGTTGCGAAAAATAAGGTGATGAAGAATGAAGAACTGTAAGATATTGCTGTAAGATAAGAACTATGAGACAAACGGATTTTTCAATTTTTTAGTTGCAAATCGAAATCGAAGCTTGACTGATTTTGTGTGTGGTGGATTATCAGGATGTTGTGCAATGACGGCGGCAATGCCTCTGGATGTTGTCAGAACGAGGCTTATCGCTCAAGGAAATCCAAAAGTATGGATTTTCAAAAGTCTGTCTGCTATTCTGTTCTGCCTGCTCGATTTTTATATGATTTAACAAATAGTTCTCAATAATGGTACCTTTTTTGTTATATTTCCATGCCAGATATTAAGTGTATCTTAAGTTTTATCGAGGAACTATCCATGCTATTGGAAAAATTTTTCGCTGCGAAGGTGTGCCTGGTTTTTTCAGAGGATTAGTGCCGTCACTCGTTCAGATTGCACCTTATACAGGTTAGCTTTTTTGGTTCATTTATAAATTTCGCCATAAGCAACATTGGACGTTATTTCCAACTCTATACATGTAGGTTCTGTCGATCTCTAAATTCTCTCAGACTACATTATAAAGCTCAGAAAAAAATATAAAATTTATATTTATCAGTTTCGACCGTTACTTTTGTTTTAGGAGTGCAGTTCGCCTTATTTAATTGGTTTTCCAAAATGTCGCAGAAATTTTTCGATGCTTCTGGTTCGTTTATTTTTTATTTATTTTTATTAATTATCTATAAATATTACTCTTTGCAGTTGTTGTGAAAGTTGTGTTGTGCTAATGTGCACTTTTTCTTTTCTGTTTATATATTCTTATATAATTTCTAGGTAAAACAACTGCTTTATACTGCGGTGCTTTGGCTGGTGCTGCTGCTAAAACGACTTTATACCCGTTAGATGTTATTAGGCATCGACTTCAAGTATATACAAATACTTTTAAATACCGTTAAAATATGTCACCGTTAAATACAACAACTTTCCCGTAATTTTGTCCGTAAAAACTCAAGCTTTAGATGCGTGGATTTGATCGAAGAGGTTTTGGAAAGGCATCTCAGTATCGCTCAATGATTGGTACTTTTATTCATTTGATAACAAAAGAGCATTTTCAAGGTTTTGTTTGATTTTGGTTTTAAATTTGATTAGTTAGAAATTAGGAATTATTTTTGGTAAAACTATTTTTTCCATGCTATGTAATTTATTCATTATTTATTTTATTATTATTTTAAGAGATATTCCAAGTAGTTTTCTGAAAAAATTTTTATGCCAATTATTTGATTCCAGGATTATTTAAAGGACTGTCGCCATCGTTAATAAAGGCTGCTGCTAATTCCGGCTTGTGCTTCTTTTTTTATAAGGTAGCTTTGGAATTAATTCGAACTATTAAAGCAAACAATTAATTTCGTGCCGTATTTATTCATAAACCAAAGGCTACCGTCACAAATTTTGCTTTTTTACGAAATATTTAACTTTCATTTCATTTCTTTTGTCAATTTTATTAAAATTTTACTCCGTAGTTTCGAGATATCAAAAAGGAAAAGGAAAAATTTATCGAATTTAAAACAGGGAAGCAATTAAGGTTTTCAGTTCATATGAATATTACAAATAATAAATATACAATAAATAAATAAATATACACTACTCAAATTTTATTCGAAAATAAATTACTTTAGCTAGCGTGCATTAATGTCCAACATTATTCCTTCGTTCCTTAATATGTGCTTCCAGAATATCAGCGAATGCAGAACGTTTCAGGAGTTTGTAAGCCGTTGTTAAGGTATGAGAAGCCAAAACATCGTAAATTTCATAATTGGAAAAGAAGAGGTCATGACCAAATTCCAAACCCATACCATAATCCATTTCGTCATTCGCAAACTAAATAACTAAATTTATGGTTTATTTTTACCTTCAATTTCTAAAGCACATCTATCACAGATAGAGATTCAATGTTTTTTTTACATTGAAGATTGGCAATAATGTAAAGAAATTATAATCATTCATTAAACAAGAAAAATAAAATTAAAAGAAGCAGGGAAAAGTTGCCTGGACATAAGCCATAAGATTCTGAATCTCTTCCATTTTCATTGCCCTATCAGATGAATTGGTGGTCTGCGCTGTTTCAATAAGCAATTTTTTTAATTTTCCTAAAATTTCGCAGATAACCCAAAAATACAATTAAAAAAATAATTTCAAGGGGATTTATCAGAGATGACAGAGATATACATTAAGAAAAATAAAAATTCAATACAAGCGAACAAACCAGGCTGATCTATAAGAGGACGATAACCGATGTTATTTTTCACATCAACTATTATTCCAATACCATGAAACGGCTTTCCCAGACATTGTTTTCGGCGTTTCGATGCTATCTTTTTTACTTCATTGGTATATCTCTTATAATTACCTTGAAATCGTAAACAGTTATGAACATAGAATAACTACAAATTTAAACAATAGTGGGAAAAGCCAGTTTACCAATTTTATCAATTTTCTGTTTTGTATTTCAATCAGCATAAAACCTAACCTCTCCAGTCTTTTGGTAACAATGCTTCAGTTTTGTTATTTAACTTGCTACCAATTAAATAACTCAGCATATACGTCGGATCGATGCAGCCAACAATTTGTACAGTGGGGAAATGTTCATCATTGGCCACATGAATTATTAATGGCATAGTTTGCTCAGGATAATCTCTGAAATCTCAGCAGAAACATGAGTAAAGCTTGAGCAGTTCTTAAGAAATTGCATTAAAAGGTTACTAAAATAATAGCATCCAATACAATATAATATAATATTATCATCCAATTCTTTTTGGAATTATCGTGAAATTTATATTAACATTTTAACAAGGTTAAATACTGATTTTGTCCTAAATTATGGCAGTTTGATCGCTCGAAACTACTTGAGAGGTATTTTGAAAGAATTCTTTTCAACTCAAAATTACAATGAGAACAGAACAATAATGGCAAGGCATGCGAATTCTTATGATGTACTATTGCGTTAAATAGTAAATTTTAAATAAATTTTAAAATAAATTCAATGGCAGTACCGAAAATAAGCAAACCGTCCACCATTATATATACCTATAGTTTGCATTTCGGGCAAGTCGGTAGCATATCTTCGATAAGTCAGTAAAGAGTCTTTATGCAGAATTTCCTTGGTATGGCCAGCCATATATTCAAAGACCCCAACAAGACGCAAACAAGAGAGTTCTTTGAAAGCATCTGCAGAATTTTTAATCTTATTTTTTCATTTATGGAAAGCGATTTATCCACCTGTTGCTTTAATGCAACAACTCTAAAGGAGGAAAGTTTAGTAATTAAAAGCATTTGAAATATTTATCCGAGCAAACGACTAAAACTTGGGAACTTGCTTTTCACTTTGAATTGTTAAAAGAGGCGAAACAAACCACAAGGATCGGATTCTTTTTCAGTTAGGCTTAGAACATGCTTCCAAAATTTTAAAATTTCCGCAGGATGGTGAACACGAAACACGTTCGTCAGATTTTCGAGTATTTCATTTTCATCAGAAAAGTAATCGCTAATCCTTCCACAACTCTAAAAAAGAAATAAAACAATGAAAAATAAGAAACGAAAAGGAAATAATGAATCAATAAAGGAAATAAATAAATAATAACCAAATGACCAAATAAAAAATTAAAGCAAAATTTGAAGCTATTTGGAAAACTTTAATTTACGTTTTCACTGATATTTTCCGACGATTTCGCTGCATTTTCAGATTTTCGCTTTTTTGTCGGTAAATTTTCACTATTAATTTTCCGTTTTCCACGAACCATCGAACCTATAAATTTTCATTCGTTTTATTTTATTATATAAATGAAAACGGAAAATGAATCGAACAACGGATTTTTTTGACAAATTTCGCTCAAATTTTTATAAAATGAAAACATAAATAAATGAAGAAAAATCGAAAATTGCGAAAACTATAAAATTTCCAATCGACGATAATTCCCGCAACAGTTTAAAAACGGAACGGTCTGTGTTGTTCTCCGAATTATATTCGTTCTGAAAAAAGTATCCAAAAATTTTAGCGAATGAATGCAAATCGGAGAAAACTATTCGCGGCTCGCGCGAAAATAATTCAAATGAGTTTCCCATTACTACTCTGCGGCCGTGCATCTATTAATACCAACCCGTTGCACTGCCATAAATCGGCTGGCGAGGAGTTTCGCTTTGTTTTATTTAAACTACTTACGATTCCATTCTTAAAATTGGAATGCGTCTCTTTCCGCAGCTTATCAAGTGACTCGACCTGGAAGGATGCGCTCGACCCGCTCGTCGTCAACTACCTATGCTGCCATTAGAGTTTACAACCAGAATTACAAATATTTCTCGGCTTCTGTTTTTCTTTTTAAGAAAAACTCGACAATCCGCGAAGGAATACCTTTCGCTCGCTCAATTTAAATATAATTACAATTTCATCGAATCGTAAAGCAATAAAAAGATTAACCAATATAAACCAATTTTTTTGAATAGCAACTTTTGGTAGAAATGAGCAAAAATTGGCGGAGAAAACGCCTTTGGAATTAGAAAATCATAAATAATGGCTTTGAATCTTTTGAAAGAAATTATAAACAAACGAACACCACTCGAAAGTGGCTATTTTCCATTTGCCATTCGTTGTTCTTCTCAATCTTCTTTCATTCATATATTCATAAACTACATTTACAAAATTTTTCTCAAAAATTATAAATGTAAATAGTAATTTTCAGCTTTTTTTCGGTCAAACAATTATGCTTCGATAAAAAACTGGAAAAGAGGAATGTGATAAAAAAAAAATGAGGAAACTGGATGAGATTTCTAGAAAATTACAAATCCAAAATGCGGCAGCTGAAGACATTAAAGAATAATTTTTTCTGTAGAGATAATTCAAATCTAGCTGCGGTCACTTAATATCAGAATTTTATCTTATCCGTGATAAAAGAGACCGTAGTTAAAATTTGATAATAATAGTAAACGATAAAAAATCATGGAATTCGCCAACAATAATAAGTCAGTTGTGAAAGACTGACTGATATACTGACTGTCACGACTAACTGTATTCAGCATATCCCATTAAACGAATGAAAGCTTTTTAAATCGACAAGAACCATAAGCCTATAGTCGGAAATTTTTTTCGTACGCATTGATATTTGTCGACTGTAATAATTTTTTTGCCAATTCAATATCTTTTTTGATAGCCATTTTCAACCCTTCTAAAAGATAAATTTTACAGTAAAAACAATAACTGTGAATATATTTTCATATTTAAATAATTTTTTTCACTTAATCTACTAAATTAAGCAAATAATTATTTCAAAACAATCATAAGAGATCAAAAAATCAAAATTTTACATTTTATATTTCGAAATATACGAATAACAAACTAGCCTAAGGAATCAAATGATGCCATAGGTCGCAAATAGCCAAGAGCGACTCCCTGTAGATCCGAACCATAAAAGCCTTCTTCAAAACTGTGTAAAATATGGACTTCCTGAAAACTTTAATGAAAAACTGAGAAGCCCACAGGAAATTAAATTCATATACTAAAAATTTTCAAAAAGCTATTAATCAAGCGATATTACGATTGGTTGGAAAGAATTTTTGATTAAAAATTTCATAAAAAAAGCTGCGAGCCGTTATTACTCAAATCAATCAAACAAAAATTAAATTCAAATTTGAGCAAACTTTAAAAATACTTACTATTGTTTTCTTTTCGTTTTGAAACTGCGGATTCCATCCAATACTCATAATCATTCCATGGATTCTCCCACAGTCCACTTGCGCCAAACCATAAAAAACACCACAAGGAAAGTCAGGTGGAAGCCTAGAGACGGCCTCCTCATCAAGGTTCGCTGAAAGGTTTCTATTTTTTTCGAATCACTTATATCACAATTAGCCATTAACACAATTGGCCGGCTGAGAGATTTCCAAAAATACACAATTTATTTGAATACATAAAAATGAATTGAATGGAAAAAAAAATACAAATGTCATTAAATACTTTCCGAGAGATTCTCCTGAAACCTTATTTATTCTACCATTTTTTATTTTGCAATCTTCATTTATAATTTATTAAAACCTCAGGAATCTCAGGACTTGAATAATACAATTAAGCAGCTCCAGGATTCAGGACAGGGTTATCTAATGATAGGTGCAAAGTGCATTGATGGCAAATATCTCAATCTTCCTGTTATTTTTGTTAATAAACTGTAATAAATTTCTTCATACTCATACTCAAACTTTATTCCTTGGTTTGGATTGGTTTGATAAAGGCTGTCTTAATTGTAAACACATTTTAAACGTTACGCTTAAAAAATTTAGAAATATTTCTTAACAATGTGAGTAAAAATTCCTTCATTAGCATTTAGAATGAAATAGTTCGTCGTTCTACTAAAGTACCATCGCAAATCCGTAAAATCAACCTTTATAGAAATATTTTTCACACAAATTCTCTTAAATTCTAAACAATCTAAACAAAATTCATATAGTGTTGATTCACTTAAAGAATAAAATAAGATTTAATATTTGCTCGTAAGGCTAGATTAATTTAAAAAGAGCTTTGCTTGAATTTCAATATTACAAGAGATGAATAAACTTACGCAAACCAGTTTGAAGAAGCAGTGTATAACCTTTTACAGCTATTAATTATTTACTAGAACTTATTATCAAATTATGCTGTTTTCGCTAAACCTCTCTCAGTTTTAAAAAAAGAAATTTGATAGATGATCAGTAATATTCTTGGAAATGCCCACAGCTCACTGTTGGTACTGGTAATATTTTTAGTACAGTACTACTTGCATTTTTAAATTTTACAATGTTTTTTTATATCTTTCCTCAAATTTTGTTTTTTTATTATTTCCCATGTTTCTGTCCTTTCTGATTGCATTTAACCAGTATAAGGAGCGCTTTAATCTTAACCTGGTTTTTACAAATAATTAAATATTAAAAAATATTGCTTTTTATAAATAATTAATCTTTCGAAAATCCATTCCAAAGATGGACTCGCATCCAATAAACAACAAAATTTTCCTCTTCAACAGGCAATGCTTCTATGATAATAAAACTATTCAAAAAAAATTTTCTGAAAATCAAATGAAGGTTTCATACTTTTCAGACGATCAAATTTTTATATAACTCTCATTAAAAGACAACAGTCCCTACCAAATTATGATGTTGTTCTATAATTCAATATATAATTCACAATATAATTTATAAGGCCAACTATACAAGAAACTTAATGATGAATTTCTCAACTAAATTTTGTAGAGAAAACCGAATAAAAATAAAACTTGCGCCTTAAATTATGCATCTATTAAAAACATTTGACAATCGCCCACTCCATCATTGTATTTGCAAATATTGTAATTATTCTATAAATTTGTTCGTGATATTATATTTTGCCTTCTTCGACGGAAACTTTACCGCAAATTCTAATAAAGCCACAATAGAAAATTAAGAGAAAAATACCAGTAGGACAACCGAGCTGTTTGGCACCTCGACCAAATCCACTAACAACTTTACCATGAAAATAATAAGGATAGACGTTCATAGTATAGCTCTTTCACTAAAAAAAAATGATAAAGAAAATAGTTAAACTCAACAATTACGGAAATCATATTTTAAAATCCAATTAAGAAAGCTTTGAATCATTTTTTCAATTTCTTAATTTCAATTTTTTCAATATAAATTAGATAAAAGAAACAATCAAACGGCTCTGTAACCCAATATAGCAACAAGGAATAAAATGAACAATAAATTCTTTATCGCCAAATAATAAAACAAAGATATGCAATACACCTATATATTAAATATCCATATTTAGACGAATGAATAAAGAAAAACTTTTGAGCAAATAAAGATTTTACTGAGCAAAATGGTCTTTCAACATAACATAATTTTTTTTGGCGAGGTCAAATAATTCTTGTGGTTGCAAAGATGACATATACATATCATTCACCTCTTTCACACTTGACCAATCGCTCGGTTCAGCTTTTATTGATGAATAAATTTCTGCTAAACTGAAAAAACAAAAAATGAATCGAAAAATTTTAAAAATATCGAATTTTGTTGATGAATGTTGAAGAAAACTTCTTCATGATGAATAATTCTTTAAGAAATTCTTGGAAATTCAAACAGAAATTTAAAATTCAAAATAGTAAAAATTTTGCAAAAATAAAAAATACAACTGAATGTTACTAAACAGACCACTGCAATATTGTTTTTTGATAAGCGAAAGCAGATAAATGGTGATATCCTTTTCCAGCCTTTTTACTGTATTTGCTCTGATCAAGCATATATGATCGAATAAGAGGCCATGCATCATTTTTAAATCGATGATAAACAAATGATCCAGAAAGTCTACACATCGTTGCAATAGCCTGAAAAGAAAAAATCTGAAATACAATAAATATTGAATGAATTTAATTTAAACGCATTTTATGTACTATTAAGAAACACAAATATTTGCAAAATATCCAAAAATATATATTAATTGAAGTAATGAAATCACTAATTAAGCTCTAATTTGAAGACAAAAGAGAAACCTCCACAGCCTTTCCTCTCACAATAAGCTCCAAATCATTTAAGCGAGCACGAATACCAGGCCAGTTCTGGTGGATCATAGGCAATAATTCATTTTCATAATAACGAATATTAATTAAACACTGCTTAAGTATATCAAGAACAATAAGACGTATTGGCAAAGATGGAGACGACAGTAACTGCTTTGTCCTGAAATAACTTTTTAAATAGATAAATATCTATAAAACTACTCTTTAACCAGGAAAGGCTACAGCATTCACCATCATTAATATTACTGGTTTACATCAAATAAAAAATAATTTTCAACATATTGAAATAACTATATAACCTTTTAAGTAAATTTACAGACGAAATAATAAAAGGTGGCGGAGAACTTTTTTCAAAAGCACAGCATTCACCATCACTATCTGCATTATCGGAACCATTTATTTGTTCATTATGGAAATTTTGACTTTGAAATAATTCGGTGCCTGACTGACTGATTTCATTGGAAATTTCATGAGGAGGAAACCATCTACCCAAAGCATATGAATATGATCGCAAAGCATATAAAATATGAATAATATGTTCCTGCAAATTCCAAATCATTAACGAAATTCTTTCTTCCCTAAAAGCACTAACCATTTGTAGTTTGGTTCGCTCATTGTATATTACACTGATATAGTTTTTGCGATGAAACGACTATGAGATAAAAATACAGGTTTGTCCCAGCACAAATTTTTTTAAGTCTATTGGTGACAATCTTTAGCCTAAGTAACTCAAGAAACGTGGACTGGCATTGACCTTAATTGAAGCAGCATGATCAATTTATCATGATTAAAATTACTGATAAAAACAGCATGATAAAATTAAATCATCAACCCTTAAAAATATAAAATTTTGGTGTTAATTTGGCACTTGACTTAAATAGTAAATAGTAAATAGTAAAAAAAAAAAAAAAATTAAATTGTTAATTAATTAGTTTCATTAATCAGTACTTGAGAATAGTTGTCAACAGCGAAATATAATTCTTCGACCAAATGTTGTACATCGTTAAACAATGCCTGCTGTTGACATTTGTCAAGTAATGCAGCTAAAACGTATGGAGCACGAAGGTTTCGTCGATAATTACGGCAACATATTGCTATTTTTGGAATAAAATAGCTACTATAAGTTAAACAAAAAGAAGATAAATCTTTTTCACCAACGACCTAAAAAAATGTCTTTGTTATTGAAATAAATTTATAATATTGAATGACTTAAAAAAATAAAATTAAAAAGGACTAAAATGACTTCACAAATGATGACACTCTTCGTTAAAATAAAAATATGAAGGAATCTCTTAATTAACAGAAGAGAGATAAACCCTTAAACCCTCATAACAAAAAATTTGTGAAAATTTTTTCTACATTTCTTCACTAGCAAACGGTTTTAAAATGATGAAAAATTGCCTTGGCGATACAGAATAAAGCATAGTTAGCACAGTCAGCACAAACTGGATTTGATGATTTGGTCCATTTGAATAATTCATATAGTAAATTTGCCAATAACTGTAAGTAAATTTACACTTCTAAAATTCTGAGCCTGAATTTTCGGTTGAAGTGGTTAAAAAGATCGTATATTAATTAATACCTCTGAATAATCGACCGAATGAAGCGATCGAAATAGTACTCCAACAGCTGTTAGCAAAACAGCTACTAAACAGCTTTCGTCAGAGTGGGCCAGCCGTATGTCTGAAATATATGAAAACATTTAACTTTTTTACTTTATCGTTTATTTTTATTTTAGGACTGTTTATTTCTATATTTTATATTTTATTTTATTTCTTAATTTTGCTTAAATAATTTAAATATGGTAAAAAAATATGGTAAAATATGTTAAATATGTGAGTAATGGTTAATGATACATGAGCTTATTCAGAATAAATTACCTTTGACAATGTCATCATTCAATAATTCTTCAACATCAATATTATCTAATAAATGAACACAATATTCAATGCTTGCACGACAAAGATCAGATGTATATCCATCTAATTCTGTATTTTCTATGTTAAGCGAATGGAAAATTAATACAATCAATACCACACAACCAATTTTTTGCTTTACACTACAGTGAACAACTTCACTGCATAAATAGTCCAAAGGAATCTGAAAAAAAAAAGGAACTTGACTGAAGCAATCAAATATTAGCTAAAGCTAAAAGAAGCTAAAAGAAAATGTAGATACAAAGTGCTGACTAACATAACGATGAGGGCATTTTGATATAAAACCGCAAATCTTTGATAAATCTTTAATCTCAATTTCGTAAACCAATGGCAAATCCATTATGAAACCTGAAACGACAATTACAAATTAATGTTAAGAGACAACCACATAATAATTCTAGCCAAAGAAAAGCAAATGGAATCCTGAAATATCAGAGAATTTCTGCGATTCAATATATCAAAAGGCCATTTTTGATAGCAAATTGATAATGTGAAAAGAAATGAAGAAAATGCAAAAAATTTTAAAGTAATAACTGTCATATTACAAAGCAATAAATAATAAAAAGCATCATACCAATGTCCTCATTCATAATTTGATCAGGATTACTGATGATCCTTATTCTTGAGATATTGATGGCTATTAGTGAAACTAATGTGAATAATAAGTGCTTCAGTGGTTTGCCGGATATGATCATTATTTTGTCTAGTTCTTCTATTCGAAAAAGAGAAATGATACTAGAAAGCTGAAAAGCTTAACTGCAAAAATGTAAATTTTTATATTTTATAAAGTTTCTTAAAAACATAAATGGAAAATACTGTTATGGGATATTACATTTCATTACTTTACATATGCGTTTTTTACTGTTTTTCAAACTAACTTTTTGAATACTTTTTCGTGCACCGCCTTTATTTATCACAGAATTAGGCAAAGAATCTGATAAAGCAAAAAGTTGTTCTTTCAAATGATTCAATAAAAAATTTTCGGAGTCCATGCGATACCGCTCAATTACTTTTTCTGATAGCTGCGAAATGCTAGAAAGATAAATGACTATTAAATGAAAATTAGACAACTAATTTCAAATATTTTATTAAATTATAAAAAGTAAAAAGTGATTAAAGATCAGCATTTCTAGTTAGATTTACTTAATATTGTTAGAAACTTTTGCACTTGAAATCACTTGGCAATAAAAGTATAGGTAGGTCACTAAAATTAGAAATGATTTTTTCATGTTAAAATTTAAGTTTTAATAATATTTTTGAATGAAACATGAAATCTATAAATTATGGATTTTTAATACTATTGAATACCTCTCATAACGGTCAGAAAGAAATGATATACAAAGATTAATGAGAAGAATATCCAATTTCCCAACAAACGAATCCTTACACTGCACCGTAATAGAATTCAATAGTTTTAGCAAAGTTAGCCTCACTGTATGATCGATATTGCAAGACAATCTCGCAACCAAAATTTCGCACTAAAAGTTGAAATATAAAAAATATAAAAAACATATAGAAAATTACCTAGAATACCACGAAGAGCTTAAATGCTATGTTAAAATACTTTAAAAATGTACCATGTCTTTAAGTTTGGTAGTTGTCAAACAGTACCAATCACTATCTTTTTTTACAACTAATCCTTCTAATTCAGCAGGAAGGGAAATAATTTCTTTGTTAGATTCGAAATTGCCTTCCACCAAGCGATTAAATTCATGATTGTTGCAAGTTACCACAACAACAGCGCAAAATACCTATAAAAATTTTGTTTTCTGTGTGCTAATTCCATAATATTTTTGAGACTGGAAAATGATTAAAGTAAACTTTAATAATACGAAATACTAATTTTTGAAGGTTTTTACGAGCATGAACATGAAAAACCAAAATAACATAAAATATAAAAATGAAATTATTTGAAATGCGAATCTTCTTTAAAAAGAAAAGAAACCATTTTCAATTATTTTCAAAATTACCTCCAAGACACTTTCTACGAACTTACTGTTCATTGAATTAGCAGCAACCTTAACCAACTTCGAACATGCCCCAGGTAAAACAATTGACAATGACTGAACGGAATCGTCATGCATATCAACGATAGTAAGCAAAATAGAAGCGGCATGAAATCTTCAAAAAAAAAAAATTACAAATAAAGAAAGTAATAATATGACAAATTCATATTAGAAATAAAATAGATTTAACAAAAATACCTTGCAGTTATATCTCGCGATTCCGATTCTATGATAGTGAGAAGAGTAGAGATAATGTATCCAAAACCATGAATATATGATGGGCAAAAAAATTCTGCAATAGATCATCTGAAGTTCAAAACTAAAAGTTGAAACGATCTTTCAACTTTTTATCATTCATTCATTGTAACGTCAATAAAAAAAATTAACCTTTTGCAGTGGAATCATTAGATAAAATATTTTTAACAATTATTTCAATGCATTTCAGCACACAAAGTAGAGCTGGAGAATCAAGGCTCTTTTGCGAAGCCCATAATGAAAGGCATTCTAAAAACGATTTCGCAAACGCCCAGTGCATAGAATAGTTCTGCAACACCAATTTAAAAAAAAAATTTAACGGGCAAAAAAATTTAATTTTAGAATTTATAAAAAAAAGTAAGAAATATCAAACCTTCTGCAGTACATATATAGAAGTTAATACACACTGAACAGCGGACGAATAAAGTTTTACTTGGTGACCGTCAAAACTGGAGATTGAATTAAAATTTTTCTTGATTCCGGAAACAAGGATATGCAATAGAATTTCATAAAGTCTTAACTTGTCCACAGCACTGAGGAACTGCGAATTCTCAATATCTTAAGTTCATTTTTACACAAAAATTGAAACGGCACAACGGTAAATGACATAGAATACAATAATAAATGATGGAAAAAAAATGCAAACCAAGAATTCATAAATTAACACCCACAGACTTACCTTCAACAACTAATTCCAGCACACTAAGCGATTCTCCGAGAATATTGGATTCTTCAGCTTTTGCAAGCAATGAAAAGAACGATGACACCCTAGAACGAAAATCTTGGGTCCTAATTGATCCCATAACTAGGTTAGTTTTTTTAACCACAATTCTGAAAATCAAACTTTTCAAAAAATGACCGGGTTCAATCAAATCATCTTTTTCTCATGTAGTTCATATGTAGCTGAAGATTGAATTGATGAAAGATCTTAATGACTTGAAATCAATGATGTATTATAGAATAGAAATATTTTTTAAAAATTTATTAAATAAATGAAAAAAAGCAAAACGAAGGCCCCGTCTTTGATAAATTTATATAAAAACGAAAAGGCATCAAACTGATAATCTGAGCTGGAAATAAATAAAAAATTAAATAAATTAAAAAAAATTTTGAATAAAAGGCTACTTTAAAACTGCATTCTTATATACCCATTAATACATTATAACTATTAATAATTAAATATTTAATCAAAATGCTTTATTGCCATGTTTAGCCTTTTTCGTTCAAATGTACTAATAGCTTACTATATTAACACAGAATATAATATAATATTTCTCTTTTATAAATAAAAAATAGAATCATAAAGCTCAAAAACTGAATATTTTAAGGAGTTAAGTACAATAAAACCAAATACAAATGGCAAAACATTGTACTAGAATAAAGAAAAAAATATGTAAATTAAAAATGTAAAAGGAAAATTTAACAAAAATTGTGAATATGCATAGATAAATTAATAAAATTAAAAAAATTAATGTCAAAAGGCCAATAAAAACCACAAAAAAACAGAATAATAATCTCGGTAATAATTCTTATAACCATATATAAATAAACATATGATGAAAAAAATGTCAAATATTCGCAATTTCTGAACGGTCTAAATGAAAAACAAAAAATAAAATAATAAACTTGGATAGCAATTATAAATGGTTCCTAAGAAAAATATCCCATTAAAACCAGTATACACGAAATTAACAGTGAGTTCGCCAGCTACAGAGAAAGTTTTAAAAAAGTGATATCATAGATTTGAATTAGATTGAGCAACAAACCAACAGATGTAAATGCAGCAAAAGTTTGATCAATCCAGCTAAAAATTACAGATCTCATGTAAACTGCAAAGAATCTAGCCATAATTCATCAACGCCGAAATAAATCCAAAGGCATTTTGTATGACTGATTACTTGAAATTGAGTTTGGAACAATAAGTTCGGAATAATCAGGTGGAGATTCAATTTGTCCGACAGCCCATTTCAAAATTTCATTACCTTTAGCAGTTATCGGTGCAGTCTGAAAAAAATAAAAAATTATTTTTAGAATGAATAGAATTAAAACAAAAAGCAAAAATAATATAAACAATCAAAAATTGGATAAAGACAAAAAATTGCAAGCTGATGAAACCAGAAAGTTTAATTTGCACCTCATGATAAGTTATTAGATCGTACAAATGATTGTGCACAACTTGATTCGTTCCAAGGAACTGATATCCTTGAGGTATACGTTCAACTAAAAAGTGTTTAGTTATAGCATCGTTTACAACATATGAAACGGTATATCCCCAAATCCGTTCGGAAACTCGAACAAGAAAGGAGCCAGATGGTTTACCACGTAACAAATTATCAGCCTGATCGCGAGAAATAATGCCTAAAAAATGAAATATGAAATGAAATGAAAAAGCAAGAGCAAATAAAAATATGTCAATAACTAAATAAACTATAAAAGATCGCTGAAAAAAATTTGTACTGATTGAAAAATACCGTGGAACCAGGGTGCAGGTTTATTAGTCTTCGGATCCAACCCAGTCCCTTTTTTTAATTCTTCAACTCGAAACCAGTCAACGATTGCTTGCCTCGATTTTGGCTTGGGTGGTCTCGGAAGATTTTTGCTGCAAAAAGGATAATAAATGCAATATATGGTAACAAACGTAATATATAATGGAATACCCTGAAAATTAAAAAGTTACACTGCTTCACGAAGCGAAAACGAATTGGCTTCTTTAAGTATAGGCAGAATAGAAGTTGATGTTCTTAAGCTTTGTTGTCGATGTTGTTCACGAGCTTTCTGAGCTATCCTACGTATTTGAGCTTCAGCTTCTCTAGCTTTTCGCTCTGGAACGAAAGAAATCAAAATGAAAAGAATTTCCTTAGAATGAAAGGATGAAAGAACAAAAAAAAGACCAAACAAGGATATTGTAAAACATTTTACTTTTATTTATTTTTCTTATAGCAAGTACTGTTCATGAAAACTCTTACCTTGCTCTTCCCATGCTTTCTTTACACGCTCGGCTTCAATTTCCGCTTCCTTTTCGATTTTTTGATGTTTTTCTTTTATTATCTCATAAATTTCAGATTGGCGCTTGCTAAGTTCATCGTCTGAAATTATCTAAACATTTGAAAATCTTTTTACTAGCCTAGCATTATACTTGTTGAGTAATATCAAAAAAAAAATATTCCAATGGCAAATTTGGATGAAATGGATAAAAATAAAAACCATTCATTATTATTTTTTAATTATTGCAATTTAATAATTATTGCACATGATAAACTTCACTTCTGGATAAAAATATGATATATGATAAAAATATGAAAAAATATAAAAAATCTGAAAAAGAGATAAAAATTACAAATTAAAAATTACAAATTACCATCGGCAATAGCAAGATTATTCGATTCAGATCGTAATTTGACCGAATTAGGAGTGATCGCATTGGAAAAATATGATGAAGATACTGAAGTCCTCGAAAATGGATTTGTTTTCAGAATTTTTCCCGCTAAATCAGACTGCCGAACAGGATAAGTGGAAGCGAAATGCTCAACAGTTTGTGGAAGATTGCTAGCCTGTAATAATTTCCTAACTTTAAAATGACGATGGATAAACATCGAAATTCATTGATTCAACATTGGAAATACTGTCTATCTGCTATCTATAAAAATTTGAAATTTATGCAGTGCACCGAAAGCAACCTTAACCTCCCTTTTTCAGTAAAAAGGAAAAAAAATTAATTATATAGTTTGGAGAAGAAAGTTTACTTTTTTCAGCAAAATATCTGCACCAATTTGATTATCCGTAATTAAATTCGCATGCGTTTTCTTAACATTTAACTGATTTTCTGAATTTTCGGTCATTTCACATAGATGCCTATTTATTTTATGATCGTCTGATATTGCTGGTTTTCCGATTTCTTCAGTAGCTTCCACTTTCATAGTTGACGCAAATAGTTTATCCAGTTTTTCGTCCATCTAAATTGACGATCGTCAAAGACAGTTTATTTGATAAACTTTAAATTTATTTTAATTTATAATAATATGAACAGGAATATAATCAATTAATTTTAAAAAATTATAAATAAATTATAAATGAAAACAGACAAAATCTCTTCGACTTTATTATTAAGCCAAATAACCTTCAAATGAAAAAAAAATTTGCGAATGAAAAAATGGATTTCCTATTCAAATCAATAAAAATTCAAGAACTTCTCTATAAGGAATTTTCAACAAATGCTTCGTTCTTGGTGGTCGAACTGGAGCAGCACAATCATCGATCAAAGCAAAATCACAATTTTCGATCGTAGAAATGGTTCCAGAATCAGAAACAGGGATGGTAATCACGTTATTCACATGATTGTCATTTGGAATCGAAGAGCCGAAATTTGTTTTTGCTGATAAATTGGGTGATGTACGATTAGTCAGTGGATTCGACCAAAAAAATGAGTTAATTTCAGATTTTTCATTGTTAAAATTAGCATCTTCATACACAGACTCCTGGAAATTTACATATTTAAAATTAAATTTTACACATTTTATATAAAATATAAAAATATACATATTTTATAGGCATTATGAATAGTTGACATGAATATGAAAGTAAAAGATGCTATTCATATAGTTTCAATCTTCGAAAATTTGTAAAAATCCATTTGAAATTGAAAGCAAATAATCTTTGATATATTTATAAATTACCCTAGTCTGCATTTCACCTCCACTGTCATTTCTTACACCCATTTTACTCAGCTGTTGCTTTAACGTATTCTCGTCTTCAAGAAGATTATAAGGGAGATCTTGGTTGGAATCAACAAATCTGAAATTATATTTTATAAATCTAAATAAGTGTTGGATCAATAAAAAGATATTGAAAATAAATAAATATGCCCAAAAAATAGTTTACGGCAAGCCTTCTAACAATTCCTTTTCTGCTAGTTGACGAGCCTCTTCAAATGCTCTTTTTTCAGTGATTTCTTCAATAGTTAGATCATCTTTGTGTTCACCCATCACCCAAACCCAAACTTCTCCATCAGATCCTTTAAGCCATCTGAATTTTGAAAACAAATATAATATCGCGATATTTTATTTTTTTAAATATTTTAATAAAAAGGCAATATAATAATTTCTATTCCAATTCAGTTTAATATTTTCAATAAATTAAAAAAATAACAATATATTTAACTTACTGCACACGACGTGAATTATTACTTCGCCTTACACATGGTTCACCTTCTCTCTCATATTTTTCTTCCATTGCTTTCCATCTTTTGACTTGTTCTTCGCGCATTTTTATAAATAAAATCTGCTTTTGTTCTTCATCAAGCGCTTCCAGTATTTCCGGATCAACAAACATCTTAATATACCAAAATTTTTTTGAATAATCAACGAATTTTCAAAAAAACTTCACTCATATCCATGAGGAAAAGTCCATGAAAAAAACAAAATAAAATAAAAATTAAGAAGCTGATTTAAAACAAATAATTATGTGATACAAGACTTTTTGGTAAGCAAATACACAAATTTTAAATAATTATCAAACTAACAATGAAAGAAAATTTGCAATAATGAATTTTTCAAATATAAAGGAAGAAATAAAACCAACTTGATCAAGAATCTGTTGCAGCATACTCATTCTGAGTTGAAATCGACTGCTGTTGATGAAACAGGAATACGAAAGAAATGAATTGATCGAACAACAGTAGCCTGATTGTTTAATAAATGTCAAACCATTGAAACATCCATTATGCACTTGGTAAAACGAACCTAAAAATGAAGAAAAATTTTAAAGTTGAAATTAAATTGGAATGGTTTCTTTTAATTGCAATAATTCAAATGATTTTCAACTCTTCCACAGCGATTTATGTCCATGAAACTAAAAATTTTTTAAAACAAATTGAAAGAGATAAAAATAAAAAAAATGTTCAAAAAATGAAAATCTATAATTCGACGTTCATAAAAAAGAATTAGCGGTGATAAAAAAGATTTCTAAATGGCCAAGCTAATGTTTGAGTCGTTTAAAATTAAAAATAAAATAAAGTGAAAATTTCTCATTACGATTTATAAAAACATTTGTTCGGTTTATCGCAGATATAATATAACAGAGTTTATTATTCTCATGGATTGTGCAAAGGTTGTTTCTAAAAAGGTTTTTAGATTAATATGTCAAGACGCCTCTATTAATCACTACTCAGAATTTAAGCTACTCAATTTAAACTGACTATTAGATGAAAATTAAATGAATTTTTACATATAAAATCTTATATAGCAATGTTAATTTGGATTAGAATGAATTTTATAACTTCGCTTTAAATTCGAATAATATTATATCCAATCTATAACGAATTAGAGAAAATTTAGATCCAAAAGATTCAGTATTTTTTTACGAATTTCGAAATAAATATGACAAAAATTGACAAAAAATATGTTTATATTTTTATTTTTTATTTTTATTTTTCAAAAATATATTTTTTTCAAACAGAATTTGAAATATTGGTTAGATTTCCATTAGACCTTCATTGGCAGTTGGGATAAACAGGATTGCTGTCAGATGTAGAAGCCGAATGATGTTTGATATTATATGATATGATAATTTAAGCGATGAATCGCCTCAGCATACTGCTCTTAATCTATGAAGCGGTGAAGCTTTTTATTTCCTTCTTTTCTTTTCCTATAAGTTTCAAAATGTAGTACGTATTTTCTAATTAAATATATTACATGGTATATATATATATATTTTTTTCATTTGGAAATTGTTTGCAAATGCTATAAAATTATGTAGATGGTTTGTTTCAAAAAATTATATTTTCTTTTTCTTCAAACATCTCTCACCATTACTGATAAGGCTCCGCTGGCTATAAGGATAAGACATCGCCGAGCTATCTGATCCGACACCATCACTGATCAAAATAGAAGCAGTTCCTTTTTCCACCGTCTAAGTCCATACATCGCTGGTCCACCTATACGTTCGAAATCTTCCATTGTATCAGCGCAGGTCTTGATTAGCTCTCTCCTCTTTTACAGCCATCTATCACAGAGTTCCAAGTAACGAAATATGTGTCAACTCCTGTGGTGGGAGGCGAAAAAAGTGCCTTAACCAGATGAAGCGACATTGTATGTAAGCGACATAATACTTGAATGCAAGTGATATATGAGTGAAGATGAATATGAAGATGAAGACTTTATCTGCTCGGCGAACCCGCAAAATGTCCGAGATAGCAAAAGACATATTGTGGTCAAGTTTGGCCTGTTTGGCCTCAAAGAATTCCTTCCATCGCATGAGGCGATCCTTAATAGCCCTAACAGGTATAATTAATATAATTTCACTGACAGTATTCGAGTTGTAGTTGTAGAGTTGTAGAGTTGCTTTATAAAACAAGGCGGAACAGTTCTCGATTATCGCCTAATCGAGTTGCCATCTCTATTTCGACGGCCATGCCGCTCCAATAATGATTTTTCCGCTGCTGTTGTTGCAATTTTCCGCAGTATATGATAATCGGGATTGACATTCGTGCTTTGGTAAGCCTTTCGGACAATTGGACAGTTGCTTCCGATATCTAACTAGCGCACTTCCTACGTTCTAATATGGAAGTGCCTGACATTTCTTTAGCTGAGATCAGTATACAGCCGCCGTTCCAGAGATGTCACTGATGTTTGTATTTCACAGAATCAATCGGTTAAAAAAAATTATATTAAAATGGTTTATTTTTTGCTCATATGAATAATTTCGCTCGATGAAATATCATTAAGTACCCCATAAGAACTTAATAAATATTCTTGTGGTTTCGGGGTTCGGCTCGCCCCGCAGACTCGTCGGACCCGATAAATTGTGCGAGAGGGCTCGACGGTGGAAGTGCAGGTGGGCACGAGCAGCGCTAGCGTTTCTGAAAGCTCGGGCATCGAAGCCGGCATCGTCGCTTCGAAATAACCCATTCAGCCATTCCACTTCCTTATTTTAATACTGCTACAACTGCTAATGCTTACATGCGAAATAATCATTAGAAAGCTATTCAAACCCGACAAATTAAAAAAAATCCTCGCAAAAAAGTTAATAACTGATATTGCATTACACTAAAAAATTAAGATAAATTAAGATAAAAATTAAATTCATCGAAGAGAATAGAAAGTTGCCAGCCGCATCAGAAATATAGCTGAAAGATAGCGTATTACGATAATAACAGCTCTATTTCCCAAAAAGTGTCTACTTCTTCACTATCTTAGCTATGGTGCATTTGGCTCGAGGAGTGTCGTGAAAGCTGCGGATAGGTCAGTAGGTTTGGGAGTGTGGGTGGGTTTGAGGATTTTGGTCTTTTTCATCGCTCAAATAATATATTTTTGCAACAAAAGATTCACACTCATATAGCAGAAAACAAATATTTGTGATGCATGAAACGTATTCATTAATCTCGATGTGGGTGGAAAAAATTTCGCTGCCAGTAAAGTTCCACTCTCGTTGTTGTCTTTCGGAAATCCGGGTGATCCTGGCAGTTTGCCTATATTTTTATTACAAAATAACTCTCTAGCAAAATAATTAATAACTTTGTTTGGCGCGATAAGCCGTGGAAACGAGTCAACCAGAAATGAACAGCACTTTTCAAAAATTCGTTAATTTCTAAAAAGTAGTTGGGAGAAATAGTTGAGAGAAATTCGATATTCTTGTCGCTTTTTTCGCAAAAAATCGTGTGAAAAGTTTTTAATTTGAAAAAATATATAGAAAAATAAAAGAAAATCGTGAAAAAAATTGCTTAAAAATTTTAAATTTCAAATTAAGAAAAATTTCTATAAATTTTTTTCATTATTTAAAAACGTACAAAAAGTAAAAAAACGAAATTTTCATGAAAAAAATTGAAAATTGTATAGTCAATAAGAAAAAAAAGAAAAAAATTCTAATAAACTTCGAGAAAAAACAACAACTACTCGGCAATGGTTGCCTCACTTCTTTAACGACTATTCGGCTATATTTGCCTCACTTCTTTAACGACTATTCGGCTATATTTGCCTCACTTCTTTAACGACTATTCGGCTATATTTGCCTCACTGCTTTGCTCTTTTATTGTTTGGCGCATGAAATGTGCATAAAAAATTTTTTTAAATCCAAATTAACTCAAATAATTTGTTTAAGAAATAAATAAAAATTATATAAAATTATTATTCCATTAAATATTTTATTATCGTATTAAATATTTAAATATTTAATAGATAATAATCGTTAAATATTAAATAAATAAAATAAATGTAAAATGCTTTTCATAAAAAATGTAAGAAATTATTTTTGAAGAATAATTCACGCGAAACTGAATATTATGAGAAAAACAAATAAAAAAACATTATTTTTACATAATTATTTTCAACTGAAATTTTTTACGGAAATATTCCCACAAATTCAATAAAAATTCTTTTTTATTGAAGAAAATCTTCGTTGAATAGTTTTTAGGATAAATTCAATAATCTCTAAAATATGTAATCGGTAAAGTGTTCGCGATGGATGGGCGCAAATAGTCGAATCAGTCCGTGCGGTTGGTCGATCTGTCGGTCGCTAGGTCGGTTAGTTGGTCGGTCGGTTGGTTGGTCGGTTTTCTCGGATATTTGTGCCATTTTTTGGAATTCATTTGTATCTTCGAAATGAATGAATGCGGTTTGTTTTAAATCACTGAATCATAAAGAGATGATAATTTATCAGTTTTCCAATCATCGCAAAATTTGCAATAAACGATGGGAAATGAAAAAATTTAGAATTTTTTAAAAAAATTTCTATTTTTCATGAAAAATTTTATACTTTCTGATTTATTTTTTGTTCTTTTTGTTCTTAAAGCAATAATTATAATAATTTAGAAATAATGTCGGAAATTTTACCGTAGCAAAAGTTTTTATCAGTGGGAGGCCGTTGAGTTTATTAATCGTTTCGTCAATTGTTACAACTAAGGTCAATTGTTACAACCAAACAATCATTAAGATTAGCTGCATTAATATTTAGTTCACCGAAACTACTCTTTTCATTCATTTTATTCATGTTGGCTTCATTCCTCTCATAAATTTTAGATGAGTGGTTGATGATCAGTTTTTCTGATTATTAACAACATTATTATTACAAATATTAAGCTAACAGCTAAGTGTGAAATTCTGGCGAGTTCTTTGGCAGTAGAAGTGCAGAAGGATAGGTCGCCAGCACCATCCGGATTTTTCAGCGACTCCCGCTTATTTCCGTCAGGCGCGGGAGTCGAGTCTATGGTACTCAGATCGAAGAAACCATGCCACTCGACTGTCTGTGCATAATTCAGATAAATCTAATAATTTTTTGCCCAACATTATTTAACAGCCATTAGCTATTCGATCATTATCCTTCATTGCAATAAGTAATGCCTGGAACATCCACTGCTATATTCTTTAGATTCATAGTTCTTAGTCATCGTTGAGCTTTTCTCTCATCACGAAACAATTAATGGAAAGAGGGTAAGGATAAACGACTTTCATGTTTGATTCAATGAATTGATTTCTCTTTGAACTAATATTAAGTTTTGTCGATTTTATAGATTTATTTAATATCTGACAAGTATATTTAAAAAATTCGCGTATTATGCAGTTTGAAATGCTTTGTTTGCAGGTGATTTATTAAAAATTCAATTAGAAATTGTTATTCATTTTTCATTCAAACAAGAATAATTAATAAAGCATTTTCATGTTTTAAAGCATTTGAGGCATTCATTCATTTTATTTATAAAGTATTTTGGAGTTTAGGCGGAAATGTGTATTTTTATGGCGAAATAATCGTCAGATTTTATTTGATCTCCTAAAATATTAGAGAAATTAATGGGAATTTTTTTATTTCACCTGGGAAAGTGATTTTTATTGCACATTCGGCGAAAATATTTTAATTGTGTTAACCGCAACAATTTCTGTGGAATTTCATTCGCTCGCCTTTTTTGCCTTTTCTCAAATGCAACAATTACTCAGTAAAAATTTCTTAATTTCCAGAGTAATAAATTTGTTTCCTTCTTCTATTAGCTTTTCTTATTATATACAATTAAACTGACAAAGTGAGGACTTTCTATTTATTTTAACAGCACTATTTATGATTCAGTTGACTCCATTGACTGTTAAGATGAAATCGCTTCTGCAGAAAGTCAGTTGAGGATTGGGCTAAAGATGGTCCCTCAGCATTGCTTACTGACACCCTTATCGAGAAAAAAGACTAAACGAGAGCAAAATGAAATCCGCCGAGAAAGAAGAATAGAGAATGGAGTTTTTCTGGATTATTTCAAGCTGCGAGTATCCTGGACATTACATTAAAATGCATTCACGATCCGATTTTATAGGATTGTGCTCACTTCCAATTTGGTCTATTTTTTTATCTCTTGGCAACAACAAAATCGTTCATTTTTTATTGAAATTACATTTTTTTCCACCACATATTTTCTCACCATTAAATATGCAGTTGAGTATGATATCCATCATGAGATGTCAATAATTATCTCATTTTGTTTTCTCGTGAAAAGAAGACGATGCTTGGATGGCAGTCATTTTTTTCCGCATTATTCGCATCCATATCATTTATACGCACACAAAAATTGCTTGTCATTATTGTTGAAGGATTACCTGGTAACCGTTTCCATGAACTAAGTAATTTACCCGGATTTAGGTAATTTATCTATCCATATTTGTGCTGAAATTTAATAATATCAATTTTATTATCATCTTCATCAATCATTCACCCACTAAAAAACAAATGAGGAAGGGAAAACATCTTTCGGATTTGTCTGATTAAGATTTAAAAATTTAACAAAGTTTACCCCTTTACTTTCAAAAAATAATAACATTAATAATCAGCTAATCAATTAATTAGTCGTTGAAGAAATTTTCATGAAAATGGCGTTTGGTCTACACTGCTTTATCCCCAATTTCCAACTCTGCCTTTACCAAATCGCCAAACAATAATGACAGGTAATATTTTGGAAAATTCAGCTGCACGAGCTTATTTAAGATAAAAGTCTGATTTTAAAGAAATTAATATTTTTTGCTGATAATCACTGCGAGATAATTGATTTCAAGCAATTGAATTTTTTCTATTTCCAATTTTAAATTTGGCAGATAATAAAAAATAGTAGAAATAAATGGTTTTGAATAATGAAAATTTTTTCATTAATGGAGATTTGAATAAATTTAAATTTAAATTCTATTTAAATTATATATTGTATATAAATCTATTTAAATTTAAATTATTAAAAATTTTCTTTTATTTATAATTACTTATAATTATTTATTTATAAATTTATTTATCCGCACAATTAATTTATTTCCCTTCTTTTTTTCTATTTTAAGGACTTTTATCAAAAAACCATGGTTTTGTTGGTGATTATTTGTATAATTGGCGCACGCAACAAATTTTTTACAATTTTGAATCGACGAATGATTTATCAAAAGATTTGTGGTGGAAGAATGAACCAATATTCATAACATCGCAAAAAGCTGGAGCTCCTACTGCACTCTTCTTTTTTCCTGAATGCGAGGTGCTTGAAAAGTTTTTCATTTGATTGCTCTGCTATAGATTGTTTTAGAAATTTTAAAATATGCAACCTATGGTAACAATAATTTCGCTCGTTTGTTTTGCTGCAATACTCATTCGAGGCAATCGCTTTAGGTGCTTTGGCGACCTCGGGTTTCAATTTGTGAATCGCCTCATCCCGACCGTTCATCGTTGGACGATATGAGAAATATCTATCAAATAATCGAAGCCACTCAGTATATAATTATTTATTCATTTAACTAAGATTACCGTAAAATGCAATTTCTTTTGATTGCTTTGATTATTTCAAAGTTTCCCTTTCAAATTCTTTTTATTTGAATCTATTTTTAAGCAAATGGCAAATTCAATCAATCGTTCCATTCTTTAAAAACAAATTTTTTTAAAACGATCAGTCGTCATCGCGTTTTTCCTTTTTTGTGAAAATTGCATCGATTTGGCTAAAATTGGCAAAAAAATTTGAATTTTAAAAATTTTAAATATTTGAGAAGTGCAAAAGCGAAAGCAATAAATTTCATATTTTATTTCATTTTTATATCCAAATTATTTATCATTAAATTTTCAGTGCAAAATTTGAATTTTGTACAAATGAGTTCTATAAATATTAAAGTAACATTGCAATACGGAAACTTTTAGACTATCTTCGAATTAAGGAAATATTATTAAAACTGAAAAAATTAATTTAAAAATAATTTATTCAGTTTGTTAATTAGTAATTAAATTGCTCATTATTCCTTCATTTTATTCAAATTTTCGGCCGATTTTACCAAATAAATAAATGTTTAAAATTATTAAATATGTTCGAATTTTCTTTTTTATTCGATGCGAATAAATAATACTTTATGAGAAATCCAATAAATTGTCAAAATAAAGGAAAGCTTTACCCATTCTTAGGATGCATTTCAATAACTGAAAAAAATTTTATGAATGAATTTATGAATGAAAGAAAGAAAAAACCGCAATAAAGAACTGAACCTAAGTAGTGCAATATTCCCTGCGGCATCTGAAGCTTAAGTTCAAGATTCCTACTATTTGCTTTTCAGAACGAATGATCTTGTAATGGTAAATCACGTAAAAATACGCGAAATAATTGAAAAACAAGGAATGGCCAATTTTCGAACGAAAGTTTTTCCAGAGATTACTGCATTTTTAAAAGTTTTACTTTTAAATCTTTCTGGCTATGATGAATTTTAATTTACTTACTTATTTATCTATTTCGACGACGAAATCAATAGCAAATCATAATTTCTTTTAAGCGAATAATTATGATATGAACAATTTAAGTACGGTATTTATAAATTTAGAAAAAATTCTTATTTTCTTAAAGGAATTCAAGCCTAAAGACAAATTATTCTAATAATTAAAGAAAAAATTTATTGAAATGAATTCAATTATAATTTTTTTCGTTTAAAGTAAATTTGAAATACTGATAAGAAACTGATAAAAAATAAAGGGACTGGAAAGATTAGAATCTGAAATCCGTCAAAGGATTGACTTAAATATGATTGTTATATCACCACATGGATATATCGATGTGACTGAACTAAATAAACACGTCATTGATAATTATATATCAATGGATAAAATTAATATAACGATTGGTGCTGGAGCCGTTAAACAAATTATTACCAATTCAGGTTTCACGCAAGAGGTTCCTTTTTTTCTATCTTCAAATAATTTTCGTTGCATTTTGATAACATTTAATTTCAGAAAATTTTAAATTAAACAAAGCTTATTTTGTTTTTTCTTATAAAATGTAAAATTTTTGTTATTATAACGACAAACGACGATCGGCTCGAAGTTTACACGAAAATCTGAATTAAACAGTTTCCTCGCGGTTAAAATTATAATTAAATTTTTTAACTGTTTTAAATTAAGATTTACAATCAATTGCGTTTTGTTTCTCCTATTCCTAACGCTAAAATCTACTATACAATTCCACAAATAAGTGATATTCCATCTTGGTTTGTTTATGAGAAAAGCGACCATATACCAGATCTCGTGCTAATTGCTACTCCTGGAAGTGCCATTTATTCCGTAATTTTTTAATTTTTCGCAGTCTTGGAGAATCTTGGAGAATCTTCATTTCTAATTTTTCATAAAATATTTTATCAATTTCTAGAATAGGCGAAATTTTTGTGTGATAACAATAACTAATGTTCCACAAAATATTTTCAGGAGAATGAAGATAAACAAATACCATTTCCATCACGAATTCGTCCAGTGAAAAGTATCAGTGGATATAATAACGAATATCCAGAGATGCTCGGACTATTTCTTGCATACGGACCTAGTTAGTACCATATTATTTATGCTTAGATTAAATTATTGCTCCAACTTCATTCATTTATTGTTTTAAGATTCTGATCTTCATCTTTATTATTCGACATTTACAACCCCATAGAACTCAATGAAACTCTTATCTTTACCTTAACCTTACTTTACCTTTTAAGATACCTTTTAAGAAAAGAGCACTGATAAGTTCTTCTTTTATCAACCGCAAAATTTGCATAATTCATCGATCGATCATTTCCCTTTTGAATTTAAAATTAAATGGACTGTTTTTGATTTTTCATCGACAAACAATTATTTCTTTTTTTCTTACCTAAAATTTTTAAATTTCAGTATTTCAAAGAGGAATGCGAAAGGGTCCAATAAATTTAGTGGATATTTATGCCTTAATATGTGACATTCTTCATCTGCCATGTCTGCGAAATGATGGAAATTCGTCAAACGTTGAGGATATTTTAAATGAAAGCTTTTACCAAAATAATAATGCTGCTGGTCGATTTAATCGACTCAATTTTTTCTGTAAATACATTAATATATTTGCAAATCGATGTATTTTCATAATTTTTATTCTTTGTTGCAAAAATTATTTTATAATATTTTCCGGCTATTAGGTTTTAAAAAACTCGCTTTTTCCTCTATTTATTATTAAAAATTATTATAAATTTTCATCTTTGTGGCTCATTTCCCTTTTCATTTCCCTTTTGAATTTAAAATTAAATGGATTATTTTCGATTTTTGTTGAAATTCAATCAAAAAAAAATTTAAATAAGATTGAGATTTTTTACAGTTTTTAAGGGACGAGAATTAGGTGAATTCGACTTTTCAATGGATTCTTGCAATTTACTGATAAACATTTTGTATATCACTGAGATATCTGATATTTCTTAATATTTATTTCGTTATTTTAAATTATATTTCGTTTATTATTTCAATATTTCGTTTCTAAATTTCTTCCAATCGACTTTAGAAATTGCAATGAGTGGAATTATATGAAATAAGTGGAATTTTTGAGAAAAATCTCGAAAAACAATTATTTGAAAGCAATTGCTTGAGATATCGAAAAATTCGATTGAAAGAGATTTAAAAATGAAATATTGACAGAAATATTAGATATCTCAGTTACATTCGAAATGCTTATTCGCAACTGTTTTAGTTGTTATAGCTGCTTACGAATATAGTAGAACGAGGTGGGCAAGCACAATAAGCAGCATCGTTTCCCGGTAAGCCTGCATTACCAGCGATTCCTGGCCTACCAACACCTCCAGGTCTTCCACGCGCACCAACTGGACCTCTAGGGCCGATCTTACCCATTTTTCCATCATTACCTGGTATTCCACTCAAACCAGCTTCTCCTTGCCTGCCTCTCTGACCAGGTAATCCTTTTTTTCCTGCTTTTCCTTTTCCTTTCTTCCCATTGCGTCCGGGAAGACCTGGAATACCGGGTTTTCCTTTTGCCCCTGTGATTCCTTCATTCCCTATAGGTCCACGTGGTCCTACTCGCCCTGTAGATCCGATTCTTCCTGGTTTTCCTTTTAATCCATTTGGTCCAGGCAAACCAGCAAGTCCATTTGCTCCTCGTGGTCCTGGTGGTCCAGCAGGGCATTTAATACAAGCCGTATAGGCAGGGCGACAAATAATTGGTTGATATGTAACCGCGTTGTCCTTGCCAGGTGGTCCACGTGGTCCGGGTCCTGCAATCAAAATTTGATTGGATATTTGCACGATTGGAAGATTACTACGGAAGTAGGATATATAACCGCAGGAATTGTTTAAAATTTTAGTCGATTTAGAAATTTAAATAATTTTTTGCAAAACCAAAAGTTATTGAGGAAAATGCTTTCATCCTAGAAAAAAAACATTTTAGTAAAACATCTGGAACACTATTAGCTCTTAATGCATGCATGCATTTATATTTCTAAAATTTGCTCTACATTAAGAGCTGATAGTGCTCCATATATTTTATATATAGAAAATAAAAAATTGTACTTAATCCGCTTACATTAAAGAATTCTTGGCTTATTAAAAGAATCGAATATTATAAACCAACTTCCATCGAATCCTGGTTTTCCTACAGGTCCAGGAGGACCTGGAGGACAAATCAGTTTGATCGGTTCACAGTAACAGAAATCTGGCAGACTTGAAAAATCATAACGTTTCTTCCGAGTAATGCTGAGAAATGGATTCTCTTTAGATTTGAATCGGCTCAATGGACTTAAAAGTATTTGAATATCCATGAGTTGTGTCCAAATTGAATCTGTTTCTACTCGAAACGTTTGTACACCATCAATTACTGCATCATGTACCTTTAAGATTTTTTTAAAACGGTATAAGCTCTGAATCATAAAAAAGTTAAGACTTAGAAATCATTGCATCTGCTGTTTTTAATTGATTATTAGAATTGTAATTATAAATCATTAATTATAAATTTCATTGTATGGTGTTTTATTAATGATAAGGTTTTTAACCGAAAAAAAGAGTAAAAAAAATTTCAAGTATAACCTCGTTAATGATCGAGAAAGTGCTAAAAATAATGATAAAGGTGATAAGACCTGCGAGAGCACTGCATGAGACAGCAATGCAGGTAACGACTTTAATGCTCTTCACCATGGAACACTAAGTGTGATTTCAGATGAATGGAATTTATATCGCGTCCTTTTTGAGTTTTTCTTGGAGCTATCCAACGCGAATCGTTATTTTCATCCATTCATTCAAAAATAAAAAATAATTATGGAATTATGCTCGATATTGAAAACTGGTTTAGATATTTTTAAAAGAAAGGAAGACGATATCATTACATATTAATTATAAACATCAAAACTCTCTCCTAAAATACAAGAGTACCAACAATAAATATTTGGCATATTCTAGATTTCACCGCATGCTTTGGAAAGAATATGAACTGTTGAACATCGTTAGTTATAAAAAATCAAAAACCCACAGTTCCTCCCAAACGTTGCCAAATTGTATTTATTTACCAAATTTATTTTTTTATTGCGTCTTAAATATAATTTATGGAATAGTTCGGTTCACTTTCATGGCAGATGGAACAAAATTTCATCTTATTTAATAATTTACCAAAAAATTTCCTAGATTTCCTAGATTTTTAAGCAGGAATTTTGGAAATTGTAGAATGATTTATCAATTACATGGTTTTTCTTTCTGATAAACAGTCGATATCAGCATATTTAGCTGATGTTTCGAGCCAACACAAAGATTTCCATCCATCTAACCAATGAACCAAATTCAATATTTGGCAGATGCCTTGGCCTCGTTATTTTGACGAAATTAAATAGAAATTTTAAGTTTTTTATAATTTAATGTATTCTTGAGGTAGAATAAGTAATTTTAAGATTCCTAGTGGTGATATTTTTGAAATTCATTGAGACTTTAAATGGTAATCAGACTATGCAATAATTAATACTGAATCGCTGACAAATGAACCATTAGATTGAAAGATTTTTTTCAATATAAATATTATCTGTGGTGACTGGCAAAAAAACCGTCGATGGCATATTTATTCCTAATAAACCTGTCACATCCTTAATTTATAAAAGTCGTAAGAATAACAAAAGAAAGTTTTGTATGCATAGTTCTCTCAGCGAACGCATTATTCAGATGATTCGACTAAGAAAAAAGTTAAATTCTTAAATCATCTTTAAATAATTCCTGAATTTGAATTTATGGCTAAAAAGTTATTAAATCTACAAAAAAATATCAAATTTTTATAGCTTTCAAAAATTTAAAAAAATTTAATTTTATGGAAAAATTTTGTCTTTTGTTTCATTCTACTTTATTGTTTTGTTTTTATAAAAATTTTTATTGTTGTTGTTTATTATTTTGTTCGAGAAAATTTTTTTCTATGCAGCGATAAATAAAATTAAATAAAAAACGCTTTATTTCGTTTAATTTCGGCTTAATTTTGCAGCTTTGCCCATCTCGACTTTTGCTTAATCTTTGAGTGACATAGCGTTGCATTTTTAGGGTTGTATCGCACTTGTGAATAATTAGTTGTTGCGTAATTATAAAATATTGCGCAACTTTTTTTATCTATGTTTTGCATCATCGTCCACTCTTTTTACAGTAAACCAGGAATCTTATCAGAGGCGGATTTTGTTTATGATATGATATCAGACATTATCAATTATCAGACATTGTCATATTTTTTTTACCCAAAAATGTTCTCTTCATGTTTCGGATTTTCAAGAATTTGTTTCCAGAAATTGTTTCTAATTGTTTCTAACTTAAGGCATTTAAAAATGACGAATTTAAAGAAATATCCAAAATATTTTTTTCTCTCTTAATTATTCACCAAAATTTTTTAATTTAATTATGCTTATGAATTGTAAAATTTTTGCTTAAAAAGTAATTAAAACTTTGAAAATGAATTTAAAATATTAAATATTAAATATTTCTAAAATATTAAAATTTCACTGCATTGAGGCGAAACCAGGTTTCCATCTTTTATAAAATATTGGATAAAGATTTTATCGTTTATTGCAATATTTTGCTCTAATTACTTGTTTATAATATACATTATCCTGAAAATTTTGCATAAAGGTGATTGAATGCTAGTAGTTGATTTGTTGCTTCTCAAACATATGCTTAAAAAATCTATTTTTTAAGTGAATATTGCCATTTTAATTAAAAAAATTTTCAATTTTTGTAAATGGATATGATTTTTAATAGTTCACTATTTAATGATTCTATTCAAATGATGAAATTTCCGGAATTTTGTATTCTAAAAAGTAACCTTCAGTTGCAAATTTGGCTTGGCTTTTGAAGAAACGAGTTCCATATTTATGTATAATATTTACTGAAAAATTTAATATTTTTTACAGCAAAAAGTCATTTTATTTATTCAATTTTTTTAACAAATTGTGCAAATATTTTTTAAAATCAGAAGAATTATGATTAAATGAATGTGTAAAATCTTAAATTTTATCAATTCAGAAAATAGAAAGAATTTTGAATAATTGTTAATATATCTGATAAACTATTAGATAAAATTGGCTATAAGACTGTTTTTCGATAAATTTTATTTTGTTTCGCTAAAATTGCAAAAATTTAGAAATTCCAAAGGCAATTAAATTGTTATTTTATTATAATAAGTTAAAGAAAAGATTTGTGCCATAAAATTTTAGGTAAATTTTTTTTCGTTGAAATAAATTTTTTGCAGAATAATTTCAGAAATTCGAGGCACATCTCGTACATTTTTTTAAAATTTTCCCAACTCTCAATGACGACCCAATTTTTATTTCCAATATAATTTTTTACTGCGATGAGTGCAAATTCCGGCAGTAACTACAAAATTTTCGGTTAAATTTATGTGAAAGCCACAAGAAATTTTGTTCTTTATTTATTAAAAGACGAATTTCAAGTTGAACTAATATAATTCGCAATTTACATCTATCATCTATTAATTGCAATGAGATAATTTAATAATCTTCATTTTGCAGAACGTTTAATAGGTTATGGGCTTTGCTGCAAAAGTTTCGTCCTCAAGCCTCGTGATGCTTCATTATTTTTGGAATTAAACTACTAAAAAAAGCAAATATTTTAAAAAATTCAGCGAAAAAATCCAATTTTCTTCTTTGAACTCATAAAATGAAAAAACTGGAAAATAATTAAATTCATAAATAATCTCGTAAATTTAAAAAATTTAAATAAATATGCCACACGAAAAATAGTTTCATTGCATAAAATATTATTTATGCATCGTTTTGGTGTTTCTTTTTTATTTCTAAAATTTTCTGTTAAGGAAAATAGCGAATTCTAAGAAACAATGGGAATGAGCCGAGATATTTCCTGAGAATTTTTTTATTTTTTTTTGTATTTTCGCCAGATAAATCGGTGAATCGAAGTGAAATATGTTGAACTTTAAAACGGTTATTAGCTATTTGAGTAGTTCCAAATTTTAAAAATAAAAAACAATTAATATTTCTAATTCTCTTCCTAACATATTTCTAATTAACCGTTAACTTTGTAAGCTAAAAATAGAAAATATATAAGGTGTTTAAAGCTGATCAGAGAGCGAAACCGCTGGCGCTATTACTGGCGAACCTTGAAAATAAATTTTTTACTAAGATGCAAAATAAACCAGTCGCCAATCGTTGCAAAACAGTAAATGCATTTGTTTTTCGAATTAAAAACGTTTTAATATATTTTTAGATTTATTTCAGCACACATCGAGGAAAAAAAAATTGTCCTTAATTAAATTAAATTAAATGGGATGTCATAAACTGGTAAGGTGGAAGGGGGATTTCGCTTTCGCTTTTATTATATTTCTTTAAAGAAATATTAAAATATGCAATAACAAAAAGATAATCGACGAAATTTCTTTAAAACAAAATCAAAAGCAATTCAAGAAAAAAATTGATTACTTTTAAATTTAATATTAAAAATTTTAAATCCATAAATAAATCCATTTCAGTTTTTGCAGTTCAACTTTATAATAGAAATTAGTCTCTCTTTAAATGAATTTGTTGCTTAAAATTGCGCAAAAAAATTGATTGCATATTAATTGTATAATTGAATTTTAAAAAAATCGAATGAAACAATATTTTTTAAAATTATGCATTCGAAATAACTGGTTTAGCAACAAACAACAAGCAATGTGAACGATTGAATGAATGAACGAGTGACATTAACTGATGTTTATTAGAATACAACAAAGTTTGCAAAAGTTGTGTGGTGGCAATTCATAAATTGCAGATGGACATTTGATATAAAATCATAGAACCTATTTAAGATTGTTAGATTAAGAATTTTCATTTTATATTGCTTTTTCGCGTTTTTTAAGAATTTTTTACAATACTCACGAACAAGTGAATAAAGTTCGTAATTTAGCGCCAGTGACTTGGTAAAAATGAATGGTGCTCATGACCGAGTTCGAAAGAATCATTCGAACGTTTACAAATGCCACATTTTGACGATTCAATGCATTTTTGATTGTACCATAAGCCATTGGATGACAAAATATCTATGTAGGTGCAATACTTGGTACTAAAAATGTTGAAGGGTCGAGCTGTAGCCCAGTTTGTATAATTAACAATCGTTCTATCAGACCACTGAAAACTATGGATATTCTTGGCATATGATCTTAATCCGATATGGATACCAGTACAATAATGAAGAAGTCCCAATCCTGAAATCTCATCATTTCATCATTCACTTATGTCTCTGGAGCGATTGGCCGCTAACCATTTGCATCAAAAAATTGCAAATTAAATAATTTCACCATTTATTTATAAATGGATAACTGAAAAGAGAACCATATATATGTTGATTTTCATCATGTGAATGAACTGACGCAAGATGACCTCCACGACTACGGCAAAGTTCTTCAGCCATCAACCAATTACTACCCGCTCCTAATGGAATTATCTAAAATGTTACATATACATATATATTATGTATTATTATATTATGTATATACATATATATATATATATATATATATTAAAATGATAAATGTTATATTTTGAATAGAATTTAAAAAATAATTCTGAAATTCGAAGCGATTTTCGAGATTTTTGGTGAATTTTTTTGATATATTTGGTAACTTTTTACCATTCCATTAGAAAAAATTGTGAGAAATGAATGCGTCACCTGATACCAGGAATTCGTGAAAGCAAAAAACGTCCAATTACCACCTGAAATTTTTAAAATCATTGGTATATCAGCCAAACTTTTAAGATAAATCGCAATTCACTTTTTGCATCATTCGAGTATTTTTCGACCATATCAAATGAAGAATATGAAAATTATGATTACAGTATAAGGGAGAGGGACCAACTTGTTGGCACCTCTGGACCATACTGAAAAGTTGTCTTGGGTCGCACTTAAATGTATGGAAAGTGAAAAAAGCAAAAATATATTTTTTATGATAAAACTAAAAGAAAAGAGGACAATATAAAACTAGTAGAACTTGTATATTTGGCATTGTTTTTGCGAAAATAGCCCATCAACAAATATCTTGTTCGATGGAAGCAGTTATAATTCGAAGCGAGTTTTTAGGACTATGACGAGTCGCATTACTAGCTTTCTGGGATCGTTAATTGGACACCTCTGCCATAAAGATTTTTTAAAGCTATTTTTAGGGCTATTTTTTCCACTTGCAATTTTCTAATTGCTAAATTTATAATTTAAAAAAAGAAAATTTATTGTAATTTTCAGAAATGTATCGAATTGTATTTTACAGCTATAAAAGGATAAAAATCTGAAAAAATTTTGTGAAATTTGGAAATTCAAAAGAATTTTGCAAACAAAAAAAAAATTTTCCTTGATTCTTTGCAAAAATAAAATGAAATTCTCAAATTATTTGAGAAAATATATGATCAGCTTTGCTTGACATTTGAAAACAAATTTAAAATTTCGTGGGAATTTTTCAAAAAATCGCTTAAACCAAACGTTTCACAGAATCAGCGAAATATGATGGAGCAGTTTCACAAATCAAATGCTTAAGTGAATCGAAACAATCTGTAGTGTACCACATGCCATTATAAAGATGCACAGCAACACAAAATTCACCAGTCGCATTTGTCGGATGTCCTGCAAGCAAACAGTTAGTGTGACGCATCCAGATTGAATTCCAAAAAAACTAAACGATACCAGGCGACCAGTTAGCATAATTTCTAGTATCTAATCCGCCAGACCAAATGTATTCACCAGTTTCTAAATAATCTACCAATCCTATCCAGTAATCATTGTTGGTAAATTTCCTTATCGCTTGGCCTGAAAAAAAATGGTTAACAACGGAAAATCAAAAATAATCAAACAAAAAACACTTAAGGGATTAAATTTTTTTAAATAAGAAGGTACTGACGATGAACAAAGAGTTGTTCGTTGCGATTCTGGAATGTAACCAAACGAGCATTAATACTGCTGCAAGTATGTTCTGCGCCACGATATGTTTGAGAAGTAGTAAAAAAGTAGTAACATTTATGGTATCTTTTGCTATACGAAGCGCCATTCATACAAGGTATACAGTTTACAACGCTTAAAATGGACAAAAATAAAAGTGAATTTAATGATTTGTTCATATTAGCTCCTGAAATTGGTTAATTAAACATCTTATCATTTCAAAAAATGTGTCAAATTCGTCTTAGATTTGATAAAACTTAATGAACTGATCAATTTAGTTTTATATGGCACTTGTACAGCAAACGAATGATATAGTAGAATCGTTCCAAATGTTCCGAAATCATTTTTCCATTTTCCTGGTTTAGCATTGGATAATTTGTAAACTGATAAAATTTTCTCCAGAATAAGAAAGATTTATTCACCAGAAACAAACAAACTAGAAATTTGCACAATATAAAATGGAAATTAGAAATATACGTGTGAAAAAAAGTAAACTTAATGAAACTTAATAAAAGCCGCTTTTTCTAAATGTATGAAAAACTGAAAATGTATATATCTATAAATCCAGTGCTTTGACCGCTAGGTGAAGAATGAGAAAAAGAGGAAAAAAGAGGAAAGGTTTGAAGGATGACCTTTAACTTGACAAAAGGTCAATGTCATCTATCTTCCATCATTCTCTTTTATTCTAATATTACGGTAAATTATTACGGCATATTAGATTAGGCACCACAGTTTAAACATTAAAATGGATAAAATACTTTTCTTCATTATTTGATGCTTAATGTCCATATTGAAAAAAATGAGATAAAATGAGATGAAAATGAGATTTGACTATTCAGCCTACTAGAGTAAAAAGTTTACTAATCTTCCCATTTTCCAGTAGCTCTTTCTAAAACAAAAAGAATCGTATATAAGAATCGTTTACATTCTTTGCCTAAAGATTGATTTATTACAAAGATATATTTGCTTTTAAATATTAGCAAAAGACATAAAAACTGATTTACTGTCTTTTATTTACAAACAGTTTAAAAAATCATGCAGTTATTATTATTTAAAGCAAAAGAAACGCTCACATACCATAAATCAAAAATGAAATAAAAAAATAAAATGAACTTAGAAAAACTCGATAAGACAAAAAAATATGGCAAAATTTTATAATTAAGGAAAAATTTATAGAGAAACATTACTATCATCGAATACTTCATGATGCCTTTCCAGTTTTATCACTTTGCAGTGTAATTCATTTGAGACTTCAGTGAAATTATTGCTCGACAAAGAACTGATGAGTTCAATATTGCCTGTATTTGACAATGTTAAAGATGCAAGAAAGTACCGACTTATATCATACGAAGGCGCTTCCTTACGCAGAAGCTAAAATTTAAAACAAACGTCGACTACGAATTATATGGAAAAAACTTTGAAAGAAAACAAATAAAATTTGAAGAAACAAATGAAATTTAAAAAACCCCATAAAATGGCTTGTCTTCTCCTAATTTATCAAAATTTTCGAGCAATTCCGATTCATAACGATGTATATCGAATTCGCGTCGCTGTTCTTCTTCTTCTAATATTGGATTTATCCTCTCTTCCCAATTTTGAACACGCTGGCACAATTTAGAAGTTTCTTCTGCACTAGTCCAGTATCTGAAAAAATGAGGAAAAAATAAAATATAAGATTTATTTTCAAAGCAGTTTTTTATAATAAGCAATACATAGAAAATTATGCAACTAGATACTAAAATTTGCGCATAAAACTGGGAAGTGAATTCAAAATTAAGTGATAATGATGAGAAAATTTGTGACTTGTGGAGATAATATCGAAGCATCTCTTCATAATTCATTGCCGAAAGAGGACGATGTAAATCTTCCAGATCTTCTTTCATATAAACTTCAGTACAATATTCTTGCTCTAAATCTTCGTCATTTATTGCCTGAGCGAATGATTTTTCGCCTTCAACTGAAAATAGAAAAACTTTATTAATGGCATAATTTTGAAGAATTTCAAATAAATACCACCTCTACTATCGTTTAATGCAGCCAACTCGGGTTCATAATCATCATTACCAAAATAATCCGACTGTTCACCTATACTCTGTTCATCATCACTCAGTGGATCTTGCAACTCGTTACCTAAACAAAGAAAAACGTTAATTGAAAAAATAGAACCAAAATATTGCAATTTTGCATAACAATCTTACAATAGACAACCACCTACCACGAAATTCATAACCAGGCACAATGGTTTTATTTTCTCGAAAAGCATCAGTATTACGCTTCTTTTGCTTATTGAATATGAAGCTGAAAAGAAGAATGAATCTTTAACAATAATTTCCACAGAGAAAATAAGGAAGAGTAAAGAGCTCATTTTTTACTCGCCAACCTTCAAACCAACCATCAAAAGTTAAGTGGGGAGCCTATCTCTATTCATAAGTGACCTTACAATGAATGGATCCCAGTTTAGTGGCCAACTAAACCAGAAATGGTAGGTGGAGATAATATCGAAGCATCTCTTCATAATTCATTGACGAAAGAGACGATGTAAATCTTCCAGATCTTCTTTCGCATGATACGTGAAATGCTTGTTAAAAGAAAAAATAAGAAAGTTTTCATCAAAAAATAATTGAATATTAACTAGAAAGTTTAATATAAAGATGGTCAAAAAATCACTAACATAGGTAAATTAAGAGAACCAAAACTTTTTACATCTTGGATGTATTTAATCTTTAACGGTTTACGGTATAAGTGATGATGCAAATATTCTAAAATTGTTTCCTTTGGTGGAAGTCCTAAAGCAATTCGTTTTTTCTCTCGACGTTTTAATCGACTTTTTGGTAATTCATGATATTTTATCTAAAAAATTTTAGAAATGTAAGGTAAATAATGAAAAGAGAAAAATCTAATTGCTGAGACCGAAAGATATGAAACCACATCTTTGAACGGAATATAAATGTAAAACCTTTATAGGAGCGTGATAATAATATTCTCTTTCAAAAGGGTCTAGTAATTTGATATCTGAGCAAACAAAATTGGCTTCATCTGCCTAAATGGAAAAAACCTCATTATTAGCAAAGCAAAGAAAAAATAAAAAATAGGAAAACAAAAGACACCTTAATAAATAAATAAGGGAAATCCAAAAATATACAATGATAAATGGAGGAGAAAAAAGATGAATTTGGAACAATTTCTAAAAAATAAATAAACAAAAATTAACTGAATGTTCCTTTTCATCCATATTATTGCAGAAATCCTCATCAATATCCATAAAATCATTCTGATCATTTGATAAATTTTCAGTGTTGACTTTGTTATAATTTTCTTTTTCTGCTAACTTCGAACAGCTGGGCCATGCCTGTGACACGACCTGAGAATATTGTTCTTCATTAAGATTTCTTATATCTTGCATTCCACCATTCATAAAAGACTTTGTGCACTGAGTATTCATTAGCGCTGCTGAAATGATAAGGTTTTTAGGTTAAGAAAGTTGCTGGCATTTCTAACTATTCCAAGATAAAGCAAGGAAGGTTTCCAGCATGTACTAATTTAATGATTTTTAATAAAACAGCTTATATATATCAAGAAGCATGAAGGGCCGAATTATTAATCTAGGTATTACATCGCTAAAAATATACTAACTTTTAATACAGCTTTTCTCATCAGAATCTTTCGCTTCAACCACATATGTGGAATCATCAGATAACATTTTCCCCGTCGTAAAATTATTTATTAATCTCTCATCGATTAAATCGAGCATTAATGCACCCTTAAAAAAATTATTAGCCGAAAATATATGAAAATGAGGGTAGAATTCAAAAATTTATTAGTATGAATAAGATAGTTATGAATACACTATCGCACATTCTTAAGAACAAATCCAGTATTAATAATGAAATCGTCCTTTTTCCCGATTAACTCGTTCTTATTTCGACGTGAAAATAATTGTACATTTGTTTTTTCATAATCAGTTAGTGCCGTAAGTGAAATTGGTATCTAAAACAATGTTTGGTGAACTCAATCAAGTAATCGGTAAGCAAAAAAGTAAATATGATAGATGAACAAATGCAAAATAAGACAAAAATAAAAAAAATTTTACTTGAGAAATCAATTTCGTTACTTTCAACGGTTGTTTAAGGATATAGCTTTGCAGCTTACTGGGAACTAGTTTAGAAAAATCGATAGGTTCAAAAATATCCGTTTCAGTTTCACTACTTTCATCCATTTCGGCCATTTCATCATTTGTACAGTTATCATCAGCTAAATACTTGGCAGATGAAAATTATTGTTCTTTGGCATTACAAAAGATGGAATATACCTTTTCTTTTTCGACTTCCTCTTTCTTTAAGTTTATCCAAAAGTTGCATCGCAATTTGGTGAATATATTCCACTTTTCTACCATAAACCATTGCAGTGCCTTGAATCAACAATCCAGCTTCAGCAAAATTAAAATTTTTGTTTTCCAATCGTTCATCACTTTGTATCGCTTTCAACCTGAAAAAAACCTCTATTTTATGATTTCAGTAACTGTTATAAAATTAAATCGAAAAATATATAGTGAAATTATGATATATATAAAATTATTTATTATATGAAATTATAACAGGAAACCTTTCAATAAAATCTAAAAGATAAGCAGCAATATCTATATTCCAATTTTTTGCCAAATCTTTCACTGGCTGCAACAAAAATAAGTAACGTGAGCCAATATCCTCTTCAGCATCGACCATTACTGATAAATAGTAAATCGATGCTCTTTGAAAATGCTTAAAAACGAAATATTTGCCTGAAAAAAATTTTACAGTTTTTATCAAAAAATTAATCTATAATTTTCATAAAAATAAATCAAAATGAAAAAAACAGATTCAAATAAAAAAATGCAATCCGAGATATCGAGCCAACTTCGAATAAACTAAATTCATTTTTGTTTTTATATTTTTTATTAAATTTAAAAAAAGGTTATGCATCTTTAATAACTATATAAATAAAAGCACATCAAATAAATCAAACAACAATTATTTACAAAATTTCAATTTAGCAAAGAAACAACCAATGTATCGTAAATAAAGAAATGATAAAAATTGCAGAAGAGCAAAAACAATAAAGAAAAGAAACCAGACAAGAAATTTGGCATAAAAAAATATTTTCTTAATTCTGATGTCTTGTTTCTGGCAATTTTAGTCCAACAAGTTTTGCACTGTCTTGAATCGAAAGTTCATAGCCCTAAAAAATTAATAAATATGTTCCATAATCAGAAATTTAATTCTAATTTTTCATTGCTAATTTCCAGTCAAAAATGATAATGCCGAAAAGTTTCGTAAACAATCAATAACAAAGAAATTGACGAAATTTTATTATCTTATAATAAATTACTGGTAACTGATCCAAAAAATAAGTATTTTAGTGTTGCACTTTTTTCTTCATTACAGCGATGAAGTAGAATACAATGATATAATTTGCAGAAAAGCAGAAAAATCGTGCTCTTTACAAGATGGAATTGCGAAAAGCGGTAGATGCATCGAGCAAACCTTATATTTTTGTTGTAATTCTTGCAGCCTCCGTGTACTCCTTAAATAATGTAAATATGCAGAAGCGAAATGATTGAATTCATCGATATTTTCGTTTAAGCATTTTGTATTCCCACGAATTTTCATAATTATAAAGCGAAACGTTGCATTCGCGTGCGAGAAATTCTGCAAATAAATAAATTTATTAACATCTCAAAAAAATTTACAAAAAAATTTCATTTGCTTATAATTTTGCATTCGCTTAAATCGCTAAAAAGGTGAGCAAAAATGAGCGAACAGAATTTAGAGAATAAACGAATAAAAAGAATAGTAACTTTGTCGCTTTTACGAAGTTCACAAAAAATGCTTCGAATAATAAATAAAAATTTCTCATTTCGCACTTTAATAATATTTGGCATTTTTCAACGAAAGCCACTGAAAAATTCGCCGATTCACTGGAAAATAATTCGAAAATTATTTCGGCTAATGAATTAAATAAAAGCACAAATTCGAAAAAATCTCGGCGAATTACTAAATAAATTTAATCTGAAAGAGAAGCAAATTCGTTCTTTCGAGAAAACGACCGATTAAATTTGATGATTTCAACGCTGAAATTTCAAAATTTGCTTTTTCCTATGCAAATACGAATGCTTCGACTTTAATTTATTCTATTTTAATAAATAAATAAAAAAAAAAAATTTATTTTACAACAAAAAATTAGACGCAATTAACGCGAAAAACAGCGATTTACAATAAAAAATTCCAACGATTTTATATAAAAATAATTTTCCAGCGACGACCAATCCAACGATTTAACCGAACTTCCAAATTCACATAAAAATTAAATTCACTGAATTTTAAATAAAAATTTTATTCACCCCGCCAAACTTAGCATATTTAAAAGGCAGACGCAACGGCTTCGGCCTCTATTTTATAAGTGATAGAGGCAGCAAGAAGAAATAAATGGTGGGTGGCACGTCGGGTTGCTGGGCCGCAGAGAGCTTCAACATTTGTTCAGTGGGACTTTTCGTCTTTCTTCCGCGTCGAAGCTATTCGAGTAGTTCCCCGTATAAAGGAAGTATTCGGTTAAATCATTTCAAATCGCCAAGGGTGTCTTTTAAAATCATTGAACTTTTTTATGCGAAATAATTTGTATTATTTTTATTATTTTCATTTTCATAAAATTTAAATATTTTCTTATAATAGAAATTTTTTGTCAAAAAATTTAAAAATATTTGCAAATATTTTAAAAAAATTTTTGGTGGAATTTCTTAGCAATGATTTTGTAATCATTCGAAATTCAATCAAATTACTTTCCAAATTTTAAATCGAAGAATTTGCTTTCCATCGGTGCGCCAAATGAGTTTTTTTAATGAAAAATTTTGTAGGAGAGAATTCTTTATTTTGCTAATATCCGCAAATGCAAGTGATAACACAGAAAAGGTGCAAGCAAGCAAAGGTGAATTAAAATCAGATACCGCAAACAGACTTCGAAAACTGCAAGAATATTGGCTTATCAGTTTATCTGCCTTGTCCATTACCAAGTTTCATTCGCTTGTTTGCGAGGGAAAATTGTAGCGATAGGACGCGAAGAAGAATTATCTCAGTGATAGTGGGGTTGAGTGATTTGTTATTTCTGTTGAAACCAAGCATCGTGGCCCTTCACAAGATTAAATCTATCATTGTAATAGTGGTACTAATCATAAATCTCTGAAAAGTGTCTTAATGGCCAAAAATATATTATTGGTTAGGGAATAACGAAGAGAACTGCCAACGTTGATGAACAATGCGTGTTGGTTAATTAACTTGGAAACGCCAAATACCCTCAGGTGCCGCAGGACCTCGTCCAGAAATGTCACAAGCAAGGCCTATGGAAAAATTGCGATTTGCGAATTCCAAATAATTTTTGCTATAAATTTTTAGATAAATGTTAGACTGAGATAATTAAATTTTTTGTCTTTCAAAAGTTGATTTCAATCGGTTTTAATTCTTTGTGATTAATTGTTTCAAATTGTTTTTTTAAATTAAAAGAGTTATTTTTAAGAGTTCGAAAGTTTTTAAACAAATAATCGACATAGCATCGGTTTACTTGTCTATGATGGATCTCCAGTTTCGCTTCCCTTTTAATCAAATATTTACCTCTATCGGATGGCCGAAATCAAATCCAGCAGACTCCATCATCAAATGAAATAACTTCAGATAATAAAAAACCTGGTGCCTGGCTGGTACCAGTTTACTTATCTATGCGCAAATTAATAGCAGATATAGAGCATCATTTTTTCTTTTTTGATAAAATCGTCATTTAAATTAATTAATTGATTAAATTAATTAAATTAAGTTATCATTATCATTTATCACATGAAAGCTGCTGAGAAGGCATCTTTGCTTGTCACTTTATATCTTTGAATATATTTTTTTTTTTATTGTTTCCTAATGTTCGTTGGCATTTTGGAAAGTTTATGATTAAATTTTATGATTAAACTAAGATTTCTATTATAAGATATTGCAGTTTTTATGTATTTGGAGATATGAAAGGCATTTCTTCAAAAATCAACGTTTCCATTTTTATTTTTTTTCAGGAAAAAGTCGATATCGAAGTCGATAACTGAACGAACGAGTGAATGATGTGTATTATTTAAATTTCCCTTTTAAAAATGCCACACATTTAATGAATGATAGTGAAATAAATATATTTTTTATTCTCAACACAAAATTTTTTGAAAAATTTCTTTTTTTAATTTAAAGTTCGCATTAGCTTTAAATTAGATTCTTTGCTTTTCTCTTCTTTAAATGGTTAAATAATAAAAAAACTGAAGATTTATTTAAAGTTTCTTCACATTTGAATAAAAGTTATTTCCATTTTTATCGATTTATAAAGAATAAAAAAATTAAATAAAATTTATATAAATTAAAATCAACTGGGGAAATATTGAATTTCAAGCATTTGAAAAATAAATCTATTAGCGTGCTTTGAATTTTTGAATTTTTTTGTTCGTCGATATATTGGAATTTTCCGATATTTCATTTCAGTGAGCTTTTTTTGATAGCCTTTCAAAATTCGTCTTTTTTGACGCAAATCGACCAATATTGCCTTTTTTATTCCCTTTTTGACGTGAACTCGATAAATTTTTTTAAAATCCTTTTTAAAAGAATTCAGTGAAAAATAATTTTTTTTATTTAGAATGAGTAAAAGTGAAGTAAATAAATCGAGAAATCATTTCCAAAATTTATAATTTTACTATTTCACTATTTTTTACGTAAAATGAATCGCATAAATCGTGAAATTTCATGAAATTATTAAATCTTTTAGTGATATTTTACGAATGAATTGTTTGATAATTTATTTTGAAAAAAATATTTTCTAATAATTCAGTGATAAGCGGGATATTTGCAAATTTAAAATCTCATTTTTGGTAAATTTCTTATCAACAATATATTAGCACAGCTGCATCAAGTATATTTGAGTTCTTTTGAATTTGAGATTTAAATTACAATTATTGTGAAAAATTGTACTTTATCTTATCAGTCTGAAGGTTTATTTATGTACTACGATAAAAGGTTCGAATAAAAAAAAGCGAAAATAAATTGACGGAAGTAGTTGTGGAACTTTCCGCAAAAAATTAGAGAAGCAGGGAACGAGCAAAGATGTTCATGAAGTTAGGGTGTGAAGAGTGGGTAAAGCTACTATGCAGTGAAGCTAAGTAAATAAGCTTGAAATATGGCTGATAACCAAAATATAGGGCGGTGTTTGTGGATTGTGGCTGTGGTCGTTGTCGTCCTCGTCATTCTTCTCTTGTGCATGCTTCGATTCGATTTGGTCGCTTTCTTTCTGCCTTCATTTATGCCTTCACTGGAAATTCTTATAAACCACTATCATTTCTATTATTTCCATTATTATTATAATATTATTCCAATTAACCATTAATTATTCAAAGCATTTCTTATTTCATCGAATAATTCTTCTTCTTCTTTAATTAATGATTTTTTCTTATTTATCGTTTATTATTACAAATGCTTTTTTATATTGTAAATCTGAACAAGGTGAGTTGAATTTTTTTCTTATCTCTTCTCTTATCAAAATTTTATTTTAAATAATTGATATAATTTCGAAATGGAATGCTTTTATGAAATTGCAAATGATTTTGGATTGAGTTATATTAAAATGATATGATAATCCTGCATTATCATTTTCATTATCTTTATCACCGATTGCTTTTTTTAAAATAAGAATGAAAATATTTATTCTTGTGGCGAATTATGCCAATTCTTTTATTATTATTATGCAGATGTATAGATGTGACCTTTTCGCATCTCATTGACACTAATTCTTCATTCCAAACAATTTGAAATAAATAGAATTTATTATTTATTATTTAATTTATTAAAATAGAATATAAAAATAAAAAAAAATAATAAAAATGAATTTTATTTTTAACAATCAGTCAATTTTTAATTATTGCTTAATTGTTTAAAATAAAATTACAAATTTTTTCTTCATTTCTTTATTTTATTTACCGTTCAAATATTCATCGAAAACCCATTTTAAACAATTTCAAGAAATTTTATTTTATTCAAAATAGAAAAATATTTAATGAATAAAAATATGCCAATTTTTATTTTCTATTTTCCATAAGAAGAAAGAAATAAGCGAAAATTTAATTGCTTCGATCAATAACAGCTGGAAATTAAATTTGATTATTCTGAATTTGTTTTTTTCAATATTTTCGAATAATTTATTGTTTTTTCAGAAAGAAATATTTGAAAATTTTAGAGTATTTCTAACTGTAAAGCAAAAAAAGCTTAAATTAACTGCATATTCAGATCGACTTTTTTGTAAACTACTTTTTTGAAATAAGAAAAAAATAAACGTACTGATAAGTTTATCAGTTATCATACATATACAAACACAAATCTTGAATCAGCGATATTGGAGATCGTCTTTTTAAAATATTTTCCAATGAAGTTATTTTTATATAAAAGATAATAAAATGATATTCCTTTTATAAAAATTTTAAATTAATAAATAATTTGCTGAATGAATTGAAAATAATGAGAAAATTTGAGAAAAATATTGTTTGGCATTGTCTTATTATTATGCATTAAAGTGAAACATTAAATAAATTGAACATTATGAATTATATATTACTATAAAATTAAATTTTAAAAAAACCCAAATAATAAAAATATGATAAATTTCGGAGGGATAAAAGGAAATAATTATCGAATGATAAAGCAAGAAATGAGCAATCTCGAATTCAGTTAATTTGTTTTCTCCACTGAATTAATCTTCTAATTTTCTGGTTGAAATAACATCAGTCCAAATACCCATGCAGAATTCGTAAGAAACCGCAAATTTGCCATTTTCAGAAAAAAAAATTCAAATAATCATTTAATATTTAAATTAATTTTGTTTTAATTACAGTTATAAATAGTGAAACATTAAAAGAAAAATTAGAAATAAAGCCGCCAGGCTTATTTAATAAAAAATATGTGGTAAAAGAAGGATCAACGTTTCGTGTTTCATGTACATTTAATGATGAAAATTTTATTGGAACAAATCATTTATCGTGGCGAAATGAAAATAATCGAAAAATAGACGGCGAATCATCAAGCAGGTTTTTTTAAAAAATTTATAAAATTTTTTTCAAAAGACATATATACATATATTTATTATATATTTACATATATTTTATACAACTTCCTTGCATGCATTTAAAACTTCTTGCGGAATGGAACTTTTTATTGATGAAAAAATTAGATTGAGATGGATTTTTTAAAAAATTTCTGAAATTTTGCAAAAAATTAATTTATACATCCGGTTAATTTATTTATTTAGTGTATTTACAATTGGATTACATGAATACGGTACAAAAAATAAGAAATTATCATTAGTATTTACGAAAATCGCAAAACGCGATGCGGGAATTTATAAATGTGTTGGATCAGATTCATCTGGAAGAATTTACCAACGAGACATTGAAATTATTATTGTTGGTAAATAAGTTTGCTTAATTAAAATTCAATAAATAGAACTAACTATAGGCAATGAAGAAAAATGTATTGGGTTAAGCAAACACACCCAAGCAAGCATTTCTTTCATACGTATCACTATTTTCCTTTATATTTATTGAAAATATTTATTTTTAACTGAAATATTTATCTTTCTTAGATTTCGTTCTCCGATACATCATAAATCATTATTTTATAATGGCTGAAGGCCAATATTCGTAGCAATCATCGTCGCTATCGGCTCCATTATTTGCCGATGTAATACAATCGCTGGAAAGATTTCATAGATTGCAGATAGACGACTGACTGACTGTTTGTCGTATATTGAATTTCATATAGTATATTCATCAATTTTGTAGATGTAAAATGCATAATTTGTATTTATTCTAAAACTTATCCAACAAATTTTATGGTGACGTTTTGAAATTACATGGACGATAATAACTTTATTTCATCGCTGAAATTTTTCCTAAGAAATAACCTTCGATAAAAGTTAAATGATAATTTCCGATTAAAATTATGTATAAATGTTTAATTAAATTAGTTTATTTATTTAATTTTTGAAGATAAAGATCTCCCCTCACCAATTAATAAAACAAATTGAGACTTGAAGAGGAAATGTGGAAAAACTTTTTTGCGTGTGAAACTTATGGAATTGCGTATGGAATTATCAAAGGCTATTTCGGTTATTTAGAAAACTGATAAGTTGATAAACGTGAGAATGATTGGCAAAAGCAAACATAAAAGTGAATTGCTAATGGTGCTTGGATCCATCTTTAATTCTTTCATCAAGGACTAGCTCTTTGGCCAAATAACAATGTTATGAAGTTTTCATAATAGCAATATTAGTCTTGTTCTACCAGCATGCATCACTGTAGCATCTGGTTTGGTTGGCTACTAATACTACTGATTACCACAGTGCTTTTGCTGAGTACTATCACTTGAGGTTAGAGATATAAATTCCCAACCCAAACAATTTACATTTAATGGTAAATTTACTCTCGTTAAAAGGTTAAAACAAAAGCGCAAAGCTATTAGAAGAAAAAAAACAAGTGAAATTTTTATCAAAGTTGTGAAAAAATAAAAATAAAGCAAAAACTAAATCGACCGAGAAATAAATTCTTTTAAATTCTTTTTTAGGAAACCAAAATTAAAATGAAATATTTTCTAACTATAAAAGAACTAAAATTTTTTAAAATTGTTTTCACTTAATTGTTACTAAAAAGTATTCTTTTTTTTTATAATCTTCTTCTTCTTCTTCTAACAGCTCTCACCATTATTGGTTAAGCTGGGTGCAACGGCTACAAGGGTAAGACGCTTCCAAGCGGCGCGGTCTGATGCCATCGTCGACAGTAATGGAAGCCATTCCTTTTTCCATCGTCTAAGTCCATATATTGCTAATCCACCTATACGTTCAAAATCTTTTCTCACCGTATCAGTCGAGGTCTTGACTGGCCCACCTCGCTTTTGACGCTTTTGACGTCACACGGTTTAATAACGAAATAACGAAATATGCGTCAACTCGTGTGGTGGACGGAGAATGTGCCCTAACCAGTGAAGGCGGCGCTCTGTGATAATATTATTTATGCAAGTGGTATTTGAACGAAGGTGGATACGATCTTGTGAGATTTTATCCACTCGGCGAACTTGTAAAATATACCTTAGACAAGAGTGGTCAAAGACAGATAACTTAATATCCTCCACTCTCATTGGTCATGTCTCAGAACCATATAGTAAGATCGAACGGATCACGGCAATATAGATGCGGACTTTCGTTTTTATGGTGATTTCAAAACAACTCCATAAAGGTTTCGTCAACCGGAAGAATGCATTTCTAACTGCCGTGATCCGAGTTATAATATCATCTTTTGCCTGGTCATTTGGTATTAGAGTGGACCCAAAGTATTTGAAATCAGGCACTTCCTCAAGCGGCAATGAATTTTCAAAAAGAGGCATTTTATCAGCTTCTTGCACATAAGACGAAAAGGCTTTCATTTTATTTACATTGATCCTGAGTCCAATTCTTGCTGCAGTTTCTGATATGTTATTTAGTATTGCTAGCATTTCGTTATAACTGTCATCAAAAAGGATTACATCAGCGTATTCAAGAACTTTGATACGATGCTTTGGACTAATTCGAACCTCTTGAGTGCCGACAAGAAGTGTCCATTATCCAGTTTATAGTTGAACATTGTGAGGTAAAGGACGCAGCCCTGACGGACACCTGTTCTTATTTCGAAGGAATCTGTCGCTCCCCATATACACAGACCTGCGCCGACGTGCCTTTATGAGTCTAATGATTTTCTCTGGAACACCATCACGTTCCATCACCCTCCGAAGCGCCGCTCTATTAATTGAATCAAAGGCAGCCGCAAAGTCGATGAAACACGTGACAGTGGGTTGCAAATATCTGAAGAGATGTTCCACACTCTTTTTAACGTGAATATCTGGTCAGCACAACCACGCCCTGGTCTGAAACCAGCTTAATTAGGGCGCATCCTGTTGTCCCGTATTTCCATAAGTCTGTTGAGTAAAATTTGGGAAGCAAAAATTTTTGCTGAGACGTCTAATAGGCTGATTCCTCGATAATTGTCGCAGTATGTCCTATCACCTTTCTTGAGAATTGGGAGTAGAATTGCTTTGCTCCAATCATCTGGTAATATTTCTTTTCTCCATACTAAAGAGTACATTTGTTGAAGGTGCGTTATGAAGGACGATGGACAGCATTTGAAAAGCTCAGCCCGAACACCATCTTCTTCCGGAGCCTTATTGGCCTTAAGCTTATTGATATTTATTTCTTCTTCTGTTGGAGGCTCGCAATTGCAAGCGTATGCTTCGGCAAATGTATCAGCTATATCATGGGCAACAGATGGCGCTTCATGGTTAAGTTTGGCCTCAAAGAATTGTTTCCATCTTATGAGACGATCGTTAATAGTTAATAGTTGATTAGTACGTCATTGTTGTCTCTTACCATCTCATTGATCGTTCTCCGAGTCATAGCTTTATGAAGAAGGTAGAACCACAATGCTTGAAATAATAATTTCTCGGCTACTCTGCCATTCGTTTCGAGTAAATAAATGTTTCGAAACCTTTCCTATTGTTGCCTAATCGAGCCGCCACCTCCATTCTTAAGGCCATATCACTCCAATAGAGATTTCTGTCTCGCCTTGCTGCTTTCGTTGCAAATCTTCGAAGCACCCGGTAGTCAGGATCACCTGACATTCGTGCTTTGGCAGCTTTTTCAGACAATTGGATAATTGCTTCCGATACCCAATTAGCGCACTTCCTACTAATATACCCTAGCGTGGAAGTGGCTGATTTTCGGAGACATTCTTTTAGTTTGGACCAGTATTCATTTGCCGTTCCAGAAGAGCCATTGGTATTTCGCTGAATTCATTGGTATATCACTGAAATGCTTCAATAATTCGGCGCTTACTGTCCCCGAATTTTTTAATTTGAGATAGTTTAAAAATCTTGGAGGATGCTATTTCTGCGAGTTTTTATGCGAATCTTGGTTCGAACCATAACATGGTCAGATCCATGAATATTGCCCGTTTCAGCTCCGCGATAGGAACGACTATCTAGTGCGGAACTCTTCCAACGGCTAAGATATAATCAATCTAGTTGAAGTGTTGGTTGTTCAGAGAGTTCCGCGTGACTAGATGTTTTTTATGATGTCGGAAGCAAGTATTAGTAACAAAAAATTCATGGTCTTCGGCATAACGAAGAAGACGTTCCCTATTGGCACACGGCTTTCCGATACCATATTTTACCGTCGGGTTCGAAGTATCATGCGCGTCAGGAGACGCGGATGCCGTATCAAGTGTATTTGACTCTTTCACCATAGAGTCACTTGGGGATAAAGTTACAGATGGCCAGCAGCCACCCGGATTTTTGACATAATAGCAGGTTTACTCCTGCCAAAGACAAAAAAAAAATTAAATTTGAAGAAAATAATAAAATGGAAATGAAATTTAAAAAAATATATATATATATAAATATATATATATGACCATATGTATAAATATGAAATATATACATATTATTTATGCAATTTAATTGATTTGATTTAATTTAATTGATTTTGATTTTAATTTATTTTATTTTAATTTTATTTTAATTTTAATCGTTGTTTAGTAAAAAAATTTAAAAGTTTAAGAGGACTTAGCTGAATTATGATCAGAAATGAAAAATAAATTGCGCTCATAATTTATGGTTTGGTTCGTTCGGATGGCCAGCACGGGTCAAACAAAGAAATAAGAGATAAATATAGAAGCGTGGATTTTTAGAAGACAACTTTTCTAAAAGTAAATCGAGAGTATTTTTTGAAAACGACCGCTCAATAGAAAATCTTTTCAATTTTTTGAAAATTTAAATTTTAAAATTTTTTTATAATCTGATTAAGATGCAATCGAATGGAATGAAAAAAGTTCTACTGTTGGCGGAATGTTGGGAGAATCATTAACAATTGACTGTGGTGCTAAAGGTAATCCTAATCCAGATATCCGCATCGCCGACAAGAATGGCGAACCATTAAACGGTTTATATTATATGTTTGTTGAAATTTATTTATTTATCGAAAACCAGTCAAGCAGGGCACAAGCGCCATGTGCTTGTATTAAGTAACAACAGTTAAAATAACAAGTAATAAGAATTAATGACAAAACAAAAAAATAATGATATAAACAATTTAAAGATGAAATAAAGAGGAAATTACAAAATAATATAATATAGTACAATTTGAAATAACTATAATCAGATGGGTAAAAATCGAGATTTCACACTTCCTGCATGATGTGAATTTTTTAAATAATATGATAAATGATATTATTTATTCTTTTTTTAAAGATAGCTAGGAGCACAAGCTATATCGTTCGGTAGTTTATTCCAGTAATTAATAGTACGATTAATGAAGTCATGAGTCCTTAGTTTAGTTTTACACATTTTTTTTTTAGTAATTTTAGCCTATTAGTTCTTGTTGGATTCAAAATTTGCCTAAAATTATAATATTTTGAACAATCTAGTTTAACGTAACCATACAGAATCTTATAATTATAAATTAAATTTTGTAATTTAATTCGTTGAATTGCGAGAGAATCCAGGTTGCACTGTAGAAGTTTTCTTTTATAATCAAAATTGCAATTAGGAGAGAGGCGCCGTGTAAAATATCTTTGGAGTCCTTCAATTATTTTACTTGATTTGCGATATCGCGAGGAGTAACATGTAGCACTGTAATCAAGAAGTGGCCGAACGAACGCTTTGTACATTTTTGATAAGGAAATCTTCAGTTTTGTTCTTAAACGAACGAAAAATAAAATTTGGTATCTTTGAGGATTTCTTTACCGTGGTTCTGCAGTGAAGGTCCAAATCAAGATTTTCATCCATGATTATTCTAAGATCGGAAATATAAGAGACTGATTATATTGCCATTAATAATAAGATTAGGAAAATCGAAACCTTTAGAACTGATATGAAGAATGCTATATTTTTGAAAGGAAAGCGTAATTTGCCTGCCATATAGCCAGCTGGCTATTCCTTTAAGGTCCTCCTTCAGAAAATTAAGCTTTTTCTCTCAGCACGTCATGGGTGGTCATGATCATCCTCAACCTCGAGCCTTCTACCAGAGGCCTGGGAAATTGAAGGTTCTGCACAATACATTAGATATTTCTAATAATGCGCTTTTCTGGGTAGATGTCTTTGATGATATTCTTGGAATCTGCTGAAATCATTTTTTTAGCTTAGAAACCATAGTTCCAAGTGCTCCAATTATCATAAACTTGGTCTTTACTTTTTAGTATTTCTCTAATTTCTCTAATTTATCATATTTCTTTTTTCTGACATTTTAATCGCTTAGTGTTGCTATTTCACCAGTGCTGATTTCTGATTCTTTTCTATTACCACGATAATCATCTAGTTGATTGGCTACTTGTTTGTCTATTTGAATAGAGGAATCCCACAGGATCTTCGTCTTATTATTTTCTACGATTTTTTAAGAATCTCTCATTTAGTATCTAGTGTCTAAGCCATATACCAAGCAGATGTTCCTGGAGATGATGATATTTGATTATGTCTTTCAGTGTACGTTGTTCCTATTTATATTTTACAATGCCACTATTTGTTGGGACTATTTCTGAGGCGTTTTTGCTCAATCTGCACCTTGTCTAGTGTGGTAGATTCTTGCTTCGATGGATCTAGTGCTTGTTGTTTACTCCTGTGCTGTTATAATCAGTCCTCAGCGTTACCTTTTAATCCGGCTTTCTCCAACTATTAATAGGATTTCATATTGTCAACTACCTCAGCTATTGTCATGGTGCAATCCATGAAGAGGCTTGTTTTGCCATGGTATTTCCTCTGCTTGATCGTTTCTAATGTCTATATGTTTATATGTTTCAGAAGACTTTTAGTTCATCCTTTGGTGCCACCTTGCTGATATTTCCGAGTGCTTCGAGTTTCATTCAAGATAGAGACTTTTACATTCACCAAGCCCCATCCGTCTTTTTTCTGTGCAGCCTTTGGGTATTGGATTTGAGGTGGAAATTCGTGCATTATGAGTTTTCTGGTCTTTACGACATGCCTTCTTTTGTCCATTTTATAGTGCCAGCTGCGTATCTGATGACTGGCAGGATATTTATGGCATGGATTCTGTTCTTCGCATTGAACTGGCACAAGATTTATCTTGTCATTTGGTGATAATTAGATGTTCTAATCTTCTTTCCCTCCTCATAGTGGTTACCATGTGACACTTTGGGGTGCTTATAGCTAGCTTGTGTATCTGCTATATATCCTGATCCATGGTAGATGTTTAGTGCGGATTTCAAGTGCAGTTTTCCACAGTCCCACTGAGATCTCAATGAACGTCTTTAGAGTCCTGTTGATCTTTTATAGAGCCAGATGTTCACAAATTCATGTGTGGAACACTGAATCGTGGCTTTCCAATAGTTATTCCAAGCAGTACATAGTCTGCTGTAATTTTTAGTCTAGAACATGAGCACCTGGTGTTTGGAGGCTCAGCTGTTGTTATTCCCAATGCCTTTTTGGATTACTCTCATATAATGGCTTATATGGTCATGAAGCTTGATGGCTATGTTGCCTGATAGGACTGTCCACATTGTAGGTAAGCAGGTTATTGATCGGTAGTTGTTGCTCCCTTATAAGGGTTTTTCATGATAATAATGCCCTCCCAGTCTGAGTAAGAGTCCTACCACAAGCAGCTGGTTCATCTGTGCTTTTAGGCACTCATAAATTGCTGTTAGCACCTTTAGCTAGTAGGTATGAATCATGTCCGGATTAGGTGCTATCCAATTTTTTATATTTTTGAGTTCTCTGTAAGATGTGATAGTAGGTGGTTCCTGCACTGGGAGATTGCTATAACTTGTTCTCAGATCTTGCAACCATTTTGCTGTGATTTTGTGAATCTCCCATATATTCTTCCAGTAGTATGTAATTTTTGATGGTTCTGTTGTCACCATAGTACGGAACTAAAATTAAGAGTATACCTTGAACGATTCCTCTGAAAACAGGCCATTTATTTTTTTAGCCTTTATTTCTCTCATATACCTCGTTAGCCTAGTGGCCAATGCGGTGAGCATTTGTTTAGCAATCTCGAGGACTTCTGATATGGTGCAGCTCTTGTATTTTTTTCGCGTATCGCTGATAGGATTGGCGAACCATTAAATGATTTATATTTATTGAAATTTGTATGTAAATATATATACATATATATGTATGAAAAGTATCCTATATTAGGTAATCCTAAAAATTCTTGTCGTTCTATGTCGTTTATTTTAGAAGACTATGAATTTATTGAAAATCAATATGCAAAATAAATTACAATTTTGTGCAAATGTGATGCGAAGTGCATTCCATTCGCCTAATTGCTCGAATTTATGGAATGTGCGAAAACTGCTGGAAGAGATTTCTAAATTTCCCTGTTCTTGAAAGTATTTCTTCTTTATAGTTTGTTGACGAATGGTCTGGAGAATATAGTGGATTGAGAGGATTTCGAGAGGATTTTCATTTTTCAGCTCTTGCGAAGATTCGTGTGGTCTAGCATTATCATTCAAAATGATGAGGGCCAGTGCTGATTGTAACTGTTGGGTCAGTCTTGTAGCAGACCACTTCTTCGAATGGAAGTTGGGTTTTGGCTCAAATCGAGAGAATTCATCCGTGCAAAACCATTTCGCCGATTTTGTTCTGTTGTTGCACATAATCCATTTTTCATCACAGATGAATCTTTTCTAGAAAAGAGCGAACAACAGAACCTGCAACATGTTTTTATTTCTTAAACTTTTTTCTTTCCTTTATACGCTTAGTATTCCATATAGTATTTTCTATAGCAATAAGCTCTTGTGCCTATTCTGCTCCTTTTGAGATCAACTGGCATCATTTCCTTCAAAAATCCATCTATGGAACTTCAGCAATGTGAAGCAAGTCCATATTTCCGTGACTGAACTTCTTTTCACGAGCTAATAATAAGTGATTCTTCATCAAAGTCTATTTGCATAATGCAAACTATGTCCCAGTTCAAACTTATGAAATGCTGTTTCTAAAAAATCACGCCATTGTATATTAACTTTGATTTCCCAAATTATCTAAGAAAAATTAAAATCACCTAATGCTTTTGAATAACAAAAAAGTGTGATATTACGGTGAGTAGAGCGATATGTGAAAAGTTAAGCCAAAGTGGCATAACAACAAAAATATGCGCCTCAAATCCAGACATTAAAAGATGGTAAGAGCTTAACTTTTAGGATGACCTAATGTCTTCCAAATTTAACCTGTTCAAGAAGAGTTAAATGGTCCAATTCTATTTAATCTTTTCCTATAAAATGAAAAAAATGAACAAGTCAATTGAATTTTTCTATTTGATTGATAATTTTAAGGTAAAGAATTTGTGGTAGCCGCTGATGAAGTTACAGTACCTAAATTAACAAAAAATTATCAAAATAAAACGATAAAATGTCTCGCAGTGCAGGATTTTTTGGAATATCACACTTCAACCATTGAAGAGCATGAAATTAAGATTGATGTTTGGTGTGAGTCTTCCTTTGATATTTTTATAATTTATTTATCAGTCAAATCGTATCAGTGATAAAAAGTAATAAAAGATAGAGCAACAAATCTTGAGAAGTGAGTCTCTTATATTTCTCGATTTTAATAATCAAATATTGAAGAATTTCTTAACTATTTGCTCAAAAAATTAAATTTCGCTGTTTTGAAAATCTTTTCAACCTTAATTTTCTTATTGGATCGGTCGAAATCTTTGAATTCTTATTGACAACTTTATATCTGCAGTTGCCCCAGAATTTCAATCACCAATTATTGACAAATATGCAATAGTTGGACGATCAGCTTCGCTAATTTGTGAAATAACTGCGTCGAATCCACCAGCAATTCTTTTTCGATTTTTTGCAAATTCCAATCAGTTAAATAATAATGATAAATTCGAAATCATTTCAAATATTTCGAAGCAAATTGCTATTCTTCGGGTAAATTTGTTTTTTCTTGTCTTTTCTTGTGTATTATTTTGTTTATATTAATATTTTTTATTTTTTTTTGTTTCGTTTTTTCTAATATTTATTGCCATTTTAATATTTTTATCAGAAAAGTTTCAATTTTTTATTTTATATAAGCAATCGCAAAGAATTATTTTTTCCTCTCTTTTATTCGATTATATTTAAAATATATTTATTCATCAATTTTCATCATTTTTCATAATTTTTATTTTCGTGAAATTTCTTGAAAATTTTTCATTTTTTTAATTTTGTGTATTAATTTATTAGATTTGAATTGTTTCAAATTTCAATTAAACAGTGATTTATTATAATTTTCCTTAATTATTCCTAAATTTTTTATTCAATAATAATAAATTTTAGATAAACAAAGTTGATGAAGAAAATTTTGGCGAATTTAAATGTGAAGTTAGTAATATAAAAGCCAAATCTTATCAAATTATCAACTTGAAAGAATCGAGTATGTTTTTTGTTTTTCGATTATTTATTCCACATGCATTGCGATTGCAATTATTACTTTATTCTAATCAATTCACTTCAATTATGATAACCAAAAAATTAAAGCATTCAAGCATATTTTATGCAAAGATAATATGATAATATGATAACTAATTATTTATTTAAGGTGCTCCGGGTGAAGTACATACTTCACTTTATGAAGTTGGAAATCGTTCGTTAACATGGAAAATCGATGATGACGAAGTTGATTTGCCAACTACTGCTTATATTATCGAATATATAAATAAAGCTTATATTGACGAAATAACGGTATTTTATTTTATCAGCAAACAAATATTTTCAAATACTTTTCATTTCACTATTCCCAACAAATTTGTCTTTTAATGAATAAGAAAATTTTTTTTGTATTCTTGTACTTTCCCATGTAAAAAAAGTAAATTTCCAGAAGTTCAAAAAAATTTTAAAAAAATTAGTTTTTCTTTTTTTACAATATATTTTTAAAAAAACTCAGGCAAAAATTGATCAAATGTGTCGTCGATTATAGTAAATGTTGCAGGGCCCAAACGAGAATATCGAACAGGAACGCCTGTGGAATTCACTTTCAATGCATATCAAATTTAATAAATGTAAGTTGCCAATGAAGACTTATGAAAACAAAAAAAAAATTAATTTTGCAAAATAGTTTAGTAAAAGATGGATCATATATTGTGGATGGTCTTCAACAGGACACGAAATATATGTTCAGGATACGCGCAGAAAATGAGGCAGGTCAAGGCGATGCTATCACTATAATTGCATCAACCGCCAAACATGATAATAAAGTACAGTCTATAATGGCGAATTTATCTTTATCCACCAATTTCAATTTCTTTTTATCGTTTTCCATTATTTTGGCAACAATTCTAATGATTAATTAGCGCTAAATTTTTTGCATAAAAGGCACCGAATTTGATTTATGAAATATGATCGAAAAAAGATTTATTATCACTAATTTATATAATTTTTTGTTTTTCTCGTTATCACTTATCACTATTGCTGTTTGATAATTTTTTCGTTTGCAAATTGAATTGTTTTATGACATTGAATTATCACAAAAAAAGTTTTAATAAAATTACTTTTTCCAAAAAATGTGCTTTAAATGAAGCATATAAATTAAACAAGCATATTTATGAATAATAAACAATATTAAAATGAATAAAAATGTTCTGAAGGAACTCGTGCGATACATAATCAATGAAAAATTTTTTATCGTTGTAAATAAAATAATTTATTTTAAAAATATATTTTCTTAATAATATTGTTTAATATGTTTGTATTTTGCGTTTATGCGTCCGAAAAGAAAACTCATCTTGTCAAATTCAAATTCTTATCAACTTATCAAATTCTTCTGCATTTAAATATGCCCACTAAATTCCATTATTCTCCTTTCGAATTACTTCCTTGAAACTTTCTAATACATCAAAGTATCATAATCGCACATAACCTCTCAAACTTTCTCTTAATGACTTCCTTAATGACTTCCTCGGACCGCTTTTACACTTTTCGAAACCGCGCTATGTTCTCTTAATGTTTGATCAAACCTCCCTATATTTTGCCACAAATCATTAATAATATTACCATAAATTTCCTTATACGACTTGACCTCTTAGACGCTACTGCTGCCTATTGTCGCACAATCTTCTATGACTTTGCAAGTCTCCAAAATCCTTTTCATCTTTCAGATAATATTCCCTGACTCCACCGAGCCTTATATTTTGCTAACTCCATGGTATTCGAGGAGACAATTGTCGTTGTCATGTCTAGAAGCGATTCTGACTTAGAGGCATTCAGTCATAATCCTTCAGATAGCAATATCGCACCATTGGCCAATCGACCCAACCTGTGGTTCCTGTCGTACTAAGCAAGATTACTGTCGTAACAACACGTCCCCACTGAGCCATTCCATTTTCCTTTCTTTTTCTTCGTTCGACTCGATGAAATGTGGTGCGTGACCCAAGTTTCGATTCTTGGTGGCAATTATCTTGCAACTGAGCCAACGACTCAATGATCATAGCACCAAAAGAACGCGTACCAAGCAACAACACATTCATCAAGGCAGGAATTTACCACATCAAAAAGGTGCAGATTGTGTAAAGAATCTCGGGAACTATCCAATAGTCAAAAATTTTTGAAGAATTTTTATTTCCCAATTTGATGATATTAAAGCCACCAATTGCTAAATTAAAAATTAATTTAATTAGAGATCGAAATTTGTTTTAAACAGTTCTTATAATTCGCAAAGACTTGTGCTTCTATCACAACGCGAATTGCTAAATTGCGAAGTGAATACAATATTTTAAAATATTTTTAAAATATCGTAAATATTTTTCTGAAACATTTTTTCTTCAACAACTGACGTTCAAGATTGAAAATATGATGTTTTTGCAACTGTAACCTACGATGAATCTAAATAGTAGTGAGTAATAATTTTAATTTTTCGATAAGGCCGATTTTGCTAAAGGTTACAACACTGAATAACTGATGTTACGGTAATGGCCGGATATTTTTTTTTGAAGAGCACCATTCACCATTACTGGTTGGATTCGCCCTTTTTGCTTATATTTCTTACACCTTTTTACTATAACCCACTGTCACTCTTTAAAAAATTCATCGAATTACCTCAATCCCTCGTATGTTCCAAAATTTTCCATCTTTTACAAAAAGCCTTGCTGTACATTAAACATCTCTCCCAATTTTCACCAAATTTCGGTATACTCTTTGGTCGTAATCCATGAGTAACATGGGCTGCACTTTTATCTTTTTGTTGTTGTTTTAATCTCGAGTTAATAAAATTACAAAAATATCAGAGGAATATAAAGGGAAAAGAATTTAAAGGGTAAAGGTATTGAGAGAAAATTATACCGAACAGGTGGTGCTAATAGAATAGGTTTTGATAAAATATCAAGGAAAATGCCGAGGTTAAAAGCAATTTCGCTAGTCTGCAAGTCGGTTTTTTAAATCAATAATAATGACAATAATAATGATTATTAGCAGTAATAAAATAATAATATAAAGAATATATAATATATATGATATATAATATATATATATATATAGAATATATAATATATATAATAATATAAGTAATAATATAATAATAATATAATAAATATTAAAAAGTTAGATAAATTTTGATGGCTAGAACAAATTTAATATTTTATTGTCGCACCATTTTCTATTAATTTTTATTATACGCCATTAGTACAATGTCCTGAGCCCTTATCTTGAACGCTTGAACCCTTGTACACATTATCTTTATCCTTAAGATGCTATCCCTTGCCAATATGCTCCATCTTCCCAAAACTCTCCTCATTTTCCTTAATATTCCACCGAACTCTTCAGTATTCCTTTACAAAAGGCCTAGAAAACATTATATTCCCCTTAGACTGTTAGATTGTTAGACTAAAGGGCTCCACTAAACTCCACTACAGCACCTTAAAATGTTCAATTGCTTGTAGTTTTTATTACAGCCATATTTTCTAAAAGCCGCAATAAACAATTAAACAAGATTTAATTTATACTTATAAGATTCTACATGGTTATATTAAACTAGATCATTCAAAATATTATAATTCTAGGGTAAATTTGAATCCAACAAGAATTAATGGGCTAAAATTACTTAAACCCATCTAAATTACTAAAATTAAACTAAGGGCTCATAACTTCTTTATTCGTACTATTGATTACTGGAATAAATTACTGAAAGACATAGCTTATGCGTCATCCTTAACTATCTTTAAAAAAAATTAGATGATATAATTTATGATATTATTTAAAAAATTCACATCATTCAGGAAGTGTGGTATCTCGATTTTTACCACCCGATATGTATAATACAGTTACTTCGAACTTTACTATATTATTTTGTAATTTCCTCTTTAAATTGTTAATTTTTTGTCATTTTTTTTCTTTTTTTTCATTAATTATTATTATTTGTTATTTTAACTGTTCTCATTAATAAGTACATGGCGTTTGTCGCCCTGCTTGGCTGGTTTTCAATAAATAAATAAATATTGCCCACGAAATCTCAGTCCATAATACTAAAACCTCTTATTCATACTCAATGTTTTCAAATTTTTTAAAAATTTTCCAATAAAATTTTCCAAATTTCATTGGACTTGACAAGATTCAAAACATTGAATATGGGTTCGAATGCCTCTTAAGGGAACAGAAATTAAGAAATAATCAAGAGAGCGACTTTAATTATTTATTTGTTTTTAAAATTAAAACAGAAATTCTTTCAAAATTCATTTGCGAATAAAACATAAGCAAATTATAAAATATAAATTAAATCGAAAATATATTAATCAAAATGAAATAATAAAAATTGATTCTAAGTATTTTTAAGAATATGAATTTATTAATTATTTATTTCATTTAATTAATTTGCTAATTATATTAAAGTATTATTCACCTCAATATAATGAAATAGTTTCCATGATAATCAAAAATTTCAAATATTTTTTTTGAATTCAAAGAAAACGAAAAAAGACAATTTTTCGCATTTCATTTGGTTATTTATGTATTTATTAAAAGAGACTAAATATGTTTAGCATTTTATAACGAGAAAGCAACTGGAGCAGCTGGAGATTATAAGGCACAAATTAGTTTAATATTAAATAGAAACATCAAAAATAAATAAAGAAACAATAAAATACCAAATTTCATGTAATGTTCTTAATATCCAGGCGATGTTCTTGGAGATGGACAGTGATCGCAACTACCTACTAGTCCTTTCTTCCCAGCAATTCCCTGTCTTCCAGGAGAACCAGGTGCACCATCTTTACCAGTTTTGCCGACATCACCAGGTGGTCCCACAGGACCTGAAAATATTTTTTACACGAGCGTACTAGATAATTATGCATGCAAAGAAACTGATCCAAACCTGGTGCACCTGGTTTGCCTGGAGAACCTGCTATTCCTTGTTGGCCTATTGGCCCTTGTGGTCCTGCGAAAAAAATTTATTTATTAGAACGCTGAAAAGAGCATTAAAATGAGCTTGAAAACTTGAAATGAACTTGAAGAAAAAACAACGGGAGAAATGGAATTTTTTTCGTTAATTACAATCATTAAAAAAATGTCGAAAGTTGAAAAGGATGAAAATCTGTTACTAAAAATATGTTCACTTGCCGGGTTCTCCAGGTAGTCCTGGAGGTCCTGGTTGCTCAATAAGGTAGCCAGGAGGACCACTTTCTCCTTTTGCACCAGCTGGTCCTGGTGGGCCCTAAAACGGCGACTAGAAAATTTAAGGTACATAAGCAATCGGTGAAATTAAATAGAAATTAAATTAAATATTTATTTAAACAAACCACAATATATCTATTTTTCTCCTCAAAAAATGGCAAATAATTATTATAATGAATCTCATAAAATGCGAAGTGCTAATAAAATTATCTTACTGGCGGTCCCATTGCACCAGTAGGCCCAGAAGGGCCTCTCTCTCCGCCGTCGGAATCCAAACCGGGTGGTCCAGGGGGTCCAATGTCCCCCTTTGGTCCCGGTGGACCAGGTGGCCCTTTCACACCTGAAAATACTCGCTGTGATATAATAAACTTGTTTCGGAGGGTGTTTTAAAAAATAGTAACCTCGTGGACATTCAAAACAGAATTCAATTTGCACATCGTCTGCATCTTTTCCAGGTTTTCCATCTGATCCAGGGCTGCCATCTAAACCATCAATGCCATCTTTTCCACGTGGCCCCACTGGCCCTTGCAAGCCAATCCCACAACCGCAGCCTGTAATTAATAGCGTATGAAATCTATTCATATCCTATATGAAATTTTGAAAATTTGGTAATTTGATTTAAAGAAATGTTATTATAATCTACTTACTAACCAACCTAAATTGAAAAATAATCATATTTACACCTACAGTAAAATTGTAAAACTCAAAACTCAAAATGACAAAAAAACGAAACGTATAACCAACAGATTGGTGATTGACCGGGCCAGTTGTATGTTGATGGTTGTCCAGTACCGTAATCTCTTCGTTTCCTTGATATCCGTTTGTCAGCACCAGTTACTGATAATTCATTCAATAATGTATCCATTCGAACCTATTATTCGCTAGTAGAATCTCTTTTTAATTTCATAATATATATATATATAACATCATATATAATAATAATTCATAATTTAAACTGGTTTTGATTGGCAAAATGTTTTTAATTTTATGTAAAGCGAATTAGGATGTTCTGCTGTTATACTTTTATTGATAAAGACTATGAATGAAACCTTTGCGGTTAAGAAAAATCTTTTGTTTGTTCCAAAAGCTCTAAGTACTCACCATGTAGGACTACTAAAATGAATCCATCATTCACTAATAATTTGGAGAAAGAAATACGGTATCCTCAGAAACGAGAATCGTTTTTAGTGGTAAATTCACTCTCTTCAAAGACGTACAAAACTTAACATGTTTTACCTAAGTCGAAACAAGGGCTACTCGACCATGGCATTCCCATAAAGCCAATAAAATTCGGAATATTTTTCAGAATTTCTAATAATAAACTGACTGAATAATATATTCGCTTAAATAAGAAAATTTTTAAGATACCTTGCAAAAATCAACTTCATTTTGCAGAATAGACTGAACGTGTTGCAAATAATTGTAAACCATGGGAAGAGACAAAGCACAAAGTACAGCTGCTATGGATGAAACCGTGACACCAGCAAGTGCCGTTCGCCTTAATTTTTCGGCAAGTGCTTGTCTTTCTTTTGCATCATATTGGTTGTCTTTACCCATCAAAGCTGCAAATATTTTTTTCCTATTTGCATCCACACAAATCCGCAATTCTCTTCAGATTTTCTCGTTGCTATTAATCATCGAATAATTAAATAATATTCTTATATCAACTTAAAGACGTTCGTTTAAGCGCTTTTTATTTATAAAACTCGTCTTAAACAAATGTTTCATTTTTTATGAAAAAGCAAATCAGCCAGTTAAAGCGACTATACTGACGCAGTTAGCAATCATCTTTTATTAGATTCTTAACCAGTTTATTAATCCATTGATGCGGCACAGCATAATTCGAAGAAAATTGTAATTATTGATGGCTTAAAAACGTATTAAACGTATTACAACAAGAAGGAAAAAAGGAAAAAATTTCTTAAAAATTGTAACATATAATTTTCAAATTTAAATGGCAAAAATTTATGAATTCCTGGAAAACTATGAAACTAAAATATAAAAATAAATGCTAAAATTACATGTCGTTAGAGTTAAATATTTTAGATTTTTAGATTTATTTTTATATTTTTATATTTTCACTATTTTATTAATAGTTATTCACTATTTTATTAATATTTTAATATTTTATTAATATTTTGACATTTTTTTCAAAATTTGATGAACAATTTAGAAAATCGTTCCTTTACTATCATTTAAAAAATGCCTTTTGGAATTTACTTTTTAAGATTAATTTTTTTGAATATCGAAAAATAAAAAGACAAGTAATGAATTTAAAATGCATAATTACGGTTTAAAAAAAAAAAGAAATATTCCTTATCAATTTTTTATTTTAATTTTTATTAACTTTTAAATAAACTTTTAAATATCATAAAATCATAAACAAATGAGACTTTTTCAATGTTTTTTCTCTGATTTAAATTGAAATGTGGAATTTAAGCTTGAAAATTATTAATTTATATTAAATAAATATATATATATATATAAAGATAAAGGTTGTATAAGGTCGTATTAAAAAATGATCCTTAATAATCATTCTTAATAATAATATTTAATAATTAGTCAATTATAATTTAATTCTTGGGGAAATGCGATTAATTTTTTTGCAAATTAAAAAAGTTTTTAAAAATTGGAAAAAAAGAAATCGTAAAAGTATTTAAAAAGAATATACAAGCATATCCAATACATCTTCAATGATATTATTCGAATGCCAGCTAACCATCATTATTAGCAACCAGTCGATAAATAAGAACACCCTAAAACAGGCTCAACGCAATCGCTACAATAATCAAGAATGACGCGGAAGTCAAAACAAGATTTGCAAAATGAATTCCCATAAACTTTACGCTAAATCTAAAATTTTTATCAAGTATAATGAAACTATTGCTAGGCAGAAATATTTTAAAAAAGTAGTTTTGGCATTATTTTTTGGCAAAATTTCGCAACTCTTTTATGTGATTAGTGATTAACAATATTTGTAGTGTGTAATTAGGAAGAAGAAAAAGTTTATTTAATTGAAACGATGCTTTAAATTGAATTCTTATGAACTTGGAAATAAAAAATTTTTGATAATCTGGTGATTTACATTGATTTTCAATTTATTTTTTTAGATAATTTTGAAAACCATTCGTTCAAATCCTTCAATTTGCAATTCTAGAAAACCAAATATTTGCTATTTATTTAAGTTTAGGTTTAAGTTGTTGATTTTCCAACTTATCAGTTCACATTTATCGGCTGAAATTTGAGAAATTCAAATTCAGCGAATATTCTCTCAATATATAATTTTAAATAATTTAAATGGGATAGAATTGCTCAGTGGGTTGTTGCTCAGTTTGGACCGCCGATGCTGAGATTCGATTCCACACAGGAGTAGACCTATACAATCCGGGGGATGTCGTCGACTTATTTTTATCGCCAAGGGACTTCCTAGCACATTGCCCAATGCGACAAGCTAGTGGAGCGAGTTTAACCAGTAGTGGTGAGGACTCTTAAAAAAAAAACAATTTTAAATTTTAATTTCGAATTAATATCTGCGAGAAAATACGTTATGCATATGCATACTTTCTCGATTTGATCTTATTTTTACTTTATAAGTAATTTTATAAATTATAACAAAGCAGATAATATCAACCATAGCGATTAATCATATTTTCACTAGTGCGCAGTGCCGGTTTGCGGGCCTAACGGCGTCACTTTTCTTGGAGCAGCATTTCTTGGAGTTGCCAACATGCAAAGCTGGTTATTAAATTTTTTTCAATTTTAAAAATGCTTTTTTTACAATGTATTTTTTTATTGATTTCCTCATCATAAACGGCAACAACATAACATGAATGTTATTTTATTTTCGCAAAAATTTTTTTCAAGAGGAATCAAAGAAATTGCTGCTTAGTTGCATAAGCTGCGAAAAGGAAAAGCAGCAGTGGTGGCAAAAGATTTGATGCATTTTAAAATTTAAAATTTAACGGACCTGGCATTAGTGCATCTCGAAAACTGCAGCCATCGCAACTAATAAAGGCAAATCTTTTTTATTAGAGGAATCGCAGCATTTAAGATATTTCAAAAGAATAGACATTCGAATGCCTCAAAATATATTTCACGGTTGCTGTTTTCATAAATTTTAATGAATCCAATTTGACATAATTCATTAAATTCCTTTACTTTATTGCAAAGTAATTTAACTTTTTTCAAAATTATATTTGAATTATATTTTATTTGAGAGAATTAAAAATGAAATTAAACTACATAATTTCGCTTAGTAATTTATAATAAAAATTTATTTTTTTTCAACTACAATTCAGTGAGTCGAGAAAATATTCAAAATTACGAAAATTTTCAGTAGGAAATTGAATATTTCATTTTAAGATCGTTGTTTACATTGCTTCCGATGTAAAAATATTCATAATTCATCATTCATTCATTCGCTCGTATAAAATTACAAATAATTAATGATTAATTTTGATTCAAAATTAAGGTATTTTTTTAAAATATGAAAAAAAATGAAAAATATGAAAAGAAAATAAACGAAATTTTTTAAATCATGCGAATGCAATTTGTAATATTCTATGTAATATTCTATTATTTATATTATTTTTTGAATAAACTTACTATAAAAACTAACTAACTTTTTAAAGATTCTAATAAAGAAAATTTTTTTTCCTAATGCGAACTGCAAATTAGAATAAAATAAAATATTTTTAAGCAATTTTAAAAAATATAATATTTTTAAAGCAACACAATCAAATCATGTAATAATTAATAATTATTATAAGATCGCTGAGATTTCTGTGATAGAAATTTGAGAAATCATTTGAAATGTTACCTCATTTTTCTTTTAAAATTCTCAGAGAATTTCAAAAAAAATAAAATTTTAATGAGAAAATTTCCAAATATTCTTACAACACATAAACGTAACTGCAAATAAGCTATGAAGTAAAATATTTTTTGAGGTCGATAATTAACTTAGAAAATCATTGCTTTCCTATTTTTATAGAAGAAATATTGGAAATGAATAAATTTAGATAAAATAATTAATCAATAAACAACAAATGCAATAAAAACAATAAATTTATTAAAAAGAGTGCTGTAAGATGAATGATGATGAAAATTTATTGCGAATTTATCTGTGCTAATATAATCGAATAGAGCGATTGAGCGATATTTTGCAGTGGCTGGAGAAAAGCAGAAGAGTTCGATGAGTCCTGTTCCCTGAAAAAATCTGAGCGGTCCTGAGGAGCACTCATTTTTTCTCCACATTCGAGCGGGAAAAAGTCTGACAACAGTGGTGAAACAGTGGCGAAACCAGAACGAATACGTATTGTTATCGGAAAGCTATCAGAAATCGGAATGTACATTTGAAAAAAACGTGAACTTAACTTTCAAAACAGCTTTCTTGGCATAATAAATATTAAAAATTACAAAAAACTAAATAAATACGTATAAAATTAAAAGTACTACTTTCTTCAATACAACTATATTATTTATTTTTAAAAAATGATGAATAGCTCAGCGATGTGAGAAAAGAATGCGAAAAAATATTTAGTGCATAGCGCTGAAGTGCATTTCTTTAAATTCCACCGGATTCTCTTCTTTTTTTTAGGCGAAGGCAAATGATTTTTATTTCCGACAAACGTCAATCAATTGTAATAAAACTTGAAAGAAATGCTAGTAGCCTTGTTGAAATTGCTTTATATCAATTGGAGAATCAGCTGTATTTATCGCTGTAAATGGAGCGTTTTGATAAGATTCACCACCACTATCTATAAATATTTTCAAGTTATTTTATTGGTTTTCAGAATTTTATTTCATTTTTCTGAAAATTATAAATTTATAATTATAATAAATGAGAATTTAAAAAAACACTCAGAAATAATTCTTTCTTTATAATAAACGGATTTAGTGATTTTGGTTGGCCGAAAAAAAACGTCGTAAATTTAATGCAATTTTAAATTTATGCTGATAGATATATTAGAAAAAATAATAGTGCAATAATAAATCGCTAGTCGAATTAAGAAACAGGAAACATGGATTTAGAGAAATTTTTTGTAGTTGAAGTTTCGCTAAAGAATAATTTTGGTATTAAACAAAATATGTAAGAAAAATTGAAAGAAAAATTGAAAACACCGTTAGGCCGAGTAATCAAAAATCCTAAATTCCTAAAATTCTTAAAAGAACTATATTCAACAAAGCGATAAAAGCTTTTTATGATTTTTTTAGATATTCCGTTTTTTAGTAAAAGAAATTGATTCTAAAGTATTATTTATCAAGAAGCAATAAAAGTTATTTAAAAAATTTTATTACCTCCATAACTGTAATCAGCTGGACGCACTAAGCTTGACGCAAAATCTTGTTCATAAGAAGTAGCAAAAGTAGTTCGAGCTCCTTCTTCATATCTACGCCAAACAAAAAATGTCGCTCCACCCTAAACAAATCAACTTTTTATCAACTTTCAGTCTTTATGAATTTAGAATAAATTATGATAATTATGAAACATCTCTGTGTGCTTATAAAAAAAATATAAATATAAGAACATTGCATATAAATTAAAATCTGTGATATCGAATACTCATTGTTCGTATTTTTCATTGTTTTCCGATTAGTGGTGCAAATTAGCCACCTACATTCCTATCGCCCTCGCAGCAAAAATTTCTCATCGTACTAATGGCCAGCTTACGAAATGGTATTAGCGAATATTATGATATCTGAGTTGCAATAAAAAGCACCTTAATAACAAAAATACTATAAATGCATAATTTAAATCGTTTGGATTCATTGTTAATGAAGCCAGCAGCATTAAATAAATTCTACGTTGAAGGTTTCAAAGCTTTCAAAGTTGAAGAAAAGAAATATTTAAAAGTTTTTTAAATTTACATGGGTTTTATTCTATTAACTTCGCAATTCCTTAAGTATAAATATTTTAAATTCGTTATTTTTAAATTATTCGTTTAACTCTTAAGAATTATTTTGAAAGCCAACAAAAGAATTACTTTTTAGAATTTAGGAGAGGAAAATTAAATTTTTTATTTAATTTATTTAAAATTTGTGTTTATTTTATCATTATTACAATATTTTTAAGTCTTAGCAAGTCTTTTATTCTCCACATAAATTTAATTTTTATGGTTTCAGATTTAATTATTTTGTAAGATTTTCTGATAAGGCTTCGTAATTTGCCGAAAATAATCTCATTCACAAAAAATTAAACACTTTTCTGGAAAAAAAAGATTAGCCTTTTGCACGAATTCATCTTTTATATGAGAGTAGTTTCGGCGGATATGTATTTGATGATAATACGAAAATATCATACCCAAGCAATAAGAGAAATTAGAGCGCAGAAGATTGCGAATTTAATAAGTCCACTATCATATGGCTCATTTAATTCTAACGAACCATATTTTGACCATAGTGAGAAGAAAGTTATTATGAATAGAAATGTAAATATCGCTGAAATTTGCTTTAGTTTGGCGAATTTGCGAGAGAGTGGATTTTAAGCGAAACTTTCGTGTACTAATCTGGTAAATGAAATAGTCTAAAAAAGGAAAAAAAGTGCTCTGAAAGTATCAAAAAGTCGATGTTCAAAATAAAATGCGAAAAATAACCTGAAATTGCCATATCTATAATAACAATACGTTTTCTTGTTTGAACAGCACTTATTTTTTCAAAGTTAGCATCACTTAGAAGGAAAATAATGGCACAAATTGCGGCAAAAAACCCCATTGCTGAGCCAAATGAACAAGTTGATGAGCTTTTTCCATACAAACATATCTCTTGTACTTCTCCAGTTGGTCGCATCCATCCGCCTTTTGATATCGATAACCATTGTGCAAATCCCGCACTCTATTAAAGTACCAATTGCGCCAATAATACTAACTTTTAACTTCTAAGTTAACTTTTTTTAACGAACCGATCAAATGAATATTTTTTACAATAATTAATATTCGAAAAACCAAAAAATTTTCCGCTGAATGAATTTATTTCGAAGAAATTTAATGAAATTTCTTGAAATTGAAATTTAATGAAATTTTTTCAAAATTCTTTAAAACTGTGAGTTAATTTTATATGAATTTCGGCATTTTTTAAAAAATTTTATTAAAAGTAAATTGATTGAAATTGAAATTTTTCCATGTAAAAACAAGCGAAATATAATAAATGGAAGACAAATGAAATTCTTAAATTTGGATTTCATTAAATTAAATTAAATTTTGGCGATAAATCGAAGTTGTTTTTTTATCCTTTTTAGTGAAAAACAAAGTTATTCGCTTTTTCAATTCAACTAATTTTGCGCCCCAAAAAACTGTAAAATTAATTTTAAAAAGTAAAAGAAATTAATAAACATTTTTTTGGTTTTTTTGATAAAGAAATAAACATTTTGGAGATAAATTTTTTTTAAAATAAATTATGCAAAATCCAGCTGAAAGGAGATTTTTTAAGAAATAAGCGAGCGGCTTTCCTTCTTCTTCTTCATATTTTGCTCCGAATGACTCGATGCCTTTAATTTCAAAATGGCTTTTAACAATAAAAAATGAATTCAAGAGAATAAAAAGAATAAAGCTAACGTACCAATGCAAGAATGCGAAAAAGCACGGTAGGCTTTTTAAGAAATAAATTTATATCAAATTTCCCTCCGGCCATGCCAGAACCATATGCTCGCATGTCGTTCATTTTATCTTAAAAAAAACTTAGTTGAAACAAGAATTGCGAATAGCGAAAATTGGAAAAGAGAAATCATTAAAATTACCTTTACCGCTTTTCATAAATCATTTATTTTTTATTTACTTATTTATTTATATTTTTTTATTTTATTTATTTTATTTATGTTTTTAACGACGAAAGTTTTATACTGGAACCAAATTTTCCTAATATTTTTTCTAAAATTCGATACGATGACAAAATTTTAGAAAAATAATTGAAAATTCTACTAAAAATTTGGACTTTTAATAAGTGGAATAATTGCTCTCTTTTTTATATAGTCCTCACTATTACTGGTTAAACTCGCTGGCTTGCGGCACTAGATAAATATGCCAGGGAGTCCCTTAACGATAGAAGTGTAGCTGAGTCGCCAGCATCACCCGGGTTTTTGGACAGAATTACTCCTCCGGAGAATAGAACTTCAGTACCAGCGCTCCGAATTGAATAACAGCCCACTAAGTCATTCCATCTCCAGCAACAATTGACCACTTTATTGCCTAGAGTATGGTTTCGAGCACACTAATAAGCATATTATTAAAATCTGAGCTGGCAACTCATCAGGGAGGAACCGATATTTATCCTTTATATCCTTAAATGAGCCTCTAAATGCACAAATTTTCCATCTAACTATTGGTGGGGATTAAATCAGGAATAGCGAATGCTTATCACTTTTTAAACCATAAATGAATTTGAGTGGATTGAAATTTCCTTAATACTTGATTATTCAATAATATTTTTTTAAATAAATAAATATTTTTATCTTGTAAAATCGAAATTTTTACGAAAAAAAGACGGAAAAGAACAAAATAACTTTAAGATAGGAATAAACTGGTGGGACTGCATCTTTTGAAAAGATTTCTGGATATTAGGCTGCCACGTCTTAGCAGCATTTATTCATATGAATGAATGAATTGCCTTCGCTTGCTCGAATCGATTCATCCATCAATCTAGAAGAAGCCAAGAAAACTTTTTTCTCTGCTTTATTTTGAAATTCCAAAATAGCAGTAATGAAATAATTTAAATCTTTTTTGCAAACATTGCTAATCACTTGAAATTTAATATTAACGGAAAAAAAATCACGTTTTATCTTTAATATTATAAGAAACTGATGTCGTGATAGAAATCTTCCCGTTAATTTACGATTTTATATTTTTATTGGACAAATTCGAAAAAATTATTGAAAACTATTGAAAAAATTATCACCGTTATCAAAACGATTACTTATCACAAAATTGGAAAATATGAAGCGATCATATTTTAGGTAAAAATAACTTACATTTATGGATATTGAAAGACATGATATAAAAAAACAATAGGAATCCATTAAAAATTATTAATTTCCAGATATATTTCACCTCTTATCACTGAGTATTCATTTCTATCCCGAAATCACTCTCCAAGTTTATTTTTACTCCAATATTCTTGTTATAATTGATAAAAATCATATCGGATATATATATATATATGATATCTATTATCAATTATTAACTATTAATTATCAGTTCTATTTATTTGTTTCGTTCATATCACATAATTATTTAAAAAATTCAAAATATTTAAAGTAAAGTGATAAATTATGAAGTTGTTATTTCGTCTGATTTGTTTAGCTTTTTTTATCAACCAATCTCACAAATGGATTTTTAGAATATTTTTGACATAAAATTGAGTTTCAGCTATTTCTTTCGATTTTTTCTTTTTATTCTCTTTAATAATGTATTCCATAATGCACTCAGATATATTCCATTATTTGAGCAAATAATTTTAGAAATTGTTTATATGATGAACACTATTATTTATTTTGAATTCAAAAAAATTGATTGATGACGATTATGAAATATTCTTTCTTTAAGAGAAATCCAGAAATTAAGCAAAGTTTATGGGTTCGTGGGATAACGAATAAGTTTGTCAAAAAACTGTTAAAAAATATAAAATATTTTCGCAATATTTATGGACGGCTTTAAATAAAAATAAAACAAATACACAAATTTACGACCCGATTGCGCTATAAACTGAAGTTCAAATATAGATTTTAGTTCAAAATTATGATAAAAATATCTGAGATTTCTTAAAATTTCGAAAAATTCACGGATTATATTAGCTTAAAGGATTTTTATTAATAGGAATATAGAATTTTATTAATTTCTTAATTAATCCTTTCTTGTTTAAAGAATATTAGTAGTGAAAATCCTTGCATTTTTCTATAATGTCGTCTATTTGTCAATGATTGTCTTTCTCTTTCTTATTCTAATAGAACTCACCATTTTAGGTTTGGCTTGCAGCACTGACTATTATAATGAATCCTATTTGTTATACTATTAATTCGGTGGCATAAATGTATAATCCAGCACCACTTTTTAAATAAACTTATTTTCACTTATTCACTTAAGTAGTCTAAAAACAAATTCATAATGGCTTGGACTTAACGAAAATATCATATCACTCGGTAATTCTATTCTGATAATCTTTATTCTCCAGCAGCGAAAATTTAAGTGCTCAAAGAAGAGAAGGAAAATTTTCATGTAAGTAAGGAAAAACGCAAATCCATTATTTTTTTCTGATTAAAACTGCTGGTACCACATCGAATTTATTTAAAATCAACAAATTAAGATGAATGAAATTAAGATGAATTTCCATTGAAACTCAATAATTCACGATTGATTTCGAACCAAATATTGTTAATAAAATAAAATGTTGGTAAAATAATAATTATATAATTAATAAATCTTCTACATTTGTTCTATAGTTCTATTACTTGAAACTTCAAAAAATTATTTTCGAAACGTAAAACTTCGATTTGAATATGCTGTTGCTTAAAAAGCTCGATTGCTAATCGAATAAAACAGTAAGTAGATAAATAAAAATAAACAGTTAAACAGTTAATAAAAAATAAATCATTCCTGGTTATTTCTGGTTGACTCCATTGGCTGTTAATTTTATTAGAAATTTCTGGAGCCACTTGGTGATAGGAAAAGCGCTAGTGGGTCGCAAACGTGACTCTTAGGAAAAAGTTTATTATTTAATTTCGCTTTCGTAAAGCTTTCTTTTCTTATATTTTGATTTTATAAAAAATTGCAATTGGTAAACCGACCGATATTTTTTTCATATTTTCATATACCAACAGATATTCATATTTTTCTATTAATTTTTATTTATAAATAAAAATATAATATAACTTATTATTAAATAATAAGTCGCATAATAAGTAATTTTTCAACAAAAATTTCTATAGTATTTGATCAAATCACGTAAAAATTAACGCTGTTATTATTTTTCTAGGCATTCTCACACATTTTAGGATTGAATTACTCGACCTTTAATGAGATATAATTTATTATAAAGAGATGAGAAAGTAGGTGATCGGCGATTATTGTGGCTGAGAAAGTTAGCAACAGTTGTTGAACTTCGTGCAGCATCAACTCATTTCTCTGGAATCAATTGCTCTCGAACTTTTGTGTTTGCATTTCTTCCGTCCATCCGGTCATTTATTTTCGCTTATTTTACTAATTTTTTCTTCAAATTCTATTCAATCATGCTTCGATTCTGTCGCACTTTTAGTAATTTTTTCGTGTTATTCAGAATCACATTATCACATTATTTTTACGATTGTTCTTTTACTATTGTGTATTTCTAGGAAGGATTTCTTTATCTTTTTGGTTTACTGAATTTTGAGGATAGAATTTTTGTATATTTCAGTTCATAAAGCTATTTTTAGCTATTTATTTCTTGGAGTTTATTCATGCATTTAGCGATTCAAGAAAATTTTAGATTGTGATCTCGAATATGATAATTTTTGAAATTTTTAGCAGCAATTTTGTAAAAATCAGATGTCAAAATCTGAAAGCCACTTCCGACTAGTTTGTAGGAGAAGAATTGATAAAAATAAATTCCACAACTCATAGTATTATCAGCATAATGTTATAAACTAATCCAGAGGATAATTTTCACGATATATGATCCAATATATCGATATTACTCGTTTCGTTTGCGGCTCTTAAATAAGCCAATCAAGCCATTGGCGGACAACACCTTTTATTTATTTATTTTCCAGTTTAGAGAAGAAACTTGCGAGGAAAAATTTCTTACTGTATAAGTTTTGAAATGGATGTTAATATCTCAGAGATTTAATCTGCTTTTTTTCAGAAAATCCTATCAAAATGGATAAATAATATTTATTATAATATAATAATATTTATTATAATAATATTTATTAAATATTAAATTAAGTTATATATTTACGAAAGAATTAAATTATTTTTTCGAGCGTTATTAAGAAGCGGTTTAACGATAATTCGCAAGGCTTAGTTGTATCTTATTTCCTACTTTTATTTAGCTAATCTAAAGGATTCTGTAATTTTTCTATCTTAGAATTGGTAAACTTAGTATGTCTCATGAACTGTAGCCTCACTAACGTTATAAAATTATTTGTAGCAAATGATGGAATCACTTAGTTCAATTCGCTTGAATCGCAGCAATCTTCGTCATTTGAATGAACTTGGAAAATATCCCAGTAAAAGCTTCGAACTTTCAATTAATTTTAGAGATATCGAATCGAGTAATAGAGAAAGGTGCATAATAAATGTTCGAAAATCGAGATCAATGTTGAAATTCGGTCCAAATTTCAGGTGAAATCCTTGTTTATTTCATACAAATTTTCTTTAAATTCCAGTCAGTAGCTATTTTAAATTTATAAAGAATTTTCTTTATTTTTTAAATATTTCCTTTAAATATTAACGGCGATGAATCTGACAATGGTCCGAGCCAAGATCCACATAAAATTGATAACTCGCAAAAAACAGCAAGATTTTTTAACTATTCCAAACTAGAAGATCCGCAGTAACTGAAAACACGAAAGAATTTTCTGATATGAAGCAGAGAGCCTTTTTGTTCTTCGCAACGAAAATATATAGGCACTTTCCACACTGTAAACTAAAATAATGAAAATAATTATTGGATTAAAAAAACTTGTTTTTACAGAAAGTACGGCGACAATGATTATAAACCTTTAATTCGACGACAATCATTCATATCATTACGAACTTTTTATGCATTTGGAGCTCGTAGTGCTTCTGCACCATCATATTCTTATAGGCATTTTTTGTTTAATTTTCATTTTATTCGTTCTTTTTCTGATACTATACAGCACTTATGGTTTGGTTGACTAGCATGTTTGCAATTCTCTGGACCAAGTACCAGGTATCCAGAGATAAATCAAGCTACTCGTTTTTCTGCCTTTTTCATTGCTAGGCGTCCTATTCACTCGAAACCTTTGCCGATCAAGAATTTGGTTGGCCATTTTCATTTTTTAAAGCCAGCTATCATAAGTCCCACGCACCTATTCCTATCTTTAGTGGTAAAGAATATGGCCTAACGAGAGTTATTGTTCTTATTCTTCTTTGTTTTTACTTTCTGAATATAGTCGACTATATGTGAATGTGGACTATATTTTCTTCTTCTTTTACAATAGTACTTATAATAGATTGTATTCATGATTTGTTTCCATTTTTACACATATTCACATATAATTTCAGATCATATTCACCGCAATCACATACGGATTCACAGAATTCGTTTTTAATAACTCCTTATCGTCCATCAATATTTCGCTCCTCCACATCTTCATCAATAAACGATGAGAAACATTCTTCTTCTTCTAAACATACATCAAGTCTAAAACATAGTCTTAATAGTAGCTATCACACAAAGGAATTTGTATATTATCAAGAAAAATCATCGCTGCCATTTTTTTCGTCATATCGCACAGTAATTTTTAAGATTTTAACTAAATATTTCAAAATTTTTATTTTTATTTGGAATAATATTATTAATGAAGAAATATTAATAATATTTGTCTTATTATTTTGTGAGCTTTTCATTTCAATATTGATAAAATTATTGTAAATTAAAGCCAAATGCAAATTGATAATCATTTATTGCGCAAATGCATGCCAACGATGAAATATCATCTTTCAGACGCAGAGGAGTGAAGCACATCCACCAAAATTTCATCCATTTCATTACAACATTCATTCTTCACTTAATACCTTAAATCCGTCAAATATCAATGTAAATCACCGAAAAATCTTTTTTTTTGTTTGTTAAAAGTTTTCAAAATTATTTTTACTAAATAATTATTTCAAAAAAAAAATGATTGAAATTTCAGCGTATAAAGCAAAAATTTGAATCAAATAAAGTTAGCGAAAAATTATCGGAAACGAATGTACAAACTTTTAAAAAAGGCAATTCTCATATTTTTTGTGAATCTAAATTATTTAAATATTCTTTGCAATAGTTATGTGTAATAATTATAAATGTGTAATGATTTTTCTTTAAATCCATAAATTTTCTCGCATAGTCGTTTCATTAATGCAAATTTTTACTGATTCTTCCTTCGACAACATCATAAATGTTATTTTTATTTTCGCTGAATTTTTATGAGCGGCTGGCAATTGGCTGATAATTTCACAAATAACTGAACAGCGTTTGTCCATCGTTCCATTTCTTTTCAATATTAGTTAAATAATTAAATTAGAAAATTGAATTGCGCTCATTCAGAAGCCCCGAATTCACAATTGCCATCGCAAGATTTTGATTATTTAACAATAAATTAAGTTAATAGAGACACTTATGTATTCATTTTCCAAATTAAAATCCAGAAAAAAATTTTCCAATTCGCCGATTAATAAAGTCTAAATTTTAGATGATATATGCGGTGTGAATCAATTAAAACGAGATGATACGGCTCAATTGCTTGCTTTAAAAGAACGAAACAAAGTAAATTTACTGCATGTAGAAGAAATTTATTAACATTTTCGAAAATTTCGGTTAAAGTGGATTTTTCATTGCTTCTTTTGCAATAATTCTTCAACTTGATTAAAACCACATTAATGTAAAATTAGCGAATTTAATATAATTTAGAGAATATGAATTAAAATAGGTTGTAATGGAATTTATTAAAAATAAAACTTCATTGAAAAGTTAAGAAAAGTAAAAATTGTAAATCCTTCGTACAGTCCCTTCTTGTCAAAGATATTATCACCCCCCTTTCCCCGCTACATACGAGCCTTTTTTCGCACCTTCCAATGGTGTATCTCAGAGTCCAATCAGAGCCAACTTATTTTATCAACTAAAAAGAATGTTAGATGCACATATGAGTGTTGAATGAATTTTTTTATATTGGAAATGAAATTGTGGGTACCAAAAAATTAGAATAAACGAGGGTCTTTTTGAAAATGCGAACTTTCACAAATTTATTTAAGATAAATTTTGCAGAGTGCAGGTATGATATATACAATTATAATTGCGCTTAAACCTATTTATTCAGAAGTTTCCTAACAATTTGCATATACTAAGAGTCCTTCCAGAATATTAGATGAAAAATTTGAATATAAAATTTGAATGCTTTTTACTTTTCTCTTTTGAATTCTTCAATATAAATTATCTTTGATTCATTTTTTGCTTTTGTAAAAAATGCTTTTCAATGGGGCAAATTTTATGATTTGTAGGCATTGGAGCAACAAGTAGAATTGTTAAAAAAACAGTTGAGGGAGAAAGAAAGAATTGAAAATCAACTGAAAAGGTTGCTTTAATTTTTTTCAAATTCTTTCAAAAATTCTTTCCATCATTTGTTTCAATTTAAGAAAAACGAGGCATTAAAATGCTATACCTGATTATTGCTATAAATACCATTGTTGTTACACAAACTATTAGCAATAGATTCTGGATGCCTGGTCCAGGACATATACTCGTAGAAAAAATGTAGCAGCAATCACATCAGTGTGATAGCAATTTTTGTGATCCTTATCTTCACTATATATTTCATTATAATATAAAAAACCTCATTTTCACGCTCTGCAGGCGATTTAGATCATCCTCAGTTGCAGGTCCTCTACCAGAGGCTTTGAGGATTCTGCATAGTATTTTAAATTCCTGGTAATGCGCTTTTCTAATCAGCAATATCTGAAGTTGCTTTTGGAACTAAAGTTCCTTTTTCAGCTTTAGAGTTTAAACTTGTAAATTTTTATGCTGTTGCTATTGGAACCACTTTTGCCTTCATTTCTATGTCCTTTTAATTTTTTAGCTTCTTATTCCTCATTATTCCTTATTTTTGGTGCTCCTGTCATTGCTTTATATATATATATATATATATATATATATATATATATATATCACCAGTTCTGATTTCTGGTTCTTCTTTTTTAATATGATATGAAATTGATTGGCCAGTTGCTTGCCTGTCTGGATGTTTATAGACCTTTATTATGATTTTTCAAGGAATGTAAGTTTTATACTGACAGATACTATAGAAAATGCCGACTATGCTATTCCGGTTTGCTTTTTACAACTTGCCACTATATTTTGAACTGTTTCTTGAGTGTTTTTGCACAGTCCGCACCTTGTCCTATATATATATCAAATAAATATTATAAATGTTTCAAATTTTACACTAATATAATAATATAATAATATTGTTAAAATACGGTATTTATAATTCTCATATTTTCTCATATTTTATAGTTTTTTTTTCGTTTATTTTTTTTGTATTTTGTTTTATAATTTTTATAATTTTATAATTAACAATAATTTCCTTTTTGTGCTGTAATAAATTTCGGTAGTATGGCGTTTTTATTTTGATTTTTCCATGGTTTTACTGCTTTTCTCATTTTAGGAAAATTCTCGAAAATGAAGCAGAAATAAGAATTTGGAGGACGAAATGCGAATTAAGAAAATTACCGACCTTTACAATATGGTATTTGTGTGAATATTTTATATTAATTTAATAAATTAAATATTTAGTTAAATATCGATTAAGAAACAAAAAATATTCAATTTAATCATGGGCGAACACCTTGATTCTTAACTAAGATGTGTCTATTTTTGATAAAGTTTTTGTACGAATTGCAAGAAAACCTTCTATAAGTTTTTTAACTGAGAACTGTGCGAAATTGTAGACTAAAAATAAATTTTTTTTCCTTTTATACTCGAAAGGAATTTTAAAATATACCGAAAGATAAGAAAGTACAGCACAAATAATAAATTATTTCCGAATTCATAAAGTTTGAAAATAAATATAAAATATATAATTTTCAGTAATCCAACGAAAAACCATAATGGTAATAACAATAATAAGACTAATATTAATGACGAGCCAGGTTTATCCACCGATTTGATGGATCAGTTAAATATTGCTGCCGATAAGCTTTCGCGCCTTAGTGCTGTGAAGGATCTCAAATTATTACAGGTATATAAAATTTTGCACTGATATAACGATTATTGTCCACTGCCCAATTGATAGCGATAAATTTGTAGATGGCTATTTCATTTCAAATGAGTTTCGAAAAATTGTAGAAATAAAGAATTGTTGTGATGTGTAGTTTTTCACATTAAGGCTCAGACTTATACACGCAAGGCACATTCAAACCAAGTCCACACCACGAACGTTTTGGCCTCATTATAGTGCATTTTAGCAAAATAAACAAATTTTTTTTTTCATTCACTGCGTTTGGTGAATTTTTAAGTGAGAATTGCTTGAGCGAAAGCGGCTAATTTTTATAAGTAACCGGAAAATTTAAATTGAATTGCTGAAAATGAATTTAGTAAAATTTTTTATAATTCGCAGAATTATTTCTTAAGACTCTTTTCAAATTAAATGTAAAATTTAGAGTGAAATGGAAACAGCTTTAAAAGAAATTAGTGAAAAATAATACGGAATTCGATGCACAATCGACGTCAGAATGATAAGTTCGAGAAAGTTTCCGAATGAAAATTCCGCAAAACTGAATCCTTTTGCTGCTCTTTCATTTATTTTGCTTTATTGCGTTGTTACTTATTGTGATAAACATTTCGAAATTTTCAACATTATAACGAAGCAATTAATTATAAGTTAAGATAAGCAGAAAAATGGATCAGTGAATTTGTTTTGCTTTCATTTCGGAGCGCCAATGCTGAAATTCTACTCCGGCAGAAGTAAAAGATTCAATTTATAATTTGTATTTTATTTTTTAACGACTTTCCAATTTCTCGAATCTAATTTTCTCTCCTAAATCCATTAATTTATAGTAGTATATTCATACGATTTTTTTTTAGAAGTCTTTACCATTACTGGTTAAACTCGCTCCACTAGCTTGTCGCATTGGGCAATATGCCCGAGAGTACCTTGGCGATAGACAAGGTACAAGTGATTCGCCAGCATCATCCGGATTTTTGGACAGGTTTACTCCTGGGGGAATCGAACCTCAGCGTCGGCACTCAGAATTGAGCAACAACCCACTGAGCCATTTTATTCCCTTTGACAAAATTTAAAATTTATGACAAAATTTATCCGGATTCACAAGCCAGCGGAGCGAGTTTAACCAGAAATGGTGAACACCCAGTGGACAAAAAAAATTAATGTTGTGCGAATTTTTCGATATGATAATCTATGTAATTGGGCTATCTGCTCTCATTACCCTTTTATTATATCATTACCGCTTAAATACCACTTTGCTTTTGGCAATCTTCAGATTTTTATTATAGTTTCATTATAATAAAAGTCAGTAAAATTCAACTATAAATAATTCAACTAAATATAAAATAAAAAATATTGGAAGAAATAGAGGAATTCATTAATTAGTAATTTAATGTGGAAATGGTCTTTGACTGATGAAATTTTGCTTTTTTATTCAACAAATTAAAAAATGGACGCCATAAAATTAATAAAAATGAACTGCAAGATCACTATTGCAAATAAATATAGATACAAAATTTAGCGATAAGTATTAAGTAACTAAGTAAATTGGATAGGCTTTCAGAATTTTCTTTCTCTTGTCATTTTGTTATTTTTTCATCAATATTTGCAATAAAAAGTTATATTAGAAATTTTAGAAATTTTTTATATTAAATATTAGAAATTTGATATTAGGAATATTATATTATATTATTATATTAGAAATTTTTATTAGGAATTTATTAGAAATTAGAAATTATTAGAAATTTATTAGAAATTTCAAAAATTTATATTAGAAATTTTTTTTTGCCTTCGCTCTTTAGCCCTATTCATAACTGGCATCATTTAAATATTTGGCTTTATCCTTTTTCATGGGAATTGCATTGATTTGCTTGAATTGCATTGATTCGCTCTGAGCAATTCATTTAGAATTCTTTACACTCATTTACACTTCTTTCCTCAAGCAATTTGTAATATGCCAAAGGAATAAGCAATTCAAGCAATTTTCTGGAGAAAGTACTCTTAATATTTGATGAAGCAAGCCTGATTAGAAATGTTGAGAAATGTTCTGCAGAGAAAAAAATTATTAGAATTAATTTAGGCCTAAATTTTTATACTACCAAAGATAAGAATTCATGTCGAATAGATAGAATAGATAGATAGATAGATGGATAAATTCTAATGTTTTTGAGTGTATTAACTATTGATTAGTTTACTATAGTGGTGCCTATTTAGGCCACTAGCGATAGCCAGCAGTCAGTGGAGCCGAAAATGGCGAAAAAAGACTGATGAACAGTACAGCACTGTATCATTACTTGTACATTCTGCAGCAAGATATTCTATAATTTAAATTAACCCCATTTTCACCCTGTAACACCAATAATTTTATTTATTGGATAATTTCGAGTTGTTTTCATTGTAAAATCAGAAATGTTATTTAAACATGGTTTGGAGCATTTAGCAGGCATTAATATTAACCATAGTTGCCAGGAATTAATAAGGAGATGGCAGGAAAATTTTTCTATTTGATTCAGAAAAAAACGGGACAAAAGTCGAAATAATTAATATGATAATAAGTGTGGAGATCATTGTGACAAATATTAAGGGCGAAATACATAATCCAGTATTTATTGGAGCATTTGTAGGATCATCGCTTGAACGCCGATTCTCCTTCATATCATCTGAATAAGCAACAATAATCAGCGAATCTCTCCAACTACCATAAATTTTATGTCAGTAATTTATATCTTTTTGTTATGAGGATTTTTAATCTTTCGCTTTTTGTTAAAATACTATTTTTCATTATTTTAAAATCAGAAATATTTCATAGAAAGAAAAATGCAATGAAAAAACTGCCCTAAGACTATACGACTGTCAAATAATAACCTTTCACATCATCGATATCAAAGGCAATTATTGGCTGTGAGAATACATCTATCATAGTATCATTCAATTTTATAGCGTGGTTAGCGTTGGACCGTTTTCCTCTTTCACGTGTTGCGCAAAAATCACTTGTTCGCTAAACAAACAAATATTAATGGTGCAAGAGACTCAAGTGGTATGTTGTTTCGATCGAAGACGGATTCCCGCAGCTTGACGAAAATAATTCTGTGATTAAAAATGAAATCCGAGTGGTGCCTATTTAGGCCACTAGCGATAGCCAGCAGTCAGTGGAGCCGAAAATGGCGAAAAAAGACTGATGAACAGTACAGCACTGTATCATTACTTGTACATTCTGCAGCAAGATATTCTATAATTTAAATTAACCCCATTTTCACCCTGTAACACCAATAATTTTATTTATTGGATAATTTCGAGTTGTTTTCATTGTAAAAGCAATTTGCCAATTTTCTTGTTATTTTCATAAAATGCGGTGATTTTGCTATAAAAAAAAGTTGAACAAACAACAAACATTGCATTGAACTTGTTTAATTGACAATCTTATTTGACAGTGAAAAAATAACGAAGATTGATCAGCAAATTTGAAAACCTAAACGTTAAAATGTTGATATGCAAAATGGATCGAATGAAAAAATTTGATTTTTCCTTAATGCGTTGAGAAATAATATGTAAGATCTATGCAATCTTGTATCATTAAAAAGCTGTTTGATATCAGTGTGATAAAATCAAATGTGAACCTGCGAAGTTTGACCTCCAGTTAAATCAGTAGTGTAATCGAGACTATTGAGTAGATATTTATCAAGCGCACATCCATCTTTATCCAGTAACCATACTTCTCTGCCAGTTATTTCTTTAACAATGCATGAATGAACCGTCATGCAATAAATAGTATTTTCTGAAATTCCCATTTCTTTTTTGATTTTAGGAATTAAAAAATCAAAAAATCAATCAAAGAAAGTTTTAAAAAATTTATTTTTAATTATTATTATATTCCATGTTTTCCTACACTGAAAATTCGATCAGTGAAAATAATTCCAAAATAATTTCATTGAACTGTTATGTGAATAATCCTCTTAACCCTGCTACACGTTTTCACAATCTGTTGTGCCACTTGATTCCAGTTATATTCCCTTTCAAACATTGACCTTTCCAGAACTATTAGACATTTCCGCCACAGATCCACTTGGGAATAGAAGGAAGATGGAAGGAGGGTTTCCTACAAGCCACTCGGATCTTTTTATTTTAATAACAAATTTTATTTCGTAAAAAATTTTCATAAATTTCGTAAATAGTGAAAAGAATTTCATAAATAATTAAATCATGAAATTTCTTATTATTCTTATTTCGAATGTACTATTGTTATTCTTATTATAACTTTCATATTTCATTTCTAATTATACCAAATTTTTTATTATTATTTATCATTGTATTCTATATAATATTTAATATATATATATATAAAACTTCATAAAAATATAAAATTTATACATATATATATTTAATACCAACATATTATTAAGTAAAAAAAATTATTTCACTATATAAGAAGAAAAGAAATGTAGTTGGCATAAATAATGGCATTATTCTTCTTAATATCTCGAGCCTTCAAAGTTTAGACTTTTATCTACATCTGGTATGTAAAACGATGAATATTTATTTGGTCAGCATGCTCTGGTCTGAACACTTCTCGATTAAGATTCACAGTGCTATTTCGGCTTTCGCAATTCCACAAGTCGGCTCAGCGAATGGGAAGCATTAATATTAACATTCGAAAAGAAAGCATTTTCAAGTGGTGAAACTCGAGCAGAATAGTATAGAATGGATAAGGAGTTTTCATAGAATTGTTTTAAATTTATATGTTATATTATATTATAATTGTTTATTTTTTAATAAAATAAACAATTATTTATTTTATATTGATATAAAATTATATTGATACAAAATTTTTATCATCTTTTTCTTTTTTCTTCTAGAATTTTCTAACACCGCTAAAATAATTGGAATAAATCCAATAGAAAATTTTTCAGAGGAACCAAAGATATTCAAATGGTTACAAAGAACCCGAATTTTTAATAGGATATTGAAAAAAGTTTTTTAATAGAAAAATCTCATAACAGTGATTAAGAAATTATATGCTCGTTTATAATTATTTGGTAAGGGAAAACCTGTCGAGAACATGGCAGCTGGACATACCATACCTCTTTTATTATGCAGAAATAATAGTATATAATAATAATAACAATAATAATAATAACAGATAGATAGAATGGAGTCTGTCTATTCCTCTTCCAATGTAGCAGCAAATAAGTATGCACCCGGACTCAAGAAACTTAATGGTGATAGTGGAAACTCCGAAGGCACAAGGGAATTTTTTGAGGAAAATGAAAAAGTGGAAAATGCCAATGGTTTTCACCATTCGTTGGCGAAGTGAGGCATGGTTTAACTGTGCTAGAAGTAAGGCTCACACACCACTCAAATCCATCGGAAATTTCCTGGCTTGCTTATGACTGTTTACAGATTAATCATAGTAGCGCCACCAAATTTCACTCTAAATTATTTCAAATTATTTCAAAGGTCTTTTGCTTTGGTTTTTAAATGTATAATATATTTTTATTTCCGTTAATTAAATCAAAATTTCTTCAAAACATACGGACGGTTGGAATTTCTGCTGCATAACTGCATGACCATTTGTGATAAACTCGTTGCCCAACATATACATAATTAACTGGTCGTCCTGTTGGTCCACCATTCAGTACTTCATATTTACATGTTGGTAATATTTGTTGTGTCACTATTTGCGTTTGGAGATTACTGTAAAATAATTCTTCATGTTATGGGGAATGAATGATCATTTAATGGCCTTGGAAAACAGTCAGTGAATTTCATTCATTAATGGAGCAATGATATTGATATAAAAAATACAATAATGCAAAGTATTTTAAAATATTTAGAATACCTAAATTAATACCTAAATTGATTCAATATTTAGATTGGATTCGCGTAACACTTTACACACTTTATATAATACATATATTTATAAATTAAATAAAAATACCTATAAATATAATCATTGGAAATATTTGCAGGTGAAGCTTCTCCGTGTAGTTCCTTTTGTTCGCCACCGATTACCACCATTAATTTTTTCTGCTGATTTTTATTGAAGCTAAAATAAAGAGATAATTTCTTTTTGTGAAAGAGATAACTTCTTATTGATAATCGTCTTATCAAAACTTGGTTTCCAGCGGATCGAATGAATATCGTAAAATTCGAGCGACAAATAATACCTAACATCGAGTTGTGTTTTGACTTTTTGTTCACTTTCTGTATAAAAGCATTTTACGAAGTAAGATTTATCAATTTTTGTTATGAACATCTGTAATTTGAATATTTTTAATCAGCGAAACTTTCGATTAGTCAATTACTAACTGTCCATTTTGCATCGCGAATGGATTGGTGGAAATATGAAGTGAAAACTGGAAATTTTCGATTTTTTGCAATAACAAATCGCTTCTATAAATTTTTAGCAAAAATTTTTCAAAATATAAATGAAAAAAATCTCGCCATAATAATCGTAAAATTTCGGGAAAATAAACTGTATAAATATAAATTAAAAAATGAAAAAAATGATTCCGTTAAATAAAATTAATATTGGCTTAACCTTTCTGAATAATATAAATTTAAAAGCATTTTAAAATGTAAGAAAAATGTTTTCTTAAGAAAAAACCTACCGGATGAAAAGCTACTACAACTGTGGTTTGCATAAATAAACCTTTCGGGGAATACTGAAACTTCGCATTTCGTTATTTATTATCATAAGAACGTAAAAATAGTGAATTCTGAACGAAACGACTAGAGCAAAAGACGATTTAGTGCGATAATTATCTTTACGATTTTCTAAAAAAAATTGTTTTTATATTTCTAAATTCAAAATAAAAATATATTCCACTCACTGATCGTTTCTTTTGCACGTCGCAAATCGCGAATGGAATACTTAAATTAGCAGCGCGTGTTAGAGTCGCGTCTGTCCTACACTTTTTTCTATCAAAGTGTCCTTTAACATAAACGTGTCCCTTAAATGGTTTCTTAGTGGTGAAACTTATTGCCATATTCTCCGCTAAACATTCTATCGATGGATTCCCTAAAAACCAAAGCTTTTTACACGTAATTCAAGAGTCGATTCATAAAATAAATTTGAAGAACATCTTTCTCGCAATAAAATGGATATTTAGAAAAAATTAAGTGGAAATCACCTATAATTCCGTTATCAATTCTTTCTGCATTGATTAAATACTTATAAATCTGAAAATAAAAAAAAAGTTTTACGTAAAAACTTTAATGGACTAATAAATTTTTTTAATCCAAATGGAGAAAGTATAAAATGAAAGAGAAATTTATCGTTTTTAAAGATTTTGAACACATTGCTCTTCAATTTAAGAGAAGAGGCAGTTTCTTAGGGGCTCGGAAAAAATTTAAGCAATTTTTCAGAATTTTTTTGCTTTTTCTGAATTAATTTTTTATGAATTAAATGCATTGGACAAGAACACCATTGTAACTATAAAGTTTATCACTATGGAGCCTTCATGAGCTTTTTCATGTTTGGTAAAATTCCGCTCACTAACAAAACTCGATTGACAAAAGTGCTTACCAGGAAAACCAGAAAGATATGGCGCATTACGAAACAGATCAAGGGAATAAGCAGTTAATTATTGAAACTGAAAATTGGCAAATAGTTAGTAAAGAAAATCCAGAAGGTATTGAAGAATTTTTTATCAGAAAATTAACTTAAGTTGCAGACTTTGCTGAGGAAAAATGATCGAGCGAAATTGATCGACATGTTGCTTAACACATCTGTAGTCAAGCTTAATAGGTTCGAGTCACTGTGGCGTCAGATTGAATTCTGACGAAAATTAGCAGTTCTCAATTCTCTTTTCTAACATTAATGGTGTGCTTAAAAACGAATCTTGACTGGTGATAATTGCTTCTTCCTATTAAGACTTTTCGGTGAGTTTTTTAGAATTTGCGGATTGATTCGTGTATCCATTCATCATCACTGAATTTCTCGTAAAAACTCTCATTTTCGAGGATTTTTTAATAAGGAAGAATTCGCGAGGTATTAGTGAGTCCTTGTATAACTTCCTTTTAACAATACGCATAATTTCTATTTTGATTGTTTTTGAGGACCAAATCGTTAGAGATTGCTGCACATGTGGGAATGCCACCTCATTCCACTTTCACCTTCAATTAAAAGGCTAAATCACGTCAAGGAAGCGAACTCACTCGTTGATCAGTGGAACTCGTCTCCTTCATTTATTTCATTCCTCTAGTCTTAACCTCTATATAATTACTATATAAATGCCGTTTTAAATTTTATAAATTCCGATCTCATCGATTTGCTTCTTATGAAGAAATTAGTTGACTTCTTATGCCTACCTCAAAGCAATAAAAGTGCTTTCTAAAAAAACTGTAGAAAATTTAAATTTAAATAAAAATTTAACTAAAAATTTATAGAAGTCAAATGAGTCAAACAATATTAAATAAGATAACAGTTTAACTTTTAAATTTTTTAAAATTTCATTGATTAGTAAATTTTTTGATTAAAAACGACGATTATTTAAAATTATATGAATAAATCCGCTAAGTGGAATGTTTTAAGAATTAAAAAACTTTTTAATAGATTTTTTTCGAAATTTAAAAAAAGCAAATATTAAATTTCAAACTAAAATAGAAATATGATTAATGAGAAATGAAACGATTAAAATTTCTCATCGGATTGGAAATTATTAAAACGACACAATTGTTTTCCGCACTGACAATTCCGATATCTGATTGCTTGACCTTTACGAGCCCTTTTATGGAAAATAATTACAATGGAAACGGACGACCAACAAAGGTCAAACCCGTTTTCATATTCATGCGAAATTTCACTGCAGTAAATCGTATGCAAATCGATCAACCGAAATTATACAGGAATGATAGAAAAGATGAATAAATTATTCACCCTATAAAGAAAAATTATGGCATTGTTTGCAATCAGAGAGATGCACTATTCCCAATATTAAAATTTTTTGCAGCAGTAATCACCCAGAATGAGCAAAGAAGCAAAGAGATTTCTCTCCTCTCAATATCAAAACTAATATTCAACATTGAATTTGAATTTGTGAAGTGCAATAAAAAAATTTTTATTTAATGTAAAATTTTACCAATATTAAAACATTAAATTTTTAGCGTTTTTTATGATTTTTAGCGTTATTTTTTTAAAATTAATAAAATTTTAAAACTCAAAAAATTTATTAAAAATTTGCTTTTACAAATGAAAAATACTCATTGATACGATCTGAAATTTAAAAAAACGAAAATTATAATAAATAATTTAGAATAATAATTATAATTATAATAAATAAACAAATAATATGACATTGAATATACAAATAATAATAATAATTTCGAATACTGTGGCACATATGACCATTAAATTCGATCTCCACCATGTTTCTCAGTTTCTTTCACGGGATCGGCCGCCTTTTTTTTGTGAACAATAGCAGAAGTGCATTCATGCGGAAAATGTGGAAAATTTTAGGGGATGAAAAGTCCCACCTGTTTTCACATTTACCAACTTTATTGACGAAAATCGCTTCATAGTGCCATTCATCTGCAATATCAATGAGTGCTTCCTCCGACTTTAATGCTAGAATTAGTAAGATTCCGTTAGATTTTAACGTAATAAATTTATCAGTAATTTAATAATAATAAAGCAAAATTATTTTATCAAAGATAAATCAGAAAAATACAAATATTTTGTATTCTATCACGATCATAATACTCAAAAAAAACCTAATTTTAAAAAAATATGAATTGATAAAAAACAAAGAATGTACAATGAAATATCAGAAATGAATTTAGCCACGAATTTCTACCAATAAAAGTGTTCGTTTTTATTTCAAAAAATGGCCAAAATTTGGAAAATTGAGAAAGTATTGTTTTGAAAACGACAAATATTATATTTAAAAAACAAAAGAAGAATCATTTCGCTAAAAAAAATCTCAAATTTTCATTAATTATTTCTAAATAAATTGGAATTAACAACAAAATAAAAAAAAAGAGGAATAAACAAAGCTTTTTAATCACTTTAAACATTTTTAAAATCATATAAACCAACAAGATCAACTATCTTTAAATTAGAAAATACACAGCACAATTTTAATAAAATAAAATCTGAATCTGAAATCTGCCTATAAGTTAGTGGATTGCGAAAAAAACCAGGATTTGCCTTAAAATTTATGTTATCATATTAATAATAAAAAATAAACCTAACCTTAAATTTAGATTTAAAAGAAACAAACACATAAATCGCAAAAATTATTCTGTATCGCATATAGCTTACCACAAAAGTTTTTTATGACAATAATACAATTCATTTGAAAATATAACAGGTATATAACAACCGTTAATATAGAACTCGATTTCTTTTTGGTGCACTATCAATGAGCCGCTCAGTCATTTCTTTCTACAAAAAATAAAATACTATATTTTTATATAAAATAGTATAAGAAACAAATAATAAGAAAAAAAACAAAAGAAGAGCAAGAATACCAAGGCTTCCAATTCTTTATTAGAAACCAATCCATGTTCAGTAATAAAAAAGTAAAAATGCTTATATAATGTGTTCGCATGAGGTTCCTGCAATAACCGTCTTCCAAGAATTTTTTCAATTTTTTAATTTATAAGATAATATAAAAATTTTTTTTAATTTAGGGAACAAAACATTTTCTTATTTTCAAAAATTCATGTAAAAATTAAATTTAAAAAAAAAATAAAATTGAATTCGATAAAAAAAAATAAACGAACCGCGCCCAAATATGAGATTCTGTCAAAATGGTGAATATAAATATGAACAAAAACACGAAACAATCGTGTTAAAATTTTTTTACAAACTTGGCGAAAATCTCGCGGAAATGGAACCGCTGAAAACGAAAACAAAGAAAAATGAAGACTGTTGCAAATTGCTTAATGAGCATAAAAGATTAGAAATAAAAAAGAAGTATTCACCCGTATTTGAAGGAAAAATTGTTTCATCATTAATTCTGATTTCAATCCAATCCATCAAAAGATAAACGTATTCAGGAGCCGGTAATCGAGTAGGCTTTTTATAATTTTCACCATCTTGCCAAAGATATTCGTATCTGAAAAAATATTTTCCAATTTGAAATATGAGAAAACCAAAATATATATTCGGAAAATACCGAAAAATGAATGCAAACCGATATAATTTTTCCAATAAATCTTTTTTTCGTTTATATAACAAAATTTCAAAGCTAGACAGATAGAAAAAAGAGAATTACTTGGATCCGCCACTCATTATTGGGCATGATTTAGCAGTACACACATCACAAACAGTACCGTAAAGCAAATTAATTCGATTAAAAAAGTCAACGGCTAAAAATTTATATTTCTCATTTAAAATTATATATTTATAATCACATATCATTTAATAATATATAAATTGTATAAACCACTAATTCATGCTGAATCAATAGAAAAAAATAAAAATTCAAGACATTTTGGAAAAAATATATATCTGTCTGAAGTTTATTTTATAGTTTATTTTACTGTCTCTAAATATAATGAAGAATGATTACTTACCGTATTCTAAGAACTGTTTATTAAAATTCAAAGGAATGAATCGTATTAAAATTGTTTTAAAAATTTAAAGTCCCTTACTGTGTACAGCCAACCAATCATCAAAATTTTCAGAAGCAGGCAGACGTACGGCAGCTCTTAAATCAACACCAGAATGTAATGTTGCCTGAGCTTGCTTATGAAGATTATAACGAAGAGTGCCAACAGGGAACTTCTTTTTAGGACGAAAAGTCTAAACTACACCTTTATTATACCCTTTGATATCAACGAAAATATTATTTATAAGCAGAAACACAAATCCAGTTGAAACTGTGATTAGATAAAACCGAATGGAAAAGTTAAAAATAAAATAACGAATAATTACGCCAACTTTACTTTATTATAATTCTATGGTAGAAAATATTTACGAACAATCATTTTTGAAAAATAAACGAACTTTATGTTTGTTCATATGCAAAAAATCAAGAAAAGTAGTCATATCCATCGAATTCTTTTTAACATATCCTCGCAATCGCTGCGAAAAAGATCTAAAAATTTGAATAACTTTGTCAACGTGGATGACATTTACAAGGTTTTCAACCGCTCCTTGAAATCCAAAAGTATTCACAGGTAATAAAAATTGTTAACAGATTAATTTGACGCAAATAAACGAATCACGAAGTAAAAAATAATCTCCTCTCTGTTGAAAGATAGAAAAAAGACTTTCAACTGGAATAGATTTACCAGAGAACATTCAACATTAAACTATGATAATGATTCAGTGAGTTGCAATTCTCGTTTCGAAGCGCCCACATTGGGACTCTACTTCCGGCCAGCAGTAAACAAACCTTTTAAAAATTTTAACAGCACTAGCGACCTATCTGCTCTCCTATGGTTCAGTGGTTCCCTGGCAACTTTTATCGGGGTCGACGAGGCGGCGAACCAGGAATGGTGGAAAAAAGAAAATCCGAAAAAGATTTAACAACTTCGCACAAAAACTAAGAATATCAAAAAACTGAAATGAGCATCGAATGTATTAATAAAGCAATTGTATTGCAGCTAGACAAGAGGCCCCTCGCGGGGCGTCGGGGCTGCGCTCGCTCGGCTCGCTGAGCCGAGCTTTGCCGACGGGCCGCCCAGCGAACGCAAAAAGACGAAGTGGAACTCCACTGGAATCGATTGCTTTATCGAAAATTAAGGAAATCTGATGTAAAACTGTTTAAAACCCATAACCGAACCAGTATTTAACAATCAGTACTTTTAACAATAATTCGTAATTAATTAGCGCTATGCCGGTGAATCGTAGGGCGCATAACGGGAATTCTCAACCGATAATCACTAAACTTCAGATATCGCGAAAACTCGGCCTCTGCAAATCGTTCGTGGTGTATTTTATTTTGAAATGATTTGTCCTTTTTCCTTTTTTTTTTTTAATATGTATAATAGCAGTGAATAAGGATTATTCGCAAATAATTAAATAAAACTGATTCAGTTTTTTATAAAAACAATAAAAATTCAGAGGTTTGGAAAGCAATAATAAGTGCATTAAAAAGTGCATTTTTGCATTTCTTTTCTTTCAATTCTATTGAATTATAAATGGAAAAAAAAAAATTATAAATTAAAAGTTTTTTAAATTCTCATTTTATTAATTTTTTTATTATTTCTTAACGAAAAATAACCGACAACTAATTTGTATTTAAATTTTGTAGTTAAAAAATTTTAAAAAACCATTATTTAAATTTGAGCCAAAACTGGAAAAGTCATCAGTAATAGACATAATAGCGATGAAACGTACGCATGCACACACACACATACACACACACACACACGCATATGCATGCTTGCACATACACACACACACACGCATATGCATGCTTGCACGTACACACACACACACACACACGCATATGCATGCTTGCACATACACACACACACACACGCATATGCATGCTTGCACATACAAGCATGAAACGTAGACATTCATTTCTTCGTCAGTGACAAACCAGTTTAAGAAACCAAAACATTGTCGGAATTCGATTGAGATGATGTTCGTTCTGCGAAAGGCTTTCTCTTCATGAATCATTTGATAAAATGGCATTTCATCTTGAAACATATTTCATATTTCAAAGTCTTTTATTCAAATTTGTCGCAAAGCAGTCGCACATATGACGGCGATTGCGACGACGGCGACGGCGGCGACCAAGTTATTGCATTTTTTAGTGCTTATTATCGATGATTATCGCAGCAAATCTCTACATTATTCGCTTAGATTTGGCAACTTTGTTCTAAAATTTTTCTTCACTATAGCACTGAGTTTCTTAATAATTGAGACAGATTTTAAAGGTACTTCAAATGGAAGTGAACTTGGATGGGAAAAATTTGCGATATTCGCGAACTGAATTTCGAATTCCATTCATTTTCGCATGTATTTCGCATGCGCGAACAGCACCGAGCACTGGCAGCGCTATTGACAATGCGTGTGATCTGTCGTTATCAGAAATCACGGAGATTTTCTCAGCAATTTCATTGAATTTATGCATTTCGTATTATAAATCATTTATAATTAGGACAAGCTTTTCACTGGCGGTAGGTGGGTTTTGAAAAGATATCCGCAGGCTTCGCTATGCTGCTGAAGATGCCCATAATATAAAGAAAATTAAGGATTTCACGCTTCAGGCTACTAAGTCCGTAATGCAAAGAAATTTTTATTTTGCTATCTTCATTATTTCGAAAAAAGTCTCCGATATAGCAAATCCGCTAATGATAAGAGAATTTCAAAAACCGTTAATTTTTCATGGTGATTTAACATAATTTATTTATTAATTTATTTATTAATTTATTTAAAACTGATAAATAATAGCAGTTTTTCTTTCCAAATTTTCAAATTTTTAACTTTGAAACAATAAAATAATTTAAAATTTATAAATTCGCTTTATGAATATTAAAAAACAACTTGAAAAAACTTTATTGAAAATCATTTCAAATAATTAAATTATATTTATTATTTGAAAAAATTTAAAAGTTGTAAATGGAATTTATAAAAATAAATTTAAAAATAATTTTTAATCAGTTGAAATAAGAATGAAATAAAATCGGAAAAATTCAACACAATAAGTACAAAAACAAATATTTTATTTTTTATCAAATGATTTTCGAATATTAAATAATTTTACAATTTCCTTCAGTTTTCAGTAATTTTGTTAGTCAATAAAGTTGCATTTTTATTGGCCCTTTCAGTGCAACTTTCATTATTTTTCGATTTCGGTATTTTTTATGATTTTCCACGATTTATCCATTCAATTTGTTTAATTTGCTAACTTTTTTAAATAGAAATTAAAATTTAAAAATAGTCGAAATTATTAAAATAATGAATCTTTTTTTATTATTAAAATTTTGAGATGATTTTCAAATTTCTGTAAAATCATTTTATTTAGTTATTACAATATAATTTTAATATTAGAATTATGTTTAATATGTTTTATTTTAGAATTTTTAAAATTTAATTCGAGATAAAAATTATTTTATGATAATTTATAAATTATAATTTATTTCTAGAAAATTTTTGAATCACTTGAGTTCACTTGAGTTTTCTCGACTGCCATTTTTTAGCCATTTTAACAATGGTACCATAGGTATGTCGACCCAACCGTAATGCTTACAAGTTCACAAGCCAAAACACACATAAAAAAATGATTCAGTGTGTGAATTCTGTGGATGAAGAAGAAAGTGCTGAAGAAGGATGCCAATCATTTTGTGATTTCTACTTACATTTACACTCACTAAATTTCAATCAAAATTTTCCTCTCACTGGCATCCAAAGCTAAAATCCAACTACGAAACGCTTGAGAGACCCATGAAATTCTCGTTTAAGAAATTATTATAATTATTGCATTTCGCCACCCAACAATTTAATTCTTTCTTCGTAGCTTTTTTTGCAAATTTTATAAATTTTCAAAAATTTTACTTAGAGAAAAAGCAAAATAAAGCGGAGATATTTTTCCAGCCAAGTTGAATTAACTTTTAAGGGATTTTTTAAAAATTTCTCGATGCTTATAAAATAGTTTAATCGCATTATAGCAGCGCCCACGATGAATAATTCCCTTACAGTAATTCCCTTCTAATATTTCATTCGCCATTTGCTTCGCTTTTTACAAACACATTTATACATTCTTTTCTTAGGTTAATTTGAAACTTTTTATTGCTATCACTTTTTGCTATTTTTAATTATTTTTACTATTCATTTTATAAAATATAAATTCATTTTTATTCATTTTAGATGTTACAGGGACAAATGAAAGGAATTATGCGATTGCCATTCTTTATTCACCAACTTTCAAATTATTTTAAATTATTTTCCATAAAAAATAAAAGAAAAAATAAAGTCGCAAAAGTTTCAACAAATATGCGAAAATAGTTCTTCCGACCATTAGAATCCCAGTATTGCTCTATTGCAACACCTAAACTTTTTTTATTATTCCAATTATGATTAACTGCAAAAAGCGAAAATAATTTTCCTTCTTTTTGTTTTATAGAAAGTCCTTTGATTTTTTCGATTGTATTTTTCATTATTTTTGATTTAAATAAATTCATCGAAATATTTGAAAAGCAATAGGCAACATTAAAATAAATAAAAGAAAGTTTTAAATATGTTTATAAGTGAAATGATCGTTGTTCATAGAAAGTTAATAACAAATAGAAAACTAATAATCAAATTTCTCGAATAATAAAAACAGCATTTTATTTCTAAATTTTTATTTTTTTGCAATTTTAAATATTTTTCTACTTTATTTATTTATTTAAATATTTATTTACGGAAAAAATATTAACGATTTAAACATTCTAAATAACAATGTATTTTATTTTTTATTGCAGATTTAATGAATCATTAAGAAAACGAATGAGCTGATGAGAACAAATTTGCTTTATTCAATTGGGGTTCAAATGTTTGCGAGCGAGCAACGCTCATTAATGGGAGTAAATCTGTGGAACTGCAGTGATTCTGCCTACAGTTAGCTGATTCTGTGAAGATAGGTCTCTGTCCACAGTCTGCAAAAATATAGAACTTCTTTAAATTTTTAAATAGATCATTCTTTAATGAATCGTTAATGTCAAACGATCATTAACAACTCAAATGCGTCATTAACAAGAAAATATTGCCAATTAATCAATTAGTTGTTTGGTCGGATTCTGGATTCACTTTACTCTGAAAAAATATTTGCTACATTTATAATTTGTTTGATGCAGAACAGTGCGTTGGTGGCTCAGTGACAAGGCAATCGCCACCGCGAATCTGGGTTTGGTTCGAATCCAATCGACGCAACGTATTTTGACGGGCGACAGTGTTGCCTATGGCTCGCTCAACACGGAGTGCCGTTGCTAAGATTCCATTCCCCGCAGGACTACAGCTCTTTTTCAGCAATCCGAGTGATGCACACCAGCATTTCTATCGCCAAGGGATGACATATTTGTCCAATACGACAAGCCAGAGGAGTGAGTCTAACCATCAATGGTGAGGTCTCTTTAAAAAAATTAATGCAATAGTAAATT